GGGCGTTGACGTTGCATTGGCCTTGTTGTCGCCTCGATGTTGCGACTGTTATGATTGGAGGGCACACCAGCCCCCCTTGCTCTTGTCCATTGCTCTTGTGTAGATTGCTTGCTTACATGCTGAGTAGAGCAATTGGAGTTTGTGAGGGGAGAAGGGGTGGGGGTGGGGGGTGGGCAGTGAAACGATACGAAAGAAGGAAAAACAGCCAGACGAGGATGATGATGAGATTATTCTGCCAAAAAATGGAAATATTCGCCTTTCGGAGTAAGAAATAGGGACAAAAAAAAAAGACAGGACGATGAGGAAGAAGATGACGATGAAATAGGGGGGAGGGTTTTAGATCGCCGAGGTGCTACTTCGTAATTGCATACTTGGCATGTGGTGAAAGAGGAGGCTACTTCATTGTTTGGTTACCGAATGCAATGAGCGACCCACGAGACAGTCTACGGGGGCTGACAAGGGCAATTTGGAGCGGGACTTGCCGTTGGAAGGGATGGAATACTGATTATATGAGATGCTGGGAACTGGAGTCTATGAGTGCTCCGCAAAAAGTCATGTGTATTGGAAAGATGTTCATGGGGGTGTGTGAATTAGTTGCTGATAGGTATATTCGTTGGTATTACTAGGGTTTGTATGGACAACGCGTGCCCATTTACGTCCTATACGTACATGCTGGAGATTGATAATGGACGATTCAGGACGATGGGGGCTGAAAACAGAGGACAGGGGATATCAGCAGCTCAACTCTGGCGGTACCGACGGAGAGGCAGAAGCTGGTATAGTTCATCACAAGTTAGATCAGCTATACGTACTGCAATGAACCGGCTTTGACGAAGGGGGGAGTGAATACAAGAGACAAGTAGCAAGGTTTCAATGGCTTGGTAGCTTGACAAGGCTGGCACTAAGAAAAAAAGCATGCATGGTAGACGCTTGTCTGTTAGCTGTACCTATGACACATGCATTTGGAATACGACGCTCGTGGTTTCTGCTAGAGGCCGGAAGAGGAAATGAAACCACCCTGCTGGTAATAGAAGGAGAGGGACTTGGGAGAAGAGACGCTGCGTGATAAGTACATAGAAGATGAAGTCGTTCGCAGTAATCGCCCAGTTGCATAAGCATCACTGACAGGGGTGGGTTGCTTTCTTGTCTTTCCTCCTTTGGCTCGATTTCGAGAAAATAGGACAATAGTTAGGACAGGGAAGATGCAAGCCATGAAGCTACCTAGGACTAGGACTAGCAGTAAGCCGTGCTGGTCCACGGGCGACTAAATGATTATATGATTACTTTGCACGTTGAATACCTACTACATGTAGGTAGTTTCTCTCAAGTAACAGATTCAAATGCGCGGTTGAGACGCGGGCTGTCGGTGCTGTACGCGGAATACGCCGCGAACTATAAGTTACTATTTCTCCTGGATATTATATTATGGGGCAGATGATGCCTGGGTCTGCGATGGAGAAGGGGGTGAGATGGATGGGTTTTCTGCGCCCTACGTCAAGCCCGGAGTGGCAGCGATATGCACGGGCAGCAGCGAGATTTCAATGCTAAAAGTCGCCAGCAGAGTCTTGGCATTGGGGAAGTCAGTGTAGTATATGGAGTGCCAAGAGCGCCTATTTGCTTGACTATCTATCTTGCTTACAGATACAGGGGGAGCAGGTTAAATGGGCATAATCGAATAGTGGTCGAGGGCAAATTAGCTTGAGGCGAGAAACCGCGGTTTGCATTCTGTTGGAAATTCGTATAATTGGGCGATTGGGTCATGTATACGCGTATTACATGTATCGAGTAATACCGCAAGGGGAAAGTAAAGAAGAGCACAAAATAATAAAACGAAAAGAGACTAAAGAACGTGAAAACGAGCACGACTTTGGCTTAATTAATTGATTCATGAGAGTCAACAGAATAATAATTCCTCTGCCCAGGGGACTTAGACGCTTTCTTTGTTGTCGAGATGAGGGAATATGATTGCGATGGTCTAACCGCCTTTTGGCCACACCAGGCGTTTAATTTGTCGTCTATTTCTAAGCTTACGAATAATAGCACACGTATAGTGCACAGTTCTGCATCACCCTGGCACTAGCAGCCCCCCGCCGGCGGACCAAATCGGATGGCTGTCACGAGAGGTGAACAGCAGAACGGATTCAGCTCGCATGGAATCAATCGAAAGCTAAAGAGAAGTGGCTTTCCCACGCCCCCTTGCCGAGTTCTCCTCCTGCCGGGCTATCAAACACCAACAACCGGGGGCGGGTTTACTAAACAAAGCTATAGAAGCATAAGGGAGAAGAGGCTCCTCGGCACGGGCTCCCGCTTAAAAGAAGGTTGGTTAAACCAAACATCTAGGCCTACCTGGGTAAAGTAGGCACGTTAAAGAGAAGACGGGGGGGCGATTGGCGCATCATTTAAATTATGCTGCCTTGCCGGTATAGGGCATGACGGGATTCGTGATTTACTTGTTTAGGAGTACTCTGCTTCAATGGGTAGGTGCCTTGCACCAGAGATATTTGTAATGCTACTGCTGGTACATATTGCTACTTAGTACCTTTGTAGGTCCTAGCATTACCACTACCTACTACGAGTGCACGTATGTAAAAGCATACATTATATACCGACCTCGGTAGTGACAGCTTTTCCATTCCTCACCCCTCCCCCTTCTTCTCACGTCTGCTGTGTTTGTGCCAAGGACATGTATATATGGAGCACCTGCAAAATGCACATCCCAGTAAGATTCGTGGGTAGTTGGGTGAGAGGAGCCTGCAAGGACAAGGCGAGTACATGCTTGGGGTATGCAATCTGCTGCAAACCGCGGACTGCAAACAAGTAGAGCTCACGCCAAGGTGCTTATGGCGGGATGTAATGCAATACTTGTTATCAGGCACATATACATATATAGTCGCGACGGGTGACGCCAATTACATGATCTTACACACTGATATGGATCCTGTGTTGTTTTTACTATGAACTATATACATACGAGAGCTGCTAAATATGGAGTCTTGCCGATAAGGAGCAGCTGCAGCCGCGATGGTGGCGACTGATGGACTGATGTTCGCCAACCGTCCGGATGATGGCCGTGACGATGACGATGATCATCATAAATAGGTAGGTAGGTAGGTAAGGTATGCATCACTACTTACACGCACCTACATGTATATGGTATATGTGTATGCACATCGCATCATATTCATCGTCATCTTAAGGCGTGATGCCATCTGTCCACCCCCCTCCCATTGAGGCTTGCTTACTGACTAATCGGGGCATGTTTATGCGGTTGGGAGTAGACGAAGCTGGCTGTATGTGAGGCCCAGTCTAATTAGTACATGTATCCTGCAGTAAAGCATCGAAGATGGAGGGAAGGGGGCATAACTGCTACAGCATGAAGTATGTACCTAGACCATCTCCATGTAAGTAGGTAGTGTGTGTATCTGTTTATATCTGTACATGCGTGTAGATGTCGGCAGCAGCAGCATCAGCAGGATGAGAAGGATTTGTGCGATGCAGCTCTAGCGGGAAGAGACGGGAGGGGATCCCTGTGAGTCTTTTTTGCCATTGCTTGAGTCTCTTCTGCCAAATGCCGATAGCGATAGTCCGTACTATGCGTGGGGTATCTGCATGTAGATGCATGTAGTTCCAGTCTATTCACCGTCTGTCCTTCACCCCATCTAATTAATCACATTCATTGCTCAATTTCTTCATTCATCTATTTATTTACTTTTCTGCTTGCTTTGCCTCAGACGGCAAGTCTTGCAGAAGAGGAGCCAGCCCGAAGGAACGAGCAGGATCCGATTTGGTGCGAGCCAATGCGAAAATGCCCGCAAAACACCAACCAACAGCCGGCCTTTTCGTGCATCGCCAAAATACATGTGTGTAGCAGGTACATGCAGTGCATCCAACTGGGCGATGCCCGACATGTACAGCGGACGTATCGGCAATGGCCAAGCAAGGCTGTGCGGCCCAAGGACGGTACATGCAGATACATCCACCGCGGCACGAGCGTTCAAGGACCTCCATCGAGTTGATCAACATGCAAGCCCAACAACAACAAAGTGCCGTGGGCTGCTGCCGGTGCAACCCCCCATTCCATTGATATCATCCCCTCTACGCGTCCACACACACGCTGGACGGACGGCAATTTAGCGGGCGAGAGGGTGCTGTGGGCTGCTGCGGCTGGCCGTGGCCGTAGCGCGCGTTTAGGGCCTGAGTGCGGATTTTACAGGGCAGGATTACAGCGGACTCCCGCTGGGGCACCGGGGCAGACGACGGCGCACAGCGCGAGGCTGGGCAGCCCTGTAAGGCGTAAGGCTGAGCGAGAGAGGAGGGGCGGACGCTGTGGCTGGACCTGACAGCGCCTGTGGCGGTGCTTCTGGAAAAACGAAGATCCCTCCAACCCGTTTCATACGGCAACATGAGCACGAACCGAGGCAGCAGTCAACGACGACGACGACGCCGCGAGCTGGTTCATCGCAAACTCGTCCACTCTTGCATCTCATCTTGTTGGATCTGGAACATCTTTGGCGTCATTCCTTTGCCTGCGTCTTGGCTCGATCTGCGCAAATCCGTCAAAGCCTCGTCTCCACGCCTCTCAGCGATTGGGCCGTCAGAGTTTTCCCTTCAATCTTGGACGGCCACTCACATCACATCTTTCATCATCACTCATCTCATTTTAGACAAGATCAGATAAGCAGCGAGCAAAGACGAAACGAGGAGCTGGTCTCACATCGGGTTGCATATCCCCAGCACTCATTTCTGGGCCGTAAAGAGTTTGGGAACAAACACACTCTCAATACCATCGGCATATCAAAAGCTGTGTGTACATCAGCCACGCAGCTACCAATCAAACAATCATTTCCTCATAGCTCACACCAAACTGTGGGCTCACCCCGTCAGATACCCTGGCCGCCCCGCTGCCAGACGACATCCCCCCTGTCGAGGGCCGGAGAGAGCAGTTTGGCCATCAGCTGGAACTGGAAGAGCACAAGGCTCTCGAAATGAGCGTCGTCGAGATGGCTCTGAGCACGATTGATGGCGTGCCGAATCTCTATGTCGGAGGGTGAGTTTACAGTTCTTCTGCTACACGCATTTTCACATCAATCAATCATGTACATGTATAATTCATCATTGTCATCACCATCATCATCAGTGTGAAACTTCATGGCTGACCTCATCCAATGATCTAGCATATGGGCCCTCCGGCGCTCACAGTCCCTCCTGGAGAGGAAAATCACACACGTCCTCTCCCTAGTCTCTTTCAACCCGGCCAGTCTCAAAAACTTCAAAGATGAGCCCTTCTCTGAATATGGCAAGGCCTTCCAGCACCTTCTCATTGACATTGACGATGTCGATGACTCGGATCTCCTCATCGAGCTTCCCCAGGCAGTCAAGTTCATAGACGAGGGGCTACGAAGCATCAGACCCCGCCGGAAAGCCCCTTCCAGCTCCGACGTTGCTAGCGTCCAAAAGGCCGTAGAGAACATCGCCCTGGATGGCGACAACAAGAGCTTAGCATCGTCGTCAACGTCATCGCTAGTGTCAGCATCCACATCAGCATCAAACGTCCCTCCTCCTGACGCACCACGAGGCCGCCGCGGCGCCGTCTTTGTTCACTGTGCCGCGGGCAAGTCCCGTTCCATCTCCGTCATCATCGCCTATCTCCTCTGGCGCCACCCCGACCGCTTTACCGGCTCTGCAGGCGCAGAATTGGCCTCATCGCTAGTCCCTCAGTATCCCGGGCAGTATGACGAATCTGTCTGTGAGCCGGTCCGCGCAGCTCTCGCGTTCGTCAAGAAGACACGCCCCCTTGCCGATCCCAACAATGGTTTCATGCTGCAGCTCGACCACTGGTGGCGGATGGGCTGCCCGGTCGAGGGGGGTGTTGAGTCTCAACCCATCTATCAGCGCTGGCTCTACCAGCGTGCTGCCAAGGAGAGCCTCGCCGTGGGCCAGGCCCCCTCGCAGCTCTTTTTCGGAGACGAGGTAGCCACTGAGGCATCATCAGCACCATCTATTGATGCATCGTCGACTTCGGCTGCTGCGCCCGCCGGGGAGAGAAAACTCCGCTGCAAAAAGTGCCGCCGCATCCTCGCCACAGGCCCCTTCATCGTGCCGCATCAACCGCGCGCCTTCAGCGATGAGGAGCTTGATGCCGCAAAGGCCCGGGGCCTTCCACCGCCCACACGCCCGCCCTGCCAGCACTTCTTCATCGAGCCGCTTAGCTGGATGCGCGGCGAACTGGAGAAGGGCGAGCTCGGCGGCCGCCTGGTGTGCCCGAACCCCAGATGCGGCGCCGGCGTGGGGCGGTACGACTGGAAGGGTTTCCCGTGCTCGTGCGGTGGCAGAGAGGACCCGGCCTTTTCGCTGCAGAAGGCCAGGGTCGACGAGGAGGTATCTAGGGCAATACTTCGGATGCCACCGGGAGCGAGAGGCGGCAATGGGAACCTATGATGGCCGTAAAGAGACATCGTAACTGCTGCTACTATTGGCATTGGCACTATTAGTCGCACTTCTAAATGAAGGACGAGCAGCAGTAGAATCAAGGCGTCAAACTAACAGCCTTTTTCTCCGTCTTATTGCTCTGATTTCCTACTTTGGAAGAGCGAGCATAGGTGCTGTTTTGCTTGTACCAGGATCACACACGCATACATCACCTCGCCTCACTTCATCTCCATCCCTCTTTTCTCCCTGGCCGTTAGCCACCACGGAGAACTATTGCCTTTCCCCCCCATATACAGTATACCACAGCGCTATGATAACTGCCAAGCAGTGCTTGAAATAGATCGAATCATACGCAAGAAATTCGAGACCCGCCTATGTCGCTTACTTCGCCTATAATCGTAGATTTTTTTCTCTCTCTCTCTCTCTCATCATCTTTCTTGCCTTGTTTCGCAATAATACTCTCTCGTATCTAACCGATCTTGGGATGCACCCCCAAGGCTTGATTTATGCTTGTACGCATTCAGACTGCCAAGGGTTATAGGCAATAGTGGTATTTCTCTCTTTCTGCCACTACATGCTTAGTCTTAGGATGCATGATTGTAACGTCCGCATGGCATGATAATGTTAAAACTGTAACTGAGGGGCTCCATTGAAAGATAGAGAGAATAGGGGAAACTGGGGCTTCCTGACAGTCGTGTCTGCGAACAGTGCTGATAGGGCGTTTCCCTTCCTTCTCTCTCTCTTCTGATTCTCAAGGGTACAATTATGTGGAACGCAAGTCATGTCATGCATCTACCACATTTTCCCACTTTTTATTTTCTTTTCTTTTCTTCTCGTACGAATGATAACATGGATATATCAACATCTGAGTTTCATACACCATTATCTACAATCGGCAAATTCTCAATATCACAACGGACAAGTTTCCCATTGACAGCACTACTATTGCGAAAAGTTACGTAGCATCGTAGGGCTGCATCCACACGCATGTGTACTTGGGACACAAGCCGCGCTCTCAACATATACCCAGTAACTGCAGAGGACCCATTTCCCAACTCGTACAACAGTACAGCCTTTTCTTGTCAGATACAGTTAGCTTTCAAGTATCCCTCGGCATTTCATTGCCGTTGCTTTTCCGGAAAGTTTTCATTTTGGCAAAGCCCGGACAAATCACCACCCCCCCGGCCCGTCTGCGGACCGATCAAACCCCCGGGATCGGTGAAAAAAAGGAAGGCGTATTAGTATTTATCTGACTGCCGAAGTATTCAAATCAAGGAACTTTTTTTTTTTTTTTTTTTTTTTTTTTTTTTTTTTGAATTATATTGCCGGCGGACAGAAGAAGACAAATTATTATAATGATAAAGCCTGGAAGAAAGGGGGGGTTTCTTTCGCCTTTGGGTGGGAGAGCCAAACTGGAAGAGGTTACAGGTGGGATAGTAACAGCAATAGTGCTTCTACTAGAATATGACCAGTTATGGAATATATACTATTATATGTATGCCGAAGAAAAGAGACTAAAAAAAGGACCAAACATTGAATGATCTGTATGACTTTGCGCCTTGCAGATACAGCAGAATAGATTGATTTTCCGTATGCTTTCTTGTCAGGGGAGGGTCTCCTAGCTCGTAGAACTGACTCGGCGTCATCAGCTTTGCTTCTTTCGGCCATGCTCTTGCTGACTGACACAACTTTGTGGGAGCTCCATACATAGCGCCTATACATACATATATACATAACGTATTATATCCGGCTGTCGCTGAATTAGTTATCACAGCCTTTTGCTCCTAGCGCCGGTTTTAATAAATCCCGGAAGGTGGTTGGCCAGAATAAACAGCACTAACAAGCCAAACTTATCATCAATACATATAGAGCAGGGTTCGGCATTTTTAGTATATCAAACAAGAACGAAGCTATTAGTACTAGACTATCATGTTGACGGAGTTGCGCGGTTTTTTTGATTTTTTGGCCTTGTGTTCGGGCCGCTTATCTCATTTACTGACATGATAACTGGCATGCGCGGTGTACTTGAAGAGAGAGAGTAAGAGAGTCGGGCAATTTCGCCAGATCGAGTTTGCCGAGCCTTGATTGCCAGGGTTTTGTTATCAGAGACAGAGAGGGACAGTGAGAGCTTTTCGTATAACCCTATCAACGAATACACGTCGGCCCTCTTTGTTCTAGAACAGGAAAAAAAAAAATAGATCAGGATCCGCTTCCTTATAGGCAACAGAATTAACAAATAGGCAACCATATAAAGAAATGAACAAAACAGGTGTGATCCTTTGTCAGGCGTTGAGCTAGGATACAGAAGGGGTAAGAGGCCAGGACAACTCGATAACCCTCATACAGTAGCATGTATGTATTCCCAGAGTAGAGCTGTAACATTCATCTCCCCGAGTTTCAACTCTCTGAATCCTTCATTTACCATTGCATCAACAAGGGCTTTTCTTAACACGATGTTGGTGATAATACAACGTAATTGCAAAAAATATGGCCGCTTTCGGCCGCAGGCCAGCACTGGACACTGGGATCCCTCCCCCCCCAAAAAAAACACACCCTTTGCCACCCATTGCACTTTCTAGAATCTTTCTCTTTTGCTCTGCTTATTCTCTCTCATATCGTAAACTCGACATGGTCGCTTAACTTCCTGGTCCTTAACCGCAAGCCTCCTTACGCCAGCTTACTGCCCAAACGAAACAAAAGGTCATGGAGGCGTCTTGTTAGCGAAAAAAAAAAAAAAAAAAAAGGCACCAGGTTCTAGGGATACCACGTAGCTGGGATCGTCGGTGATCCCGGGAAGGGGGGGGAGGGGTTCACAAAAGGCCAAGCCATGCGGCGGCAATTAAGTTTGTTTCATCAACCCCATACAATCTCGATCCTTTAGACAAGCTGCATTTCCTATGCACAGATGCTCTTTGACAAAATTGGTAAGAAGGAGTGTTTTCAGCAACTTAGTGCGATCGATTCCGAGTTTCTTCGTCGTATGACCTGCTGGTGTAAGCAGGTTCAATTTCAAACGTGGCTTGAGTAGCCAAGTCCAACTAGAGCCCAGGGGGGGTTGTTGCTTAAACTATATGCGGGAATCTTCTTGTTGGCCCTAAAGATAGAGAGAAAACAGACACGAGAGGGCAAAGAGTGGATTCAAATTGCGGTGACTGATTGTTGCAATCTCTCAATACTACTTTCTGTCGCACCAATCATCACCCCACGTTCGAGTTCAAAACTCCAGATGGTTTACTTGTGAATTATCCCTCCCCCAGTAGAAGCACATCCTGTCTTCGTTTCTTGGATGGATAAGGAATTAGCCGGCCGTTGGAATACGCCCCCCTGGAAATATTCTCCTTTCAGGGTCTAGTCTTCGCAAACTCAAAAGAAAAGAGAAAAAAAAAAAAATGATAGAATGCACCGAAAATCGCCCAGCATCCGATGACAGCTCGGAGCGGGTCATGGGGGCGTTGCAGCAACCTCCACAAACAAGGCCGAGTCTTCATGCCCTTCCATTGGAGTGGAAGCAATGGGCCCTTCCACTAGGGACTCACGGCGGAAGCTGGCCATGGCTCAAAACTTGGATCCTATGGAGTAGAGGGGTGAAGTTTCCTGCTCAAGCCCGTTTGTCCCTGGCCATCGCTAAGGCCTGCAGGTTGAACCGCGTAACACACTCCGTATCCGTGGCATTTATCCACCGGTCAGCTAGTCCTTCCCTTCTTACCTTCTAAGTGGGTAGTCAAGTATATGCACATGGCTCTACATTTTGAGTTTTTTTGCTGGTTCGCCGTCGCAAATACCGGGAATTCGTCAATAGTACTACCGGTAACTCGAAGCCGAGATGAAAAGCTAGCGCGGATGACAATAATCTTTGTCAGGAAGCCTTTATTCTATACGCCCAAGTCTGTTTTAGGCGACCGAAACGTCAAAAACCAAGCAAAGCTCAAGAGGGCTCCGAAAAAGAAGAATAGCAAAGAGAAAAGAGCAAATTCTATTTGTGATCAAGGCAGTTATTAGTCGGAGAGGTTCCGTCGCAATTGTTTGTGGCTTGAATGCTGAATTGATTGGCTAACGAGACGCAACGACGACGAATGTGTAGGGCGTAACAAAGTGCGTAGGGCGTAACAGAGTGCGACGGCACGCGCCTAGTCCCATAGATACGCACACAAAGGCAGCCAATGGCAATTGAAACAGCCGCCGAAGACGGGACGCCGACATGGCAGATCCCCAGATTACTTCTCGGTACAGCAATCAAGAGTGCTCCGTAATGGAGCCGTACGTGTATACAGTACATGCTCGTATGCAGGATGAGCCCAAATGGGCATCATCTTGGTGGGCAAAGGCGAGGCCAAGTCGCAGATGTCAGCATGCAGAGCAGGGTTGCGCAATGCAAATTCCATGCCAACAGTCCTTGTTAGCAGCGAGGCCATTTCCCTCCAGCTAGGCCCAGGGGGGGGAGGGGGGTGTCTGAAATCTGGTCGTCAAGATGCGCTGAACTGGTAGGATCCCAGAAAGATGATGGCCTATACGAATTTCGGTATAGAGCTGGGTCCTGCTGCAGACATGTGCATAACCCAGTAAGAAAGAGGGCTGCTGCTAATAGCACTCCGCCGATGCTTTCTCCGACGACCTCCCCCGAATGCGTTCTCCGAAGGCCCGCGCGCTTGTGACATCTCATGGGCCATACAAGTAATTTTGTAACTGTAAGTCTCTTTGAAGCCACTCTGTATTAGAGGTCAGGCTTACTTGGTGCAAGTATCAGTCCATGCCTGGCTGGGCCACATCGAGTCTCACTCTGAGCTTGTCGTTGGATGCTCTTTGGACTTTGAATTTGGCTCGTCACCTTGGCCTGTTTGTGGAAACCGGAGACCTAGAGGCTCGAAAGTTTGTCTTTAGTCGCCGAATTGTCGTCCTTGGAGCTCATGCAACTTGAAGATGCTTCCAACGCCCGCAGTTCCCTGTTTGAAGAAAACAAGTATCCGCCGTCCGCACAAGGCTGGAATATCAATCATATGATGCAATGAAAAACGAGCCAGTGGACTGGAGAACCAAGACCCCCCTCCCTCTTTTTTCTGGATATTTTTTCTTCCCTATGGAGTTTCGTCTTGTGGAGGGGGTGTAATTTCAGCCCAGGAACTGCAGTGGCACAACATGGAGGCTGGATAGCTGCGCCAGTGGTGCTCGTAATTGACACCGCAAGTGTAAGCACTAGTCAAGCTGCCACCATCTTGTCGTCTTAGGCTCTCCATCTGCCACGAACTGCAGCTATGCGCTGTATTGCACAAGTACTGTACTAGTTGTAGGTGCTTGTAGAGTAGGTGCCCCATAGTACAAGTAAGCTTCGGATGGATCGATCACCAGCTTCCGCAGTTAGCAAGGCTCTCCCGATTCGACAGTTGATGTCAGCGAGGCGTGGTGCCTCTGTTTCGGGATCCGACTAACCAACTCGTAAACACCCTCGCTGAGTTTTACCGAAAATTGACAGCTTCCATCCGCAGCTTGCATGATTGGCCGGTATATACCTCGTATTATTTGGATTAAATCAACAAATATCGGCCAAGTAAAATGCTGACAAATGTCTGCTCATCATGGCGTGTTTGCAGATCCTTTTGTGCCCGAGAATCTCGCTAGAACGGATGAAACGAACCATTGTTGAACCATTGAATCGGTAAGGGCGAGTATTGGAGGCGGGAATGCTTTTGCTCAAAGAGGAGAACGCAGCGTTTCGGATTGCATGATTTGGGAAACATTCTGGTTTAGACAGATGAGCGAATGGACCAAATTAGGCCATCGAATTGTCCGAGTATTATTCTGTTTTTGGATAGATGAGCTAATCGAGAACAAATTTAGTCCGTCAAAGCCTCAAAGGTATGAGCTCCCAATTCTTGCTGATGTTATGGCTGTTTGTTCAGTCGCCCACTTTGTTGTGTGGGAAAGGACAAGGTAAACAAGAAAGCCGGCTCAAAAGGTGGCTTTGGTGCGTCATATAAGTTAATGTGGTAGGGCGATGTCGATGAATGGCTTGTTGAGGCTGGACTGGCTGAGCTGGATGCGCAGACGCTGTTTATCGTTTAGGTGCTCCAGTCGGTACAGATGGGAAGTAATTGGGTTGAGATGCTCTTTCGCGGTCTCGCTTGGCAGCTTCTGCTTGACGCTTGCGTTGTAACCGCTGCTGGTAGAAGACACTATTGCATCGTGTTAGTATGATGGCAAGCAACGAGCCCTACTCCTGTGCTCACCTCTTGAGTTCAAAAACGCGCGGCTCTTCCTCCTCTTTAGGAGTCTCTTCACCAGTGCTCTTTTCCTGGTTTCTTGTCAGGACATAAACAATCTCCAAGTGTGTTTTCTGAGGATGCTGTGCAACTTACTTCATCTTCATCCTTATCCTCCTTCTTTTCTTTGTCCTTGTCCTTGTCTTTGTCCTTGTCCTTATCTTTCTTGTCTTTACCCTTTTCCTTCTCTTTCTCCTTCTCCTTCTCCTTTTCCTTCTTCTTACGCTGCCTCTCTTCATATTCCTTCTTCAACTTCTCCTTCTCCTCAGCCAACTCCTTCTCCCGCTTGGCCTTGACCGCATCTTCGTCAATCTTGGGACTACAAAAGCTACGATCCTTTAGGTGCACGGGGCAGATGTAGAAGAAATCCTAAAGCAAGCCGGCCACGTTAAATAAGTTGCCCCAGAGCCACGAGTCTGGGAGCCTTTGGGAGTCACGGCGTTACCTTTTTGTCTGGCGTGATGAGCACCGATGTGCTGGGCTTGTAGCAGACGTCGCACGCTTTGGCGGCAGCCTCGGCCACCTTTCGATGGGTGTATAAGTTGGCAAACGGAGCCGCCATGCTGCCAGGCAAAATCCTAGGAGCTGCTCAAGCTGGATACGGCGTGCAGTGCATGTGTAGTCGGTCTTCTGAAGGCGATCTTGCGTGAATCCAGCACTTGATGCTTCACTCGCTCTCATGGCGGGGATGCCGGCGGCCGTGATGACTAAGCGCGAGCACTTGACGTCGCTGCAGTCGCGTCAGTCCAGCTGTAGCTGTAGAAGCAAATAAACCCAAAGCCCTCAACCGCGACGTGCGCAGCTGAACCGGCCATTGATTCCCGTCCATCGCAGCATTCTGTCGGCACCGAACCCGTCCGCTGCGTGAAAATGGCCCCGTCACTCAACACGCAGAGAATAGACGCCGTCTTCCAGGCTCGGCCTGACATCATTGCCAGCATCAGCCAAGCTGCAGGTATATACGTCCATTCCACAGCCAGCACACAGCTCGACGGCACAGCCTTGCGTAGATGGAAGCTAATTGCGGTTCCAAGACTCTCCCGGGCGAATTGCCCTTTTCAACGAAATCGCCGACCACGTCTACGAGCGGCTACAAGAGCATGGAGAGCCGACACAGAAGCGGAGGAAGGTCGGCGCAGAGACGGGCGGCAGCCCAAGCAGTCAGGCGGCGCTGTCAAACGCAGCAGACGAGGCTGTTCTTTTGAGCATTGCGGAGATTTCGGTGTCGGTCCCTCAGAGGAAGAAGCTGGAGATATGCTTCACCTCAAACCACTTATATGCCAGAGCCCCTGGAACAACAGCTCCCCTGCAGGGCGCCAGCTACGCGTGGAGGGATATTGGTACGTCGTGCCTCACCAATTCACCAAGCACCTATCCAGGATTCCCATCCAGACTGACAATTTGACCACAGAATATGCATTTTATCTGCCCGTCCCTGACAAGGCTCAGGTTCAGCACAACTACATCATATTCCCCAAGGGAACCTGTTTACCTTCCAAGACGGCTAATCCACCATCCGTGGAGCCGCTCGTCTTCACCGTTCCTGCAACTTCCCCAAAGCAAGGCACCATTGGGGGGAGTGAGTCAGGGGCTGCTGCCGCAGTGTCAGATAACTACAAGTCCCTGTTCCACTGGGCCATGAACCAGCGGCTGCAGGCTGCAGGCACCGGCGTCAAGATTGTCTCTGCCGACCCAAACAAATTCCACAGCATGATTCGCCAGCCTCACCGGCCAAACGAGACGGCGGTCCATATTGGCGGCTTCAGGGGCTCAAAGGACGGCTACCTCTTCTTCCTCGAAAACGGCATCTTCTGGGGCTTCAAGAAACCCCTCATCTTTATCCCCATGAACCGCATTGCCGCGATTAGCTACACGAGCATTCTGCAAATTACGTTCAACATGGTGGTCGAAGTCTTCACAGAGGAGGACGGCAAGACAGAGGAGCTCGAGTTTGGTATGCTGGACCAGCAAAACTACGGCGGCATCGACGACTACGTCAAAACCAACAGACTCCAGGACAGAAGCATGGCTGAGCAAAGAAAAGCGAAGCTGCAGCTGGCTGAAAACAAGGGCCCTAAGAAGAAGGATGGAGAAGGGGAAAATGGCGACGCTGATGCAGCCGATGCAGCAGGCGATGGCATGACTGAGCTGGAGCGTGCACAGCTGGAGGCTGAACAACAGCTACAGGATGATGAAGACGAAGACGAGGAGGACTATGATCCTGGAAGTGAGGGGGAGAGTGAAGGCTCAGGCTCCGACGACGACGATGATGACGACGACGATGATGATGAGGACGATGAAGAGGAGGATGACGAAGAGGACCCAGAAGGCGAAGAAGGAGAGGGTGGCGAGGAGGAAGAGGAAGAAGAAAAGCCCGTCGTCAAAGAACAGCCTCCAAAGCCTACCCCAAGGGCAAGCAGAGCAGCCAAACCAGCCAAACCAGCGGCAAAGCCCGCGGAACCAGTCAAAGCTGAGGAGCCCAGCATACCTGTTCGAACAGGCTGGGCAGCTTTCACTTCCCGACCAGGCACAGACGTCGACATGGCTGATCATGATGATGAAAAGTTTGATGTGGTGGGATAAAGGGGGAAGGGGAAAGTATCTTGAGACCAGAAAAACAAAGGACACATGTGTCTCCTCCTTATAAGTGAATGAATATTGGGGTGCATGTTTGAGTTGGCGTTTGAAAAGTAAGAAAAAGGATACTAGGTCGGCCAGGAGGTGCGGGCTTCATGATACTCAAGTTACCTCTGCAAGGCGTTGAACGTAGCAAGGCAGATATGATGCTTGGGTGTATATATTTGTGAGAGGCTTTAAAAGGCCATCGCTGATAATAGAGACACATAATGACACATCTCACTTTACAAATTGTACTGGTAATCCACAACGGTGAATGCTGATACTACCAATTCTCAAAAAAACACATCATTTATTGAAGAAACTGAGACTCCATGATACCAATCAGTCAATACTAAATCCCCCAGTGGCATGGTAAACAAGGTTATACTCTATATCAATGTAAACTCTACAGCGTAGAGCCCAAGCTAGAAAAAGTTTCGCTCTCTTGCTTTCCCTTATTCACCCCATTCCTTCAAGTTGGCCAAAGCAAGATAATGTTCCGCATTCACAAGGACAAGCGGGTGTCTGTCTATACTCGACAGATACGAGGTTATCAGTTTTATTTTCAGTTTAGATTATGCTGAGAAGACTCGGAAGGCTCTTCATCCATGATGAAATCAGCCTCCGTCAAGAGGGGCATCATCGTAAATTGAGGAGTCTCGGCAGAACGTGGAGGTGGAAGAGGAGGCGGCGGCATAGTGTTTATCAGCGCAGGTCCTGGCGCAGGTCCTGGTGTAGCGTTGAAGGCGTGAGGGTGTAAGAATGCAGGCTGAATCCAGTCCTGTTGCTGTTGTGCTTGGTCAGTAAGACCAACAGCTTGATCCAGAGCGGTAGAATCGCGAGTCGCAGGGTAAATCAGTCCTGGCCCATTGTCTTGTAAAGGAAGATTCTGCGGATGGAGATTCTGCGGATGGAGATTCTGTGGTGGAAGATCCTGTGGAAGATTCTGTGGAAGAGCTTCTCTATTTCCGCCTTGTCCTCTTTCAATAGATTTTCCTTTGAGATCTCTCATGGCGTCTTTGAATCGCATTGCTGTGCGATGAAGCAATGCCCGCTGCTGTCTCATGCTATGTTCGATTTTTGCCTCCTCAAAGGTAATACAAACACATGCCTTCACATGCTCAAGGAAGATGTTTGCGTTGACGAAAGTATTGCCGCAGCCGGGACAGGATTCGAAGCAATCAACGTCTGTGGAATATTAGCACAGACTTCCATCCCACAATGGGCTCAAAATAGAATGACATGCGTTTGGCAAAATGCCCTTTCAACTGCGCAGATCGCAACACCTGAGAGCATTGAGGCATTGGACATTCGCTGATGGAGTCTGGCACAGGAGGTGTTTCTTCATCGGGCTCATCGGGCTCGTCTATTTTTATGGGTACAAGATGCGCAGATGCTTTGCTGATTCTCTCTATTAGAAAGGTGATGAGTCGCTGGATGAGAGTCAGCGGCAGTCAACAAACGCGATGTGCTTGTCTCCAGGGCGCGAACCGTGTAGGCATCAATATGGAGCTCAAGCTGGGTTATGGTCGAGAATGAGACGAAACATGTCTGGCACTTGAATTGCGAGGCTGGTGGGGTGGGATTCATTGCAGCGCAGTTGTATATCGATGGCTATCGGCTTGTTGTGAATTAGAACATGTATTGGATTGGATGATGGGATGATGGGGGTGAAGAGAGAAAAGAAGAGGGATGCAGGTAGACTGGATAGAGTACAGAGTATGTTGTATTTGTATTGTATGGTGCCTGCTTCATTGTTATTGAAGCAAAGTTATCCAAAAGCAAAGACTGGTTCATCAGCCGTAGAAGGAATGACCGACAGGAATCTCATAACGGCACGACCGATGATAGAGAGAGATTTCACTAGAACACAATATACTTGAAAAGTATCAGTAATAAAGCAATAGAGGTGGTAAAAGTAATAAAAGTAATAAAAGTAGTAGAGGCAGTAAAGGCACAATCCAACAAGGCTTTATCGACTTGAAGGACCGACCACTCTTGGAACCTCAACAAGGTCAAAGAATGTCTCATCAAGGAAAGCAGCGACCATTTTAGAGCTGAATAATGATCATAAAGGCATCAATGATAGAGGTAGTTGACAACATTAACAAGAGACTTACTTTAAGCTTCAAGGCTACTGTCAACATATGGAAGACCTCCCGCAGTTAGGTAAACACTCCTTTAACTAGCAGTTACATATATAAATCAACCAACAACTTGGTCTCATATCCGCCAAACAACTGGGCCAATAACTCATTCTTCATCTTAATTTTATCTCTGCCAAGCTGCTGGTTACATCGACACTCCGACTACATTATTATCGATTCAAGGGTGTGTTAGAAGGAGGGAATCCCCAACAGGGTAGTCACATATTGGTTACATAGTAGCAGGCATATTTTTGTTAATTCTAGCTTAATCTCTCTCTCTCTTAATCATCACAATCCAATCTTTAATTCTTCCCCTTCTACTGCAACAGAGACTCTAAAAGATTAAATCTCTTGTAATTTCATTCACGACTTTTAAGTTACTACCAGAGTGCTAGACAACAAAACTGGGGCGTTGAATCAACAATCCCCCAGGAACAACAGAGCAGTCACGTGCATATCCCCGTGACCTCACCTCAAACCTCCAACAAGCTCCATTGCTTCTTCATATCGCCCAAAAAATCATCCCGCGCAACAGCCCACCACAGCGACATTCCGGCCTCGCATCTCCCCCCCATTGCCTCAGCCCCGTCCCTCCACAAAGACAGACAACCTCGCCCAGCATGTCAGGGAGCGCCAAGGCCATCCGTCTGCCCCCCCTCAAGACCCTGCGGGTGCACAATCCCAAGCGCCAGCCCGAGAACCCATGCATCGCCATCATGTCCAGCGTCCTCGGTAGGTGCTGCCTCTCTCGTTTGCAGAGGAAAAAAAAGTTGGTGCTAACTTGCAATTTTTTTTTTTTTTTGTGAACACAGCATGCTGGGCTTCGGCAGGCTTCAACGCTGCTGGCTGCGCCGCAATTGAGAACCAGCTCCGGAAATGCATGGACGGCCCTGCGCCTCCGCCGGCACCTGCGAATACGATCAACTACCACTTGTCGAGGATGCAGAAATACGTGACCAGCCCGAAGAAGCAGAAATAAAAAAGAAGGAGGGGGATAATACCAAAAAATTGGGGAAATGAAGGGATTCAACGCAAGTTCAAGTACATGTCGAGAGGAGGGGCAATGGCCCTGTACGATTTCTACCGTCGATGATACGGATGTGCGCCCAAATCGGATTTATACAGCGAGCCAGGGATGGGATACACATGGTCGAAGGGAGAGAAGGGGGGGGGAGAGAGATTATCAAGCAGATATTGATTTGGGTCTGTTGATGGAAGTGTATACGGAATTATGCGCAAGGACACGAGCGTTTTTTTTTGACGAACCATCAAAAGTAAAGGATGGGAGAAGAGCAGACGAGACGAAAGATTCACCGGCGTTGGTTTGCCACTTTGACGATATCACAAAAGGAAATGTACAACTCACATATTTGGAAGGGGGGAAAGGTTTATAAAAGAGTGCTGCAAAGGGGAGAGAGGGGGCATGTCGAACCTATAAGATAAGATGAGATAGAGCATTCATTCATGTACAAATAGCAGATATAAAATGCAAATAAAGCTTTTCAAAAGGAATAAATTACAATTCTCTCCTTGTAATATTGCGTCTATTACCAGTCACATTATGCACAAAGGACATAAACTTTTGTAATTTTTTTGTTTTAATTCAGCTCTCCGTTTGCACTTTTGTCGTCCTCCTTTTCTATCTATCCAGTACTAAGGAACAAGAAACATCCAACAGCAAAATCCATCATTTCAAACACGACAAAAAAACAGAGAGAGAGGGGGAGAGAGAGAAAGAGAAAGGTATAGTGGTAGGGTAAGGGGGTAAAGAAGCAGGAGGTGTTGTGAGATGATAGTAACAAACACAAAAAGCCAAAGCATGCATAAAGGCAAAAAAGAACCAAAAAAAAACAAGACGGGGAAAAAAAAGCATCCTCCCAAAACAAACACTATTGGCAAGATAGCGAAAAACAAAAAAAAACAAAAAAAAAAAAAAAGTGAATACCCTTCTCAATTCTCCTATAAAAACCTCCCGTCTTTGTCACTAGCGCCATAGAATCCCATGAATAAAAAATAAAAATAAAAATGAAATATGAAATGATAGTAGAGAAATGGTAGAAGAAACACTCAGATAAAGCTGCATCTTAATATCAAGATGGTGTATTCCCTATTCATAATAATATAGGTAGGGTAGTAAAGAGAAAAGAAGATAAGGAAAATTCTGGAGAGAAAGAGTGTATCGTTGAGACGGCCGCCCTCTGCTATAGACAGCATATTCTCGCTGGACTAGATTTCTAACTGTCCAGCAGTGATTTTTTAGGCACGCATGTCCGTCGCAATAAGCAAGCCTTGCGCATCTTGGTTTCTTTTTCTTGTCTTTTTTTTTTCTGGTGGTATTTATAGATTTAAGCGTCGCGGCTGCAAAAAGAGTAAAGAATATGGCAACGGGCCGTCGACAACGGAAGATAGATATCTGGGTGCGAATGAATGACCAAGGTTGGAATCGGACAATAATAAATAGCATATAAAGTAAAATTTGGTTGGTCATAATCGCACATATCGTGTGGTGTCGTGTCTATATGATTTTGAGAGGTATCTTTGGTAGTTGTTGGCCTTGAACCGTCGTTAATATGGTGGCAGTTTTCGTGCCGGTCTAATAAAAAATAATTTTTGCTGCTGCTATGCAATGGCTCTATACACCAAAACATGCGAATGCTCCTTGGTGGTCCGTAGAATAAGTATGCTTTCCTCCACAATAATTCATTTCTCTCTTCTCATCTATAGAAGAGCGTGCTTCTTTCATCTTCTTCCAAAGGAAATGCTTCACGTGCGGATCTATTATGTCGCCATATCTCCGACGCAGAAGAGTTCTATCTCTCCTACACCGCCGCTGTACGCATTCTTCATACCGTCGCGGAACTCCATAAAGGCAATCTGAATGTCGTCATCGCTCTCGATTGTAACAAAGTCCTCGTCTTCGTCTTGATAGCGTAGCTTTAGCATTCCTTGTGCTATGCTGCTGGTGGTGAACCGCGCTAGCTTGGCATCAATCCGATCGACGAGGGACTGGTAAGTGATGTTGAAAGCAACAACGAGCGTGACATAGTTTCCAGTGTCGCAGGTGACTCGGACCTTGAGTTGCGTCGGCAAAGCCACTTCGGGGCTTGCAACAGGGCTGCTCTGTGGAATCTGGGGCACCAATCCTGGAGGCATCATTCCCGAAGGTATCATGCCATGATGAGCAAGCATTCCTTGAGACATTGTCGCAGTGCCGAGAGACGGTGATACGGTCCTCGAGTTGGCCGCTGCAGGGTCAACACGAAGGCCGTTGCTGCTCGTGGGCGGTCCAGGTGTAGTCTGTCGAGGGTAGACGGGCTGGGTAGGGAACTGTGCCATGGTACCGCCAACGCTGCCCGAGTGCGAATGCTTATGTTTGTGTATCCGCTGGGGCTGGGAGCCGGGGCTCTGAGTACTCGTCCGGCTGGCTGGCACTCCTGCTTCGTTCCGGGGGGAGCCTGTTTGCGATCTCGGGATGGAGCTGTCATGAGCGGGATGGAGATGCAGGGGAATGCCGGGGACAGCGGGGATATTGCTCTGGCTTGGTTGGCGTCGCTGGCCCTGAGCAGCGGCATCAGGAGTGCTGTACGAGCGGCTCCTTTGCGCCGCCGGGTTTGCGCTGTGTCTGCCATTCATGTAGGCACTGGGCGGCGTGCCGTCTCGAGATGGGGCACGGGGCATTGCTGGCGCCGTGTAGCGGTTGTTCTCATCCCATCCTGCCTGAGGAGTCCCTGCTTTTGAGAATGGGTTGGCATTTGGTGAGAATACTCCACTGGTTGCACTGGTTCGAGAAGACGCAGGTGATTCGCCAATGGGTGAAAAGTAGCTATCTCCTCCGCGAGCCCCTGGCGATGGAACGGTCATGCTGCTCTGGGTCTGTAGGGACAAGGGCGCTGGCGGCATTGGTAGCGGGAATCGTGGCGGAGGAGCTCGCGCGATGCTGGCCAGAGACTGCGACGACTCTACGGTTACCGAGCCCTTTCTCAGGTCTCTCAGATTGGAGCTCGATGCGGTTCTGGGGATGGCCATGGAACCTCCGAATGAGTTTGTTGGCATTGGGAACTGAGCAGGAGCAGTAGCGGGGCCGATATCGTCGTCATCGTCATCGTCTTGCTGTAGGTAAGGGTTTTCAAGGCCGCCTGCCTGATCACGCGTCCAGGCAAAGTCCGTGGGATTGTCGTCTGGGCTCGTGGCAGTGCGAGGCGCATTCTCCTTACGTTGCGTCTCCAGACCCGTAGCCCACTTCCGCATCATCTCCTCCGTGAGGAATTTGATGGTGAAGTTTTCGACGCCAGGATCGCCTTTCCACCAGATTTGAACACTGTGAGAGCCTGGCTTAGACAGAGACACTACATCAGTGACATTGGTCATGAATATTCTGCCCTTGAGTTGCAGCTTGGCGTTCTTGTTCTTCTGCTTTGGAAGTGATTGCAACCGAGCCCTTTCTTTCTTGTCCTTGGTCCTGTTCGGGGAGATTTCCTTGCAGCACAGCAAAATGCATTCGAAGAGGTAGATCTCGTACTTTAGGGACGGTTAGCTCTCTATTAGGAGACGCAGGGGAGGGAGACTAGTATACGTACGTCCTTCTCTTGTTCGCTCTTGCCAGTGATGACTCCGTAGACACCATGCAATAACAGCTTTCCAAATGACTCAATCTTGTGTGATTTCCAGTCGTCGACTCTGGTCATGAGCTCCTCGAGCGCTTCGTCGAGAAGGTCGCGATTAACGGCTTCGTTTGCTTTCTGGAGAACGCGTTCAGCAGCCTCACATCCTTGAAGCAAATCTTCTTTAGTCTCTGGGTCTTCCGTTTTCTTTGCCAGATCCTGAATAGCCAGTTAGTAAATGGAGAAAAGAAACAGAGTTTATCTCCTTTCAGGGCAAGGAATGGGTAGCCGTAAAAGTTCGTTCGGACATACCTTGAGTAGCAGCGGATACTTGACTAGACGTTGCATAGGCTTCAAGAGAAATCCATCCAGGGTGTTGAAGTCGGCAGCGACGGGGTGGTCTGACAGGCGGATGAGATCGAAATTTGAATTGGCAATTTGCGCCGCCTTGCGCTGGTTGGCGATGAAGGGCTGGTAAATGTTAAAGAACTCTTCGTGGGTGACAAACGGCTGGCCCCATCGCTGGGTGTCGGTCGGCATGGAGTTTGTGGTTTCGACGCGAATGAGGAAGCGGCGTTGGAAGTCGAGGATAAAATTGATGTTGAGGAAGATTTGGTGAACAATGTCGCCAGTAATTACCCCCTTCTGCTCCAATGCCTTCTTCAAATCGTGCAGATTTTCCAAGTCCTGGACATATTTGCGCTCGGTATCCACAAGTTCTTTAATGACGTGATCTCGATAGGTCATTTTGGAAGCGCCGTTGGTGTCGGCAGGCTCGCCATCGGGATAGGCCTGCTGCTGGAGAAGGTATCCGCGCTGCTCTGCAAGGTCAAGGACGTAATTAACGACTTGGGTAACCTGATGTAATTGTTAGAATTTTTTTTTTCCAGTCGAAGAAAAAGCAAATAGCAAAATAAATTCATTCATCCACCAGTGCCAGAAAAAAAATGCACATTTCCCCCCCCTCCTCCTTTCGTCTTGTGAAGGGGAGGAATGAGTTATGGGATACTTGCCTTGACAAAGCCGCTCGTGTCGGTGCCCATCAAATCCGTTATGACAAAACTGTCGGCCGGAGGCACCTGAAGTTCCTTCATGCATGCCTGGACGAACTTGAAGATTGCGATCTTGGACTTCTTGGCGTCGGAGGCATTGGGGTCGTCGACGGCCAGCGGTTCAGCCGGCCGCAATGTGTTGTAGATTAACAGCAGCGGATAGCCAGAGCGCAGGAGATTCCAGAGGGGATCGACTGGATCTGTCGGGTCGAGGTGCTCCAGGAACTGCTCGAAGCCCGGCACCTGGGCCAGGCGCTGCTTGAGGGAGATGCATATCTGGTAGAGGGAGCGAGAGGCGTCGGCCTTCTGGTTGATGATGTTACTGGTGGCCACGACCGGGCCATTGGCAACCACCGTCATGTCGCTGTTGAGTGAGGTGAGCGACGTTGAAGATCCAGCATAGGCGGTTGATCCAGACAGCTGGCTAGTGCGCGGCGCACTGCTGCTCATGCTTTGATGTGGTAAACCGCCCGCTCCGTTGGGATGAGACTGGAAGACCGGGGCCGTGTTGGTTCTGAGCAGGGGTGCATGAGCCATGACCTCTTTACTCCATCCGTCGGGGGCCCGATATCAGGGCTGGTCCTAGTAGCTGCGTCTGAGGTCGAGGTCGACGACTCGATGAAAGGGCGGTTTTCGGTCGAGCGAGAGGTGGTCAGGGTTGAGAAAGAAAGAGGAGGAAAACAGGGGTGGTGCTCAGGCCGAAGGCGGGGGGTTTAGCGAACGAGTTTCTCGTGGAAGACCAGTCCGTGGGTTGCGGATCCCTAAAGAGCACGGATTCACGTCATTTAACGCGAAAGGCCAGTGTCAATGGGTTGTTGGACAGCCTCACGAGCCGTTCGCCACAGGCAGAGCAGGCGGGCGGAGCGAGTCTGGCGCTGAAGGGGGTAGGAGTTCGACGAGGCTTTCTTTCGGCGAAGAGAGTCGGCGGAAGATGCCCGTCGATTCTGCGTACCAATGGGGCGTAAACCTGTCTCGCTGACAGACGCTCGCTCTCTATGTCTCTTTCTCTCTCTTATGTCTCTCTCTATATTGCTTCTGGTTCTCTGCGTCTAATTGCGTTGTCTATCTCCTTCTCCTTCTTCTTCTTCTTCTTCTTCTTCTTTGTTGGTCTACTGTGTACGTGACGGCTCGTCAATCAAGCGAACAAGTATCTCTTGTCTCTGTCGACTGGTTTGGTGTTTGTGAAAAACGACTGCGACTCTCTCTACTGCTCTACCTGTTGTGGCATGCAGCAGTAGCGATAGGCAGCGTCAAGGCTCGAAACGGGGTATCGAAAAGGGCCCAGCGGTGCTGGCGCAACGCTTCTTTTGCGATCTGCCGGTCGGATATAAGGAATGGATGCCAGTCGGTGTGCGGGGACGCTGTCAAAGACAACCGCTGAGGCTGCAGCAGAGGCAGCAGGATCAGGAGGTATAAAGGGGGAGCCAGGAATGGGCACAGAGAGAAGAGAAGAGAGGCTGCCGACAAGCAGACGAGTGGAGGAGAGGAACGCAGCAGCGAGACTGCGTGCTAACGGCAGTACAGGCAGCGACAGTACCTCCGCAGGCGCGCAGCGGTGGGCAGATACTCGGCGCGAGGTACCGTCGCCCGCAGGCGCTACGGCCAGACACCCAAAGGGCAGCATCATGCTTTTTGGTGGGCAGGCATCAGTTGATCTACAGGCTCTGGGGGCTGCTAATTGGGACGATTGGGGCGGTTTAGCGCGCCAGGCTCGATTTCAGGGGGCTCAACTGGGGGGCTGCAGAGGGGGGGCGCTTCGGCGACCCTTTTTTCCATCGTTTTCTCCCGTTCTTTTTTTCCTCCCTGCCCGCCACAGCCGTCGTCGCTGTGGCTGTTTTCTGCTCCCCCCTTTGGCCCTCTGGCCGCTACCCCGTGGTATTGCCATCTGCCATTGTGTTTAGCCAGACGCCAGGTTTGCCACCGTGGCAGCAAGTCGACGCCGTCGCGCCGCGCACTGCATGTATCGTGGACTCGCGCCAGCTGCGACTAGTGCCCAAAGCCCCGAGTACTAGTACAGGCGCTGGCGTCCCTTAGGCCGAGCTGGGACCTGTGGCCCGGTCGCTCCATGTTTCACAGGCGCGGCGCTAGGCCTGGCCAGGCTAAAAGCGACTCCAGCAGCGAACATGACCGTCGATAGTCGTTGCGCTCTGCGAGCTGGGGAAGCAGACCGAATTGCGGCACTGCTGCTGCTACAGCTTAGCATCTGCTATGCGCAAAACAAGCGTGTCTGCGGCGATGCTGGCTGTCGTGGATGCAATACATGCATCTGCATCGCGATGATGGCCAGGCCACGCCTTGTTCTGGGCTGAGGCGCGATTCCAGGCCATCCTCCCGCCCTTCCATGCGTCTCTTCCCGCCAAAACGTACGACCATGCTTCGCTGCCGTCCCTCACATGCCTCTTCCCGCAGACCGGCTGCCGTTTCAGTCGCACGGCCGGCGGCTGCTGAGCCAACAAGACGATGCGAGGTGTCGTTGCGGCTGTGTGCTTGAGCAGCCCGAGTCTCAGCACTGCCCACGAGGCCATCTGCCTCGTCACTTGGAAGCGATACCTTGGGGGCAATATCCGAGCATTGGCTCGCGAGAAAGGCACTTGCGACCAGCCGCTCGCTCCGTTTCTAGGCTATTGCTAATGGTCGGGTAACACTGCCAAAGCCGTTTGGACTGGACTGGGGAAGCATGGCGCTACCAGGGTTTGTTGATGGATGGAATCCAAAATCTCATGATGCGAGTCTGCGCACTAACAGCAGCACAGTGTCAGTGCCGGCCTGCTCCTAGCCACTGCTGCAGTAGCACTCGTACAACTACATGTACGATAGGTACGGCACATTGTCTGTACTGATAAACAGAAATGTACCGTTCCTGAAAGGCCATCTCCCTGGTCTAACCGCCGAGTGGCCTGCATGAACCAGATAGAAAACGACGAGATGCCGCAGTGCTCCCTCCTTGCAGTGCAAAACACCCGCTCCTATTCGGAGAAACACCAAAGCCCCTGCCAGAAAACGTCACCTGTCACTTTTCCAGTTGCTGCCGTCGTCTTTTCCTTCTTCCTAATGCAGCGCAAGCGGAGCATCTACTCTTCTTTGACGTTCCATTATCATGCTGGAGCCGCCACATGAAACAGAATCACACGTGCCGAGCTGCTTGGTCACTGAATAGAACACTTTGGTTGACTAATGGCAATCAACTACTTACTACGGAGTAGGTAGGCATAAGTTAAGACAACCAGCTACAGTAGGTAGCACTACGTAGAACAATAGGTACAGGGCCTCCGTCTTTGTTGAGTTTCGTAAACAGCATTAGTGCAGCTGCCGCATGCAGCCAATCATGGGTACTGGTCTACTCCCTGATAGTAGGCATCAGTATCACCGTTTCGTGCTTCACATACCCATGCTGTATGCAGAGTATGTGCATATAGCCAGCCACTGTTGCCATGGGCTCCATGAGGCTTTGTTCTGGTCACCTGCCTGTCATTTTGTGGATTCGCAGCAAGGAGCCCGCATACGAATTACGTCTGGCAACAGGAGGCATCTAAGGCAGCGGTGAAAGAGTCCAAGACGCGATACAGGCCTTTTCACCGCATACAGTACTGGCACCAATATCATATACACCAACCAGCCACTTTGATTCTCTCCCAGCCCGTCCTATCCACTGATGGCAGCCGAGACGATGAATAGTACCCAATGCCTTCTGCAACTGAGTAAAACTGGTGCCGCCAACACGATTGATGCAACCTAGGTGAAGAGCTGAATCAGGGGTGGAGTTGAGACGCGATAAGAGACCACCCGTCTGGTAGGGCTGAGCTGCGTCTAAGCTCTTGGACCGAGGCCGTCGATGCGACCCGTCTGCAGGATTGGGTCCCAGCGAAATGGCCATTTGGAGCAGCCAAGCCATTTGGCGGGATGCTATTGGGGAGTGCATACATGCATACCAACATACATACATTAGTACTCCATACATACTACCTTGGGTATTACTACTACCTACTACGTGACTATAGCATCTGGCCGGATTTGTCTGCCACAGAGTAGAAGTTCCTTGGCCTGAGTAATATTAGCCTATATCTGGGTACTACCTAGTAGATAATAGAGTCATTGGTGCAGGCTGTACTTAATCAACATCCTACGTGTGCTGCAGTCTGTCCGTGTGTTTGGTCTACCCTATCTCGTACCAAGAGTTGGAATCAAGGTTATCAGCAGGCCTAGAGCGCTAGACATTGAAAATGAGCATAAATGCTAACATGCAGCTACGGAAGTACTTTATGGCTGGAGAGGTACCTAGGTAGGTAGTAAATAATGCCAAGCCATCGGATTTGCTATTTGGCCAGCGACCATCTTTGAATCCCGAGTATCTACTGGAGGCGCTCAAGCAGAGAGATGACTACATGTGTAGATCTACGGCAGCTGCACGCCGATGCCAAGCCCTGCACCCGCTGGCCAGTGCCGAGCGAAGATTAAACTGGATGTGCGGAATCGATTCGGAGCGATATAGATTAACTGGTTAACTGTGGAGAACGCTGCCGGCAGTTATCCGTAGTGTTGTTTGGGAAAAGCAGAGAAGCCGAGATATGGAGGGCCACCAACAATGGAGATCAAGAAGCCGGCCAGCCAAGGTGCGCGCAGAACGAGGAAAATGGAGCGCACAGAATTGACCGCTGTTGAGAGTCTGAGTTTGATGAATTTATTGTACGCTGCCAGCTTCATCGATGCGTTGATGATGCTATCAGCTGCAAGACGCTTCTGGCACTTCCAAGAACATCACCTGCAGCATTTCCTTGCCCATTAGTACGGCGGCCTAGAGCCGTCTTCGGTTGAAAACAACCAAAGCAACATTCAGCTACGTACAAGCATATCGTCATTCTTATGGCTGCGCAATCTCGCCATCAAGTAAACCAGACAACATAACTGAGCAACACCGTTATATAACCTCATCTAGGGGCTCAAGCTCGCCCGCCTAGCGCCCGCAGCAGCCGTTTTGGGGTAGCAGACAGATGCAGAGTCCCCGGTCGCCAGACAGCGGCACTACCTGCCGGGTACAGGCCGCCCGCACTGGGCTCGCACGCAGCGCCCAGTATCGCGCCCGTAGACGCTGCTCGCCTTCGCAGACAACCCCCCGCCTCCCAAAACGGCGCTACGGCACTTTCCACAGCGCTGGGTTTCGGCGGCTGAAGCCTGACAGCTCAAAGGCACAGCGCCGTCCCCGCCGGAACCGCGCTGTAACGCCGCGCCGAAAGCCACTGCCACGAGCAAACTCCAGGCTGCAGCGGCGACGAGGTTTGGATTCTCGCAGCCTCTTGTTTGGCTGTTGTTTGTTGCCACTTTGCACACCAGCTCGACCCTCAGCTCGCCCTGCTATTGGCGATCTCAACGACCCCCCCGGCAACGCTAGTTGGAGCCCGATATGGGAAGTTGGATGGGTCTCAGCGCTTCGCAATCGCAATCCTCCGGAACCAACAAGGCAGTGCCCGGCCTGTGATAGCCTCACCCTGCTTCGAGTGCACCGCTGGGCGCGAGGCTGGACCGACATGTCGAGAGGAGACAACCTGACGCCCTCCATGGGACCGTTTTCGCCCGCCCACCAGCCCGACGAAGGCTACTCGGAGGATCCTCTTGGCCCGGGGCTGACAGACCAGCTCTCCTCGCTGGCGACGCTCAAGTCGCCCACGGAGCTGCCGCAGTGGCTGGCCGCAAATGCCTCGCAGCTGCCTGTATCTGTTAAATCGAGTGAGTCCATATCATCCTGCACCGCTTCGCATTTGGCTGCCGTGGCCTCGACGCTGACCCCCCCTCGCCGCAGAACTGGCCATGGCTCTCTTGGACCAGCTCCCAACCTCCGCCATCGTCGAGATCGTCGAGCGTTTAAGCCCCAGACTGTACATAGACTTTATCCGACATCTCCCCGCCGAAATCTGCCTCAAGATTCTGGGCTATCTCGACCCCGTCTCTCTCGTCAGCGTGTTGCAGACGTGCCGCGCCTGGTACGACCTGGCCGTGGACCGCAAGCTATGGGAGCGGCTATACTACCTCGAAGGCTGGAAGGCCGTGCAGGCCGAGATCGATGCGTGGGAGATACGAGTCAACACCGGCGTGAGCAATTCCATCGGCCATCTGCACCGAATGCAGACCTCAGACGACCACCCAACCAAGATTCGAGCCATTCTTAACCATGATGAGGACGGGGACCAGGATTTGGAGATGCCAGACCGGGACAGGCTGCCCAGCATCCAGGAGAGCAGCGCCGGGGCCAGCATCTTTGGATCTTCCAGCGCGTTGCAGACTTCCAAGCAAACTCTCCCCTCCCTGGGGGACATGCACTTGGACAGCTTCTCCTCCACCAAAGGCAAGGCCGTGGATCGGGGCTATGGATCATCTTCGTCATCGTCGGAAAGCAGGGCTAAGCGCAAAGAGCCCGGCGGTACCCCCGAGATCTCGCTGCCTCCAATGGCGGCTGGCGACACCACCGCAAGCATGATCAAATCGACTCTGTGGACGTGGGATATCAACAGCTCCCGGTATCGCATCAACTGGAAGTACCTCTATAACATGAGGCGACGGCTGGAGTCGAACTGGGAGCTGGGCAAATTCAAGACTTTTGTGCTGCCTCACCCCGACTACCCCGAAGAAGGCCACCAAGAGTGCGTCTACACCCTGCAGTTTGATGCAAATTATCTCGTTAGCGGTAGTCGAGATCGCACAATGAGAATCTGGAACATTCACACACGCCGCCTGATTCGCCCACCGCTCACAGGCCACAGCGGCTCGGTCCTATGCCTTCAGTTTGACGCAGACCCGGCTGAAGACATCTTGGTCTCCGGTAGCAGCGACTCCAACATCTTTATCTGGAGATTTTCCACAGGAGAACTTGTGCAAAAGATCACCAACGCACACCGCGAATCTGTTCTGAACGTCAGATTCGACAAAAACGTTCTCGTCACGTCTTCCAAAGACAAAACCATCAAGATTTTCAACCGCCGGCCCCTAAAATACGGCGACTTGGGCTATGGCCCTGTTGATGCAGCCTTTAACCCGGTGGGTATCAACGTCAAGCCCTATGGCTACGAGCCCGATCTATCCCAGGAGCTTCCCATCAAACCCCCCTACACGGTGATTGGCAAGCTGGAGGGACACGGTGCCGCTGTCAATGCCATTCAGATCCGGGGCCGCACAATTGTTTCTGTTTCTGGCGATCGTCACATCAAGGTCTGGAACTGGCCAGAACAAGTTTGCACACAAACCATTCCCGCCCATGAAAAGGGCATCGCCTGCGTGGAGTTTGACGAACGACGGATTGTAAGCGGTAGTAGTGACTACGAAGTTTGCATTTTCGACGCACCAACAGGCCTGAAGGTGGCTTCCCTTCGAGGACACGCTCATCTGGTGCGAACCGTCCAAGCCGGCTTTGGTGACTTGCCGTACAGCAAGCAGGAGGATGAGGCCGAGGCTAAGAGAGTAGATGCCGAATACTTTAGAGCTGTAGAAGCAGGAGAGATTGACCACGAGGGTGACCGAAGAATTCGTCGCACTAGAAGGGTGAATGCGGGAAGCTCTCGGCCGGCCGATCTCCAGGCTACTGGCGCCAAAGTTCCGCCTGGCGGAGGCGGCGGACGCAAATACGGGCGAATCGTTTCGGGCTCGTATGACCAGAGCATCATCATCTGGCGGCGTGATAAGGAGGGCGTATGGAAGCCCGCGCACCATCTCCGCCAGGAAGAAGCGGCAGAGGCGGCGCATAGACAAGTCGCCTTGAACAACGTTCAGCGACAGAGCACTCAATTTGCCTCGGCGGCGATTGCCGTGTCGGCAGTGAGTCCTGCTGCTTCGCAAGGCATGCAGTCTTCGCCAATACTAGATCCAAACAGCGAGAACAGCCAGTCAGCACGACTTTATATGGCCATGATCGACCAGACCGTCCCCTTTGGCGTGGCAGCCTTGAGGCAGGCACTGGCAAGCCACCCATCCATGCTAATCTATCATGGCTACCTACAGGCCGCAATCGAGCGAGAGCCTTCGCCCTTTGTGCGGTCACACCTTAGACAGGCGGTGGCGGATGGTTTAATCGCAATACAAAACAACCAGTTGGCCAGACAGCGTCTCATTTCTCGCGGCAACTCCCACATACCAGGCCCTATCGCTGCCACAGATGCTAGAACCCCCAACTTGGCTCCTGGATATGCTGGCGGCTCGATGGCGGGCCCATCTACCACTGCGCCCGTAGCAGGTGATGGAAATGGTGGCGGTAGTAACAACAGTAACAACAACACCGGTGGCGGTAATATTGAATATAGACAGCTGGCGTATTCACCAGCAATGGTGTCACAGGCTCCAGCCCCAACGCCCCTCCACGCACCGGTGCCCCAACCATCTCAACTTTCCGTAATTCCCGGCCAGGGACCTCCGCCCCAGCTCCCTCCAATGGTCCAGCCTGAGCTTCTTGGGCAGGTCCATGGACAGCAAGGCCCGGTCGAGGTTGAAAATAACGCACAAGCTCCTGAGCAACGCCCACGTATTGCAGCGGCGGAGAATCCTCCGGCGCGCGTCTTCAAGCTTCAGTTTGATGCCCGCAAGATCATATGCTGTAGCCAAGCCCCAGTCATTGTGGGATGGGACTTTTGCAATGGGGATCCTGAGTTGGAGGAGGTGGCTCGCTTCTTTGCAGCGATTGATTGAGTGAAGCAGGGTTTCTATACAGAGGAGGAGGTTATATACAGCTGGGGGGAGTCTTTTATGAAAACCAGACACAGAGCTCCTTGGTAACGGGGCACTTCCATATCCCTATGCACCCTCATAAAGCGAGGAACATACTTGGGAGGAGTTTGGGGAGGGAACAGCATTCGACATAATCATCATGGATACTCATTTCTTTTCGTTTGTTTGATAGCGTTGGAATTACTCGAACTACTCTGCATTCCCGGCGTTCATTTTCAACCAACTTCGTCCGGAGTCTGTAACATGTTGTCGTGTTATATATATACATACTATAACCCCATTTATCTCACGAGCGATTGTGGGATGCCACTTTAGCCTGAGGTTGTAACGCATGTTTTTGAAATAAACTATTCAACGTACGGAAATCTTGCCCCTTTTGTAATCGAATGGATTGAGAGATTAGAGGAGGGATGGGGGAAACTCTTTGGGTTAGTAAAAAAAAGAAGATTGTAGATGGTGTTAGGTTGCTGCTTTGCTCTCTGTTTGAGTTTGCGCTTAGGAAGATATAAGGAAATTTGATGAACGCTTTTCTCTCCTTTTTCTTATTCTATCTTTTCATGCCATGTTGGACGTTGATTTGAATGGAAGAAAGAACAAATGGTATTATGATGTAGCGAGCCTGGAAATAAATCTACGCCTAAATGATGTTGCTTTCCTTCTTTCTTGAGCTGATAAACTAGGTAAGAGCCGCAAATCATCCCGTCGTTGCGATAAGTATAGGAAAAAAAAAAGTTATATACGTAAAATCATGCCAATGATGCAGACACACACACACACACACAAATCAACCTGCAGCCTGCTTCACCTTCTCCTCCGTCTGCGGCGGCTCGTCGACAAACTCCGGCACGACCTCGTCCTGCAAAAAGCCGGGCACGGCGCCGCTGCCATACTCCTGCTCCAGCTCGGCCTCCATGCCCAGGGCCTCGAGCTCGGCATCCAGCTCGGCCTCGTCGACCTCGTCGGGGATGTCGTAGCCCCTGGCGAGGCTCTCCTGGATCTCGTTGCCGACGTCGAGCAGGTCGGCCATTTCGTCCTGCAGGCGCTCAATCTTGTCAATGTCGATCTTGCCGTACTGCTTGCGCAGCTCCTTGTTGGTGGTCTTCATGGCGTCGACCTGGGTCATGACGTTTTTGAGGTTGTCCTGCATGGTCTGGGCCTGCTCCATGTTCCAGACCTGGCTCTCGAGCTTGTCCTTTTCGGCCTCGTAGGCCTTGCGGCGCTGCAGCACCTTGAGGGCCTTTTGCTTGATGGCGTTCTTGCCGGGGCCGTCGCGCATCTTGGAGAGCTTCTCCTGGTAGGCGGAGAGTTCGCCGTTGAGGGCCTTGAGCTTGGTGTCGATGGAGGCGATGCGCGTGTCGATGTTGGAGATGGCGCCGTTGAGGGTGGGTTTGGGGCCCGAGGGCTTGGAGCCGAAGAGGCGGTTCATGGTTGAGGCGGGGGAGTTTTGGCTTTTTTCTTTATATTATGGTTTGAGGGCGCGGCTGTTGGGGAGTGGATGGACTTGGTGGCATGGAGCGCTGAGGAGATGGGCGAGGCTGAAGATTCGCTTGGATGGAGGGATGGGATGATGCGTCTGCGGGATGACGTTTGGTGGTGACGAGGCTTTGGGGTTTGGTGGAGGGGCAGGATTGGAGACGCCCCACTGGCTGCATGTCTGCAAGGCTGTAGTGAGGCTGATGAGTCAGCAGGCGAGAACTTGTGAGAATCAGGGTAAGAAAGGGATGAGAGCAACACGTGTAATGTTTTGTAGGGGACATAACTTGATGATGGAGATGCGATTTGAAGTTTAATTTTAATTGTCGATGTCGTTATGGTAGGAGATGTACCGTGTAAATTATATCGAATAAAAGGTATCGCCCATCTCGACGCGGAGAATACCTGTTGATTTGCTGGTTGTTGAAGGCGAGAGTCCGCGCTATGTCTTACAGCCGGGCGTTGGTATAGGCATCGGCTGACAAGAAAGAAACAGCAGCATTCTTCTTCCTTTCTTGCACCAAGGCTCAGTGGCCTTGACTTGGCCATACTAAGACGACCCATTGAGCATGCTAAAATCATCCTTTGTCAATGCAAAGATGATTTTAGCATACTCAATGGACTGGCTTGACGTGACCAGGTCAAGGTCAATGAGCCTTGCTACAAGAAAGAAAGAAGAAGGCTAGCAGAAGTAGTGTTTTATGGCGTTTGGATGTGACATTATTATGGCAGAGGCTGAGAATATCATTTAGAGATGTATGGGCTATTCCATGTATAGTAAGAGCGTCGTGGGAATCTAGCTGCGGGGCCCCTTGGGAGCCGGAAGCAATGAAGCGATCGATGCCAGCGTAATCGGAGAGTGTATCGACCTTTTGGCTTTGAGGGAGAAGAAGCGGTTAATCAGAGGTATCACTGGGTGTTTGTGAGACGCAGCTGTGATGCACGACGACGTCGGTGTCTGCAGTTCTGCGTCGAGTAGCGAGGCAGGCGATTGAGTGTACTAGAATCGTCTTGTGCAACATCAAAGTTAGCTGAGAAGAAAGGGTTGGACAGTGAAAAGGATGAGAATTATTGTGTATGGTCATGTATGGTTATGGGAGTAACGATCGACATGCCTAGTTTACTAGAAGAGTAAAAAAAAAAAAAAAAAAAAAAAAAAAAAGACAAATGAGTGAAAAAGAGAAGACGAACGGGGGTAAGCAAGGAAATATATAAACCAACATCAAGACGGCCCTTTTTGGCTTCGAAGGCAACTTTTTCTTATGCTTTCAAAATATATTATGTTGAGTTTGCAATAACCCTTTTCTCGAGTGCCTACCGAAGTAATTCTATACGAGACTCTAAACAGCTTAGCCGATGGTCACCAACTCAATTGACGCCTCGCAAGGTGAGATCTACGACTAGCTGTAAGTTTCCGAATAGGTCTGGTACTGCAGTATAAATAGAAGCGCCCGATGTGGTGCCAGTGCCAATGCTAATTTCCAAGCCGAGAAACTCATACATAAAAAAAAGAGTAAATCTATCGTTGATACCAAAGTCAATAAGCATTAACATTAAGTTTACACTCTATTTATGGATTCAATCCTTCTCTTTTCTGTTTATTATTATTATTATTATTTTTTTTTTCATAGCAGACAATCACTGCATTAGTACGGAGTATACAGTGACTTGTTACTTGTGTTTCTGCCCGCCAAACGCGTCTCTCGCTACTCGCGGGGCCCATCAACTTTAAATCCACCCCCACACGATTTCACTGCCTAATCAAGACTAGCCCACACTAGTAGACTTCCTATTTAGGCTCAATGTAAACAAACGCCGCCGTTTGCAATTAAAGAAATGAATTTGGGCATCGCGCACGCACGCACTCTAGACTCCAAATTCTAGACTCTTGACTCGAGACGCGACGCCCTTGATTAACCCTTTAGCCGCCTTTTCAATCAACGCGTCTTCACGTGGGGTGATAATTCACCGAATGTGTACGTATCCCGGCCATTTGTTCTAATCTTGGGTTTGGCTTCTGACGCCGATTGTGTGTTTCAATATTGACCATTGCCAGAATATCCGCCAATTTGACCAAGCCACCACCGATCTCTGGCAGCCATGGACGGATCCTCCAGCCCACGATGGGCTCGCGGGTGCAAACCCGTTGCGATGTAAGACCGCTCTTGCGACTGCATCTCGCTGTGTGGAATGTTGAGAGTGGTGGGCTAATGGGGCGCGTGGCAGCAATCCTCTCCCGGCGTCGTTTGTGACGTTTTTCCCAGCGGCCAGCGAGGCCAAGACGAAATCCCTCGAAACGTGCGTATCTTTCGATTCTCTGGAGTTGCTCGACACTGGAAATTGGTGATGGAAACTGACAGGAGTCATCTTTTGTGCATATAGTTCGTGGGCAGACAAGTTTGTTGCCCAAAGACCAGCGACAATCTCCCGCGCCTGGTGCCGCGTCCCCGTCGCGGCCGGTCCTTTGACCATTCATAGAGGCAGAACAATCATGAAGCGAGTTGGCCGACCAGCGAGCGCTCCGGCAGTGAGGCCACAACAGGCCGCTGCCGTTGAAGCTGCTGCTGAGGATCCAGAAGAGATACAGAGGGCGAGCCGTCGTAGACTCAATTCGTTTGTGCCACCAGCTTATGACGCTGAGCTGGAGCTGGCAGGATCACCTCCATCTCGAGCAGAGGTTGTCAACATAATGATCCGTGCCAAGGGTATGTTTGTTTCGTTCTACAGTATTGAGTTTGGTGCATTGGCTTACCGTTCTTGCAGTCAACGTCGCAAACTGCTTCCTCCGCGAAGAGCACTCCAACCTATCAGCACAGAAACTCGTGGCCAAGCAGAGCACATTCTCCAAGTTGATTGTTCCTTTGAAGCGCCGCTTCCACGATTACTCCTCCATTGACCTTGAATACGCCAGCGGTGGCAATAGAATTGCCATTTTCAGCGAGCTCGATCCCATCATCTCCAAAGCTCTCCAGACCGGCGCCACAGAGATCGACGTCAGCATGGCATCCATCACAGAGGCCTCAGCCAACCTCCAATCGACCCGTCGTAACCCACGAACGTCCCTCGCCGCTAGCGGCACACCAGACCTACCAGACATTGCAGACATTGCTGAGCCATCGAGCCCTCTGGCTTTGGAACCGAACGAGTCTAGGACCGACGCCAAGTCGCCTACGAAGAGATCTACCCAATCACCAAGCCCGACAAAGAACAAAAGCTTCCGCAAGAGACTCAGCGACACCATTGTCAAGCTGCTGCCTGCTTCCAGCCCTCGTGCTGAACCCTCTCCCATTAAGCCAGCTAGTCCTCCGACACCCAAGAGAGATTCTCGCGAAAGAAGAGGATCCATCATTATCAGAAGCCCCAATACAACAAGATCGCCATTGTCGTCAAATTCAACCCCTGGCCTGATTCAGTGGCCCGGCAGAATGTCCAAAGAATCACCTTTTGCGCGTTGGCGGCCAAAGCGCAAGTCAGAGCCCGTCACTCGTCTTTTACCAGAGTTCCCATCTCCTTCTCGCAACGACTTCTCTCCTGTTAGCTCTATAGCGCCTGAATCTCCTATTCGCCACCTTCGCCCTCGCGAGCCTACCCCTTCCAAATGGTACAGCTTCCAGCCTTCAACGCCTAGCAGAAAACCAACTTCTAAGGCAGCTATGCACAGCTACGATGGCGAATTGGAACTAGTCAAGACTCTACCCTCGTGGATGCAGCACACCGAATCAACCTCTGCACTCGAAAACTGCGACCTCAGCAATATCGATTTTGGACCCGCCTCTCCCTCATTCACCAGTTCAGTTTCCTGGATGAACAGCCCTGAGAGTGCCAGTGAGAGAGAGCGCACCAGAATCATCAGGCGACGCAAGAGTGAGCCGCTGTTCAGAAGCTTGCTCAAAACTCAGACTTCGCGGCGAATCTCACTTTCACCTCAGAAAATTGAGGGCGCGAGCGGGGTTATGCCTCCCTCTGAACTTTTCTCCCACCTTGAAGAAATCCCCCAAACTTCTAGTCTTTTCAATATTTCTGAAAGCTCTAATCTTCTCGCATCATCTTCAGCCAGCATTTCTGCAAGTATCAACTCTCTAGCATCGCCTTCAGCCAACGTGTCTGAACTTTCCAATCTTCCTACAGCTCTAGCCAACGTGCCCGACTCATTATCAATAAATACCATCGAACAAGCCGACGAGAACATGGATGCTCTCAACGCGCAATACAAGGGGAGGATGAAGGCTATCATGAGAGCCACCGGTAGCACCCTCGACGCCGACGATGTCTTCAAGCCCGACAATGAGCAAACCGCAGTGGAACGACTGGCCAAGATGGCAGAGACTCAGTGCAATGGCCACGCTAAGGTCGTGGTCGCCAAGGAGAACGGAAGACTTTTTGTTCGGTTTAAGCTGCCGTTTGAATATTCCCACCTCTTCCCCGAGTGCCAAGGTGCAGACGAGAATCACATCTCGAGCTCTCTCTCTATTTCCAAATCGCCACGAGTCCAGGCTCCTCCTCTTTCTTCTCCGAGACCTCCAATGACGGAGGATGAGATGTGGGAGCTGGAGGAAGAACTTTACCTCGAAGAGTGCGCAGCACAGGATAATACCCTCGCCGTTTCGGACTTTGGCAGCTCCCCTGTGAAGCAGCAGAGCACCACTTCACCCGCCTATGACAGGCTGCCAACAAGCTCGCCTGCTAAGCAAAGCAATACCTCTCCGGCCTACGACAGGCTTCCTACCAGCTCACCCTCGCTGGCGCCGCAAGACTCGAACGACGTCAGCATAACTTTCCCTGACGTCTCCTACGAGCTTGAAGGCAATACTACTATTCCTGGTCTCACGGCCTCGTCGCCTGTCAAGACCCCCATCCAGAGCAAGTTCACGATCAATTCGGACAGCTCCTCGCTCTCTGACCTCGAAAGCACACCACCCATGAGCAAGTCAGCCGAGCTTAGCATGGCCAAGCTGGCCACCACCACCACCACCAATGAGAAAGCGCAAGAAGAAGCTGATCTCAATCTCTCTTTCACGCCCGTCAACCGCAAGTCAGCTCCTAAAGCCAACGTCGAGAAGGAAGCCGAAAAGTCACAGCCTGCGCCTTCGTCAGTTACCAACCGCGCCGATTCACCAGAGCGTGATTACATGCGAGACTTTATCCGGCGCTCAAAGCACAGGCGGTCTTCGACCACGACTACGGCTCTCGGCTCTCCGATCGCACAGAACCAGCGACAACCTCTCGGCGCTAGAAGCCCTAACATGGAGACTCAGCAGCCAGAGAAGCGCAAGTTCGAGAGCAGCGAAGGCGATGAGAACGAGGCTGCAGCCGAGCCTGCCGCAAAGAAGATCCGCCGTCCCCGATCCACCCCGCCGAGGCCTGCTGCCGCAGCTGCCAACGCGGACTCGGGTGATGAGGATCCTCTTTCGGTGGATGCCGCTGCTCCTCCGGCTGCCCCATCCCCAGCCCCTCCCGCCTCTGATTCTTCCTCCCGCCGATCGTCTCGCCTCAGGACCAGAAGTGCTATCCCGAAGCCTTCTGGTCCGGCACCTGTCCGGGTGGGGCGTCCTGTTGGACGTCCGCGCACCGAGAAGGGGAACGTGGTGGACATTGTCCACCAGACTCGCGCCAACACCCGCCGTAACAAGGGGAAGGCCGAGTACCCTTCTCAGGTGCTCGCCCGGCAGGCCGAGGCGGCAGGAGAAGCAGAGGAGGAGGTCGGCGCCCAGGGATCCGACCAGCCCGCTGCCGCAGCAGTCCCCAGGACTCGCCGCGGCAAAAGCGTGGTCTGGAAGGAGCCCCTGGCCGACTTCCACGAGGAGGAGGCCAAGCCCCAGGCGGCCAAGCCCAAGCGAGGCCGGCCCGCAGGGGCTGCCGGTTCCAAGACCACGGCAGCGAGGCCCTCTGGCGCAAACCGCGTCAGCAAGCCCACGCCGAAGGTCTCGGCAGTTGCTGCCCGGCAGCGAACCTCACGGATCGCTGCCGGCCTGGGCATGGCCGGTAACGGGACCCCCGCTCCGAAGCGGGCGACCCGTGCGTCGACCCGGAGCCGAAAGTAATGGTTGAGCCGCAAGGCTCCCGTTGCTCTTGGCCTCGGGGAAGCGCCTGAGAGGTGATGGTTGAGCTCGCAAGAGTTCCTGTCATCTCTCAGTGCCGGTCATGGGGAAGGGTGGGATGGTTGAGTCGCAAGATTCCCATCCGAGCACCAAACACGCAGCCTGGGAAAGAAAGGTTGAGCCGCAAGGTTCCCTTTTCAGTACCGGTTGAGTGTTTGGAAACGGTGGTTGAGCCTCAGGGCTCCCATCAGCTCCAGCCAAAGGAGGAAGCGGAGGAAAAAAAACCCCTTTTGTTTTGCATTTGCTTGGAGTTTGGGGAGGTAAGGGAAGGGAGGGGAAGGGGGGAAAGGCGTTTTGGGGGAAAAAGATACCAAAGTGGTTTTTTGTTTGGTCTGTTTGAGTATTTGTTGGTCTGGTTTGTTTTTCGGTTTTGGGTTTGGGATTCCGGGGTTTTACAGATGAATTCAAGAATTGACCCGTGAATTGTTTCCTTTTCTACTGTGCATGTGTCTGAGAGCCAGAAGTATATATGGACAAGATTTGGACGAATAGGGAAATTGTTCCTGGGCAGCTGGAATTGCTGCGGACTTGCTGGCTGCACAATAAAATGGGGAGAGAAATCGTTGCTTTCAATTTCTCTTTTTTGGGAAGTTTGTGATATGATATCTTCTCATTTGACGGATATTGTTTAGCCAGTAAGTGGAGAGATACGGACTGTGGAGATGCATCTGCAGTAGCTGTCTAGATCGGCACTCTCCGTAGATAAGGCAGGCATCCCCCGCATCTTGATCAATGGGTGGGTATTGATATCGGCTCTTCTTTTCTTAATCTGCAGAAATGGACTTTTGAACAAATAGCATCGCTTGTTTCCTTGTTCAGCGGCTTCCAAGGCTTCCAAGGCTTAATCAAGTAATATTACAGATTCATGAATAAGACATCACGCAATCAACTTTGATACAGCAATGGCAACGGAAACAGCCGCAACGACGCAGCTGCGCCTCGCCTCGCCCAACGGCATCATCACGCGAACGGTCCTGAAATCGCCCCTTCGCGATGCTCTGCCCTCTGAAATCCCCATCATCGACATTTCGCCCATCTTCAGCCCGTCTCTCAGCGAGCGCCAGGCCGTCGCCCAGCAAGTGCGCGCTGCGGCCCGGAACATGGGCTTCTTCTACATCAAGAACCATGGAATTCCCGAGGACGTGACGCAGGATGCCTACGAGGCGTGTCTGGCTTTTTTCCGACAGGACATGGAGACCAAGATGAGGGCGACGTATGAGAATGCGAGATGGGATAACGGATATAGGGCGCCGGACACGCAGCGATTGAACCCGTATGAGGGGATTGATGTGCGGGAGTCGTTTTCGTATCTCTACGACCCGCGGTATGATCCTACGGTTGGGGAGGATGGGATTAAGGATATACCAGAGGAGGTGAAGCAGCATCTGCACAATGAGGACTATCCGTGGGAACAGACGAGCAACTTTCCGAGGCTGAAGGAGACCATGGTGAGGCACATTGGGGAGTGCTTGAAGCTGGCGAGGGCGCTGACGAGGTGCTTCGCGCTGTCGCTGGGGCTGGAAGAGGGCATGTTTGATGAGAAGGTGAGGTATCCGGATGCGTCGTATGGGCTGAATTACTATCCGCCTATTACACAAAAGGCTACTACTACGGTACTACAGGATCACGATGATGGTGGTGATGGGGAGAGAGTCTCGATTGGCTCTCACACAGACTTCCAGCTCTTCACAATCCTCTGGCAAGACTCGCACGGCGGGCTGCAAGTCCTCAACAAGCAGGGCCAGTGGCTCCGCGCGAGGCCCGTCGACGGCACGCTGGTGGTCAACCTGGGCGACTGCATGCAGCGCATCACCAACGACGCGTACGTGAGCACGGTGCACCGGGCGAGGAATTACAGCGGCAGCGAGCGGGTGAGCATTCCGTTCTTTTGGGGGTTTGGGCTGCATGAGACGTGCAGCGTGGTGGTTGTTGCGGAGGGGGAGGAGAGGAAGTATGAGGATGTGAAGTGCGATGACTGGGTGAGGAGGAGGATTGAGGGGATGCTGGAGCTGGGCAAGCTGGAGGAGAGTGTCGAGGAGAGCTGAGCTGAGTTGAAGCTGAAGCTGGGTTGAGCTTGAAGCTGAGTTTAGAGCCGAGGCTGTCACCGGATCTGGATTCAAGAGTTGCTGGTTAGTTTAGTTGGTTAGTTAGCTCGGATGGTGGTGTTTGCAGGTGACGAGGCGAGATATCATGAGGTGTTGATGCTAAACCCATGCAAAACTGACGCAAAGCTCATGCGCCGCTGAGACAGCTCGTCCCATGACCGGGCCGGGCTATGCAGAATGGCAAAAGCTCGATGATGGATAAGATCTCGATGGCAGCCGTCGCGGGTCAGCGTGTCGTCATCAGCAAAACCGTCTCGGTGAATATCTCCGGGGGAGCAGTCGCCACAACGAGCTGAAACAAGCAAAAGGCAAAATAGCATCACAAATAGCATAGCAGTAGCTGCAATGAATGATGGGGGGCGGGGGCGAAAAAAAAAAACAAATAATTAATAGTTGAAATTGCTGTTGAGAAAGGAACAAGTTTTTGGAGCGGAGGAATAAGACATGGGCGGAATGACGCAATGACGTCACGTCGAGGTGCGGCCCCTTGCAGGCGAGAAAAGAGAGAAATTCCCATCCGAGCAAAGAGTCGAGGCGTCATCGGGTTTTCATAAATGGTTCATTATTGCTACTAGCAGCATGACTTAGATGAAACTGACTGAGCGTTGCGAAAACAGGAATGTGGTGCTGCTGCTGCTGCTGTGTTTTAGAGGCCACACCGGGGGCGTGTGCGCGGGTTTGCATTGATGGATTAATTAATTGCGCAGCGTCTTTTTGGCGCTGAAGATGTGATGATGTCATTGTTTGTTTGGGGTGCTGCGCGCTTTGGTGCCCAAACAAGGGCAGCCCGGCTATTTTATTTTATTGTTATTATTATTATTATTAGTATTATTTTGCCATGTACTGTTGCTTTTCCACCGTTTTGAACTGTGGGATAATGGGTTGGTGTTGTTTGGAGCTGCACTGTGCCATGTTCCCAACTGTGGCTGGTGTTGGTTGCTCGAGGCCATGTAAGATGGGGTTGAGAGAGTTCGCTAGCAGATGCTTTACTCTGCTTTGAGTGTCGGATGGAAATGAAATGAAATATATAATAGCTATAGAGAACAGAAACAGAATCAGTAGTTTATATCTACTAAGCTATGGTATATAAAATACACGTAAAGAATGCTATGCCCAGCCTTATGCCTGCGGAAGTGACATTGAACCCATCTCCCCGTCGATGCCATTCTATTCAAACCCCAACCTAATGGCCTCGTCGGCGGCAAACCGTACATTTTGCATTCGTACACTTCTCATTAACGTAATATCCGTAGACAACATTCTTCGGCGCGGGCGTCGTGCAGAAACCGCTTCTGCCAGAGGTTGTCGTCGTTCTGCCGCAGGTACCTGCGTATCGCTGGTACAGGTGACCGCATTTGCCGTAAAAGTGATACCATCCGCACGTGCACTTTTTGGGGTTGCGAGTGCTGTGGACGAGAGAGGCATTTGTCGCGGATGGTATCTGAACGGGCTTGATTGGTTGTGGTTGGTTCTGTTGAGCCCTGAAGAAGCGAAAGATTGAGAAGGGAGATAAGCGGCCGAGCTGCCGTCGTTGGAGCTGTGCAAGCGATCGGATGGACATGGGGTCTCTTTTTTTTTTCTTTCTAAATAATAATAATTTTTGAAAAAGGCAACCCTAAAAGCGAATGAATATGGGTTCTTTTTCAACAGCTGAAGAGAGCGATGCTTGAATAGAGCGATGCTTGAATAGTTGTTTGTGCTTGATTCTGATATCGAGCAACTCTTGGTAGTTATATAGGCTTCATACGGTAACAAGGCTCTCTGAAAGGCAGATAGGACAGACATGAGGCCTCTCGCAATGCAGCTTCATGATGCATCTTTATTCGTTCTAGGAAATACATCACCAACAGAACCTACCATTTGTTTCGGATCAGCTCTGCGCTGCGTATCCATTGGCTTCAGGCGTCCCTCCTGATAGCATCGTACATACGCGCCGGCCGCAACGCAGGCCGATTACATGCAGCCTTGAAACCCAATGGCAGTGATATTGTCCTATTTATTACTGCACTGCGCGAGGCAGCCCAACATGCTTGGTGCTCGACTGCTGTATTTGATAGCAATAAATGCAGAGTTTGGCCATCTGCGAGATATCAGGTGGCAAGACTTTGCAAGTATCTTCCAATGTAAAATCACTGGCGAGTGACTTTTAGCGTGCTGTGGCCTTATACCTGGGCAGCATTGCTAAGCCACCTCTTCTCAGCCTGCGTCGAGTTGCATCTGCCTCATGCTGCCACAAGAAGTACCAAAACTGTTGGTTGGAGAAATGATACAAGGCATTTTCCCACAGAAAATGTTTCAATTAAATAGATAGGCTGAAAAATGGCCGCGCTGTCCAACGGCCATTATCAGTCGCCTACGTGTACACGGCAGTGCAAGCTGTTTAGCGCTAGCATCCAGCTACTGTCAGTACCTAGCAATGAGGCAGAAGCAACACGTCCATGTACATGTATTCACGAATTCTCCCAGATTCAATCAATACCTTGTATTGAATACTCTGAGCCTATCGAGATGTGCATATAGGGGTATTGGTGCTTATAAACGTACTGGAAGAAATAGTGTTCTCTACTTAAAGAAAAAGACACCTGATCTGGTACCGAGTACCTTGGGATGCTGGGCTGGGTACATGCACTAATACACCTTACCTAAGAGGTATAACCTTTCACAACTCTTTGCTGTTGGAAGCGCCATTCTTACCACTGCGGCCATTCCTCATCACGTCGTTGCGTCCCAGCTATTCTCCTATTACATCTCATTTACATGTTCTGAACAACTAGGGAGATTTATGATTGACGAAGAGTGGCGATATTATGCGCCCGGGCGGTGGTATTTTCCCTGGCGGGCCGAGCGACTGGTATGTCCTTGACTGGGATCAACGACGTACTATTGCTGTTACCATGGACGAGGAGCAAGAGAGCCCGGATGTTGCCATTGGGCATCTCAAGAGACACATCGATACCCTGGGACCAGATGTATGTGCCATCCATTTATCGCAGGACGGCGAATTGATCTCAGTTTCAACCAAGCCTGAAGACGACCAAACAACGTGCGTTTACTATCCCCCGCTGCAGCATGTCGAGTGTCCCAGCCATGTCAAGACTGTGCTCCGCTCAGATCTGATCGAGTTAGATCGATTTGGCCCAAATACCGATCTCGTCTCGTATATCCCTGGCGGCACGTTGAGCCAGAATAAGTCGCGTGTGTTCAAGCTGGAATGGCTCCGGCAGCTGACGTCTGTTGTTGATGACTTGAATCTCAAGCATGGCATCGCTCATCAGGATATCTCGGCGCGGAATCTTCTCGTTGAACCCAAGACCAACGCCCTTATGCTGTTCGACTTCAACTATAGCGGCCGGATAGGCGGCATTGGATATGGAGAGGACCGGGACGATGTCAAGGGGGTCATATTTACCCTTTACGAAATCATTACGCGCGACGCGCATTTCCGAGATGTTCGGCACAGTGAGCAGAATCCAGCCGACGTTCAAGGGTTGGAGGAATGGGTGAAGCACCCGGATGTTAAGCTTGATCATCCCGTTTCCGAGTACCGCGCGGTATTAAACGACTGGGTAGATAAAAGACAGGCCGGAAGACGGATTTCTCATTATACAGAAGCACCTGAATACATTGACTGGCCCGAATTCCCAGAGCCACCCGCAGAAGACGTAGCATTAGTCTCTACTACTGTGAAATGGGTCCTTCTGGAACGCGAGCGCCGCCACGAGAGAGAAAAGGGCAACGCCATCTTGAATTGGGAACGTCCTGCGCAGAGCAAGCTTGGGGGCGGACATCAGCTGCTAGCCAATGGACAGTATGCATCCGGTACAGAAAGACTTGGTTGAATTGAAGAGCTAGCGAATTTTGCAGTCTAGAGTATTGTACCTTTTTGGTTTCGTCTTTTGAATATGCCCAATGGAAATACCGGGTTGGGATGAACACGTACATATAAGCATGAGGTTACAACTTGTGGAAACGGAGCTGCCGCCAATTTTCAAAGTGATGCCGTAGCCAATGAAATATTTCCGTGAAAAAACAGAGCGTAATCGAATTTCAGCCGCGCAAAACAGCTGGCCGTTTTAAACTGGAATGGAATCCATCGCTTTCTCCAAGTCCCAATCATACCGTGCGAAGATGCGTATCATGGCCCTCCCACGTACGCCGCATCGTGAAATCTCGGAAGCTAAACACCTTAGCATGTGAGCCGCCTTATCTGTCCTTATGACTGCCAAAAAAGGCCGCTCCATCCTTTCTGCATTGTAGATCTTGCTGCAAATCCTCCGATTTCTGCCATTGGCATTTTTTTGCTATGCGTTTGAGATGAAGGGCATGGAAAATATCGGCTTTGGAAAGTAGGGCGAGGTTCAGGGCGCGTGCACAAAAGACTGGCACATGATCTCTGTGTGCTAACGGTGAAGAAACGTTAAAGGTGACGGTATAGGCAAGTCCATGTAGGTGTATTAGCGCAGCGGCGTATTTTGATACGGTTTGGTTATTTTTGTAACGTTGCCAGTTCTGTTGCTCGGCAGGGCACAGCCGAGATTAGACTCGTCCCCGGTTGATAGCAGGACACAGCATAGCACAGTACATACAGACATAGGCATGGATATGATAGGCATGGACATGGGCATGGACATGGAGGCTTGTATAACACGCCCGGGCTCATTCTTTTTTTTCTCTCACTCTCCGCTTACTCCTCTCGCCACTGCCTCTCGCTTGTGCGGCTTACCTTCTGAATGAAGAAGTGCAAGATCATGCCAAGGGGCGATATCAGGTTTTTTTGCCAGCAAAGACCATCTTCGTCGTCAGTGTAAGTGGTCTCGACGGAGCATATGCGGGGTTGAAGCGGGCTCAACCCCGCCAATCTATGGAGACGGTGAGAGGATATGCCAAGGCCAGCAGGGTAGATGCTAGTACGAGTAGTGAATAAAAATAAAATAGCACGAGCTCAAGAGCTTGCGCGAGTAATGAAAGCGCCGAATGATAGATGGGCGCTTGTTGTTAACTTAACGGGCTGGATACGATTCGGCTGGATATGCCCCCCCAAGTGGGCGGCTAAGTGGCTAACCGCCGACAAAGGAGGAGGAGAATGGCAAAATTCACGAGCTATTGCGCCGAGAGAGGATCCGGACAATCCAGCTAACGGCGAATTATTGGGTGGATGCCGCTGAGAGGGCTGACGGCTCATGAATCGCCGAATAGTGTACTCCGTACTGGCGACTGATTAGCATCTAGAGAAGGCCATACAAGTACATAGCTTGATAGGTGGACTCTGTAGATGATGCTACTGTACAGTGCTGGTAACAGATGCAGCAAAATCCGGGGTAGAAACGGTATGCCGAATGGAGCAATCCCGTTACTGCTATTATCGACACCTGACGTTGATGATATTGGTTGTGCTACAGACTTGCATTTGTGCATCCATCCCATCTTAGACTGGCGGTGTCGCTATCAATTATAATCCATCAACCAATTCCGCCGTCATCTTGGTTTATTCAAATGCCGTGATTTGCGCCTGCGCCATTCTTTCGTTGCCCTTGGGGTCGGCGATCGGCCGGTAATGGATGCTGACATGTGCAACATGAGCACGGCCACGGGGCCCCGAACAAGAAGGACGATCGACGAGAAATGCTGTGTGTGTGCAGAGCAGTAAGCCACATGTTAGCGGTTGGCGCATGCTATGTTATGTAGTCTATATGGGAGGCTATACACTACCAATGCAGGCTATACGGCAAGCGGGATATTTCGAATCATCTTTTGACTTGCCAAGGCAGGGCGCGAGGTGAGTCGCACGCAATATGAGTCAGATTCTTCAAAAGCGAATACAGTACGGAAAAAGAGAGATGGAGTGCAGCGTAGGTGCGTATGACTTGGCAATGGAATCGTTGCATTTCGACGGACCATATGTTTGGTATTATTATTATTATTATTATTATCATTACTACTATTCGCTCTGCGGCTTTTGTGGTCCATCCCATCAACCCGATTCCCGCCTATACTGTACACACGCCCCTCCTGCATCTCCGTCCCGGAGATTCGATAGGATGGGCTCAAGGGGGCTTAGGCAGATGATGCGAGTGATTCACCGGCCATGCAAGCATCTTTCAATCAGATCGATACAGCTGGCCCCGTCGTTTAGGCAAAAGCCATCGGCCGTGCATATTATGGGCTGCGCGTAAGAGTCTTTTTCGCCCAGTGAGTCTTTATATGTCTTGTGCTGCCTAATACTAGTTTAACCTGCAGGTATGCTGTAGTCTACAAGTATGGCTGGAGATGATAGATGATGCATCCCGCCACACATATACCTAGAAGGTTACAGGTATGCGGCATCCACTTACATTGGTCGATTCGCGGGGTACTTCGGGCTGCTTGTCAACTTGTTGGGGAGGCCTTGAACCCTGAAAACTTTCTCTGCCTGATGCGAGCCGATCGGCCGTGCATGCATGCGGGCGGCTGATAAGGTAGGGCTCTCGGTGCCGAGATGCTATGGTCTACAAGAGTTGCTGCTCTTGGGCTAGTTGGAGCGTTGGAGGTGACTGGTCGGTGACTGGTCGCTTCCGAAGAGGTGGTGTGTATGTGGAAAGGCCGATGCAGTGATTGGATACGGAAGCACTGTGATACGATGGAGAGCGCCCGTATTTTTTGTATGCGGTTGGGAAAGTATGTTCATTTTGATGAGGCTCAGCATGTCTTTGTTTGTGGTGTGATTTGAGCGGAGAGAATACGATACGGCGGTGATGAGATGGCTGTTATCGTTGGATAATAGCGAGTCTTGATACGAAGTAGATATTACTACAAGAGAGAAAATTGTGGTTTGATGCAAGCTATCGACGGGCAATAAAAGACCAGTTGCAGGCATCATGAGTTACGCAGCGGATGATTGGCTGGAGGGGTTGGTTGTTGGCTCATCTCATCGTGCCTTGCGCGCTTGATATTGCCTGATTCAGCAAACATTCTGTAGCATTGAACAACGGGACACTTTATTTGATGACCTGCCAAAGTGGGATCAGATGAAAGTACAGAGCGATGCCCAGTAAGCTGCTGCATCTTTCGTTTCGTTCTTTTGGGTGCCGAAATTTGCAGTCACAAGCATTGCGGTTGCAGAGGACTAACACGCCTGTTGACAAGCATTCGGCCATGGCTCGGAATCAACCGCCGAATACTAGCAATGAGATTCCGACAAACTATAGCTTCTCGGAACGACAAGAAGAAAAGAAATATGCATGTGACTGGCGGTAATTCATGTGTCCCGGCCAAAGGGGAAAAAAGAAAGGAAGGAAAAAAAAAAGGTTGGCTGTGCCGATGGAGACAAGTCACATTCTTGACGGGGTGATGCTCAATTTCATGCACTTTGGAGACCGACCGCTCCTCTGACGTCTGGACCGCTTGTCGATCTGGGGGTCTAGTTATAACTCTCTTTTCTTTTTATTTTGTGCTTTAATTTTACCTGCATTTGCCTCTTGTTGATGCCTACGCTTGACTGATGGTCGCACTTGATTGGCAAGGCAAACAAATAGGCCGTCTACATGCAGTCTAGGACTTGGTATCACGCTGCAGCTTTCCCTACCGGCCCTTTTCCCGTCTTCTTTTCTTTTCCTTACTTCCTCCTATCCCTCACATGCAATCGCTAAACTAGAGATAACCGGTCGGGGAAAAAGAAAGGAAGAAAAAGAAAAGGAGTCGCATATTCGGATACATGTGCGTGTGAGTGAATGTGTCTCTTCTCCATATGGCGGCCCGCCCAGATGCCCGGATAAGTCACAATACCCCCCGGCCTAGCGGAGACTGGGGCCTTTGCTTTGCATCAAGGTTGCTTTGCCCACAGTATGTGCGGCATTAGCGGAAACGGCGAGGCCTGTTTTGGGAACCGTATTCTCTTGCCGGGGGTGGCTTGAAACGCTCGGGTACAAGCTCCATAACTCGTAGGGCAGAAGGATGAACAGTAGAGAGCGCCTTTAAGCTGCTTGGAGTAGCTTTGGACGCGCCATGATGGAGGGTGGCCGCGTCCTTGTGCCTATTCGGCGTGATGGGGCTGAATGGCACATGTCGAGGCCGATTGGGCTGGTGACAGACCGTTTTTGATTTGCCCTTTCGTTTTACTCTGCTGTGGTTTTGTGGGTTAAATGCGTAAAAGAAGCATCTTACAGTGTGCTGCTCGACTGTGTGGCTCAGACCGAGGAGCTGAGAGGGAACGAGGGATTTGAGCCACCCCCAACCAATACTGTGCCGTACAAGTACTATTGAAGGCTGCAGCAACGGAACAGCCGTAGGATCTGGCTCCATCGCTGTCAATCATTGCATGGGATACCGCTCTTTTGCCCTGAAGTCAAATCAAGAAAAAGAGTCAAGCCTATACCGCCGTTTTGACAACACAACCACCCCCCCCTGCTGATGGCGACATGAAAGGAAATTGAGCCTTTTCGATAAACTGGCGGTGCAGGGCCAAGGCTGTCCGTGTCCCCCTTGAATTGTCTGGGGCAATGCAGGGCTCCGTTGCATACTGTACCAACACGCCTTATCTCATACAGTGCCATATCTGAATACGTGTCCCCCGCAGCGAGGCTCACAAGCTGAATTATAGGATCCGACTCTAAACGGGAAATGAATCCCTGCGGGCTGAGACAGCCAGAGGACGTCTTGCGCAGGCGGGAACCAGCGCATCGTGTGCCCTGCAAAAGCGCGCGTCGGCGTGCCGCGTGGCAAAGCAGCAGACAGCTCGATGCTACCCAAATAGATTAAACGGAGCCTGGAGATGGCTTGGTCGGGCTGCAAAAGAAGCGTTGGGAGTTGTCAATAGGAAGGGGAAAAAAAGCAAAAGGCACCCACCGTTTACGCTCTGTAAGTGAAAAAGTCGGAGAGACGACAAAAGAACCCAAGCTCTGCCGTCTTGTCGTTGCTGGCTTCACACCCCCCTTTTTGTCCGTCTTGGCTACCCCCTTTTTTCTGGTGACCTACGAGTCGACGTCTTGCTGCTGCCACCGCTGTCAAGATGCCGTCAAAATGTGTTACCTTCAGCTGCCTCGTTTGAGCAGCCCGCGTGTCCGGACTCTTGGATAGCTGGGCGCACCCCTCCCGCAGCCCAGTGCCAGAAAGAAGAGCCCAGCACCGCCACCGGTGTCGTGCTCGTACTGTCACTGTAATCTCATCCTTTGCCAATGCCACCAGAGTAGGCAGAAGTAAAAGGAACCTGCCTATCAGTACAGAGGCCCGGCGCATTCGCGGGTCATCCTGACATGTTCGAAACATCATCATGATTTCCTGTTTTAACCCCTTTCCGGCTGGTCCCGGCCAAACCCACCCCCAGTCCTGGTTTTCCTAATTCACACTATTGAGACACGCCACCCTCCCTCCGCAAGTTGCGCTGATGGGGCCCGAGACTAGACTAGACAAGGGAGGGAGGCGAGGCTCTTTGGTGGGACGCACGTTTTGCTAGTTTTTCTCCCGGCTCTGACTCGAGCGCTGGGGCCGCTCCTCGGCCATCTCAGACTTGATATATTGCTCCCTACTCCCCCGGATGGAGCCTAATATCTTGCTTTCCTCTTCTCCATATCAACAAACTTATTTCACATCAACACAACAACATTGAATATAATTATCCATCACCACTCGAATACAAAATATAATACCGGATCAGGATCCGCAATACAAACAACACGCGCCTAACCGCCACCTCATATAATACCTGAACCGACTACTACTACTACTACTACTCCACTGAAGAAGCATACTCTTATCATCGCTTCACGATCCGAATACCTTAATCCTTAAACAACACAAGGATATTAAACAAATAAAACAATCAACACAACAATATCTTACAAATCAACTGCGCTGGCCGCTTCACACTCCAACATGTCTCCAATGCCATCAGATTCATATTACATCATCCCCAACCTACAAGCCATGGACCCCTCCGCCCACGAGATTGACCTCAACACCCACACATGGATCCAGCCCATCATCATCGAGGACGAGGATCTCATGTTTGGCGGCAAGTCCCTGAGCGCCTGGTACGAGGAGGACCGCTCGCGCCTCAGCAGCAGCGCTGGAAGCAGCAGTGGCAGCGAGGATGGCAACCAGAGCCCCGAGGAGGAGGAGGAGCACCGAGGACGAGAGCGAACGAGGCGGCACCACCACGATAAGAAGACTCTGAAGAAGTCTCACCGCAAGTGAATGGGATCAACCGACACAATACCATTCGCTACTGTGCAGGGATGATCTGCGCTCTTGATGACGACTTCATCCTGCGCTTTTACATCCTCCTGGGCTGCAATCCGTAACCCTGCAGTCTACTCTTTTCACTTACAACACCATACACATCTACTCGACAACTTTTATGCAACGCCTCTCCATCCATATTACGACTCGTCCGACTTGCTTCAAATATCCATACTCCAGCTACAGCGCATCACCACTTTAGAATGCGGGAAAGAGAAAAGAAATCATTCATCATCATCGGGTTACACACGGCGTTTTTTATCATTTTACCATCATCGAATCATCACTGGCAGCATCGGGAATAGCGGGGGTTTACCTCTATTCATGACTCTGGGCTCTCTCTTGTCTCTCTTTTTTGGCGCCCCGGCATTTATTACATGGTTGGGCAATTTCTTTGGCTGACTCGGTGTGGTCCAAATGGATCTATTTTTATACCCAAAGGGATTTTGCCTTTTTTTTTTTTTTTTTGGTTTTCAGATTACGGAATTATATGTAGAACATTATTACACATTTTTTTTACGAGGGGTATAATGCAATGAGCTGATATGAGTTATTGATGCATGGGACACAGTCGAATAGGGGATGGTTGGATGTTGGCAGAAGGGATTTCTTAGCAGTCTCTTTACATACAAACTGAATGGCAGGAATACCATAACAATACACACAAAACTTCAAAAACTACCAATGAATTTGACTCATAATCATCGTGGCATGTGCATGATAAGTGGAAAGCGGTAAACAAGCTCAACGCGAGTAAGGGTCTGCCTCTATAGCGTAATTTTCTGTGATTCGCGTGCCGTGCGGCGGCCACACAACTTGTTACGCCACGCGCCGCTGTTAGTTGCGTTTCCCGAGGTCCTTTGTGCAATGCCCTTTTTTCGGAAGCGAAGACCGCGGACCGTTTCTGTTGGAAGTTGGTCCGAAAAAAGGAGCGTCAATGCGACCGTTGGGGGTTTCTGTTGTTCCTCCTGTCCTGACGGTTGAGAGATGGACTAACAACTAATAACACGGGAGATTGCGATGCAAGATCCTACGGTTGGTGGACGCTGGCTACTGCTGCTGGACGGCACGCAACTAAATACTATGCGTTCAGCTTTCAGCTCGTATCGCATTTACATTCCGTTTTGTCCATGAAGACGTTATTTTCTCTCCTTTTTTTTTTTTCAGCTGCCTATCCCACCACACCCTCTTGTCAAACGCGTACCGCGATGCCGGGAGGCAAATAATAACAAAGAATGAGTCCTCGGTAAAAGGGTTCGGCGATCCAAGAGGCCGGATCCTCAGCTAGCTGACACTTGACTAACTGGAGTTGTGAGTGTGTGTGTGGGGAAGAGCTGGGCAAGACCAGACCACGCAGGAAAAGGGGGACTGAAGAAAGAAAAACTTTTTCTGTGGCTTTTTTTTTCTGGGGGGTTGTGTATCCATTTACTGCTTTTGAAAAAGGCCCGTTGAAGTGATTGACGTTAAGACGTTTAGGTTGTGGGTAAAGAATGAAGAGAAGAACGAAAAAATTTTAATGGTGTGAGTGGGCGTACAGTATGTGGGCAAATTGGCTGAGGACGTGTATTCTCTTGGATGCTTGAATAGGGGATGTGGCTTTGTGTGCTTTACGAGAGTCTGGTGCGTCTGGATAAGCGTTTCTCCTGGTAAGAGAGAGAGAGAGGGAAGAGTTAAGTTTGCTTTGTCTTCTGTCATTGTTATGTTTATTCTCGCCCTTCGTATTGAGTGTTTCTAATAATAGCGCCAGCCGTCAATATGGCTGCTATTGTTGTTGCTGCTGGTGCCTGTGTCTACTCACGGCAACCCCGAGTTCTATTATTCGGCACTTGGGACGCATCTGCCGTGGGCCAACACGTGTCGCAACCCCATATTATGCCTCAGACCCTCTTTTTATCGCCGTAGCCTTTGATACTGCACGATGCTATGGGGTACGAATACCATTGCTGCTGTTACTAGGAATATGGGGGAGCCTTGCTGTGAGTACTGCGTATCTGATGTACTGTAGGCAAGCTGTTGTGTATGCATGTGTGCATGTACGGAGTAGCACCCGCCAGCAATAAGGGGTCCCTTCGCGGAACTTCTTCCGGAAGCAGGTTCGGGGCATTCCTTTAGCTGCTTCTGCGTTGTTCCATGCAGGCTTCCACGAGCTTACGCCCTGTAGAGGCTGCGTTGCAGCCCAAGAAGAGCAGCATGTGGCTTACCTGTGTTCCGTTTCCCTTCTATTTCTTCTTTGGTCTGCCCTTTTCATGCGCTGCTGTGTTGGCAGAGGGAGCAAGGGTGGGATTTACCATGAAAGCGTGAGTCCTAATTCGTAGCTGCGCTCTGATGGCGGTGAAGGGGCATGCCGTTTGCGGGCGCCGCAAGAAGTGGTAAATATCGGTCAACATGGGCTTTTTGATTGGTTGATTGGTGTGTGACGGATTTACTTTTCGAATAGTTTGTATGACAGGACATCAAGTATAGTGCTGAAGAGGCGAAGCTGGTTGCTGTACTGAGGCGAACGGCTGATGTCTACCGTTTTCAAATAGAAACGGTGGGCCGGTTAGGTGAGACTATCTGATTATACCAGACTGGGGATCTAGCAGTAGATCACTCGCGTGATCTTAGTATTGATAGCAGCCTCAAATATATTCATGAATTAGAGAAATCTGAGAATTTATCGTCTCTGAGAATGAGACTTGATGCCTTTAATCTATGCTGCTAGTGGCACAACTAACTAAATACCCATGAACGTTACCATAACAAAATAGACATAACATTTGCATTTGCTATAAAAGTTTATACTCGCTAAAAGACATATTTTCTGCATTGAAGATATCTTTGGTGTCAGTTTCCTTCTTTGTCCTTGCTTCCGTTCTTCTGTTGTATTGATGGACCTGAGTCTCGTGCAGCAGACAGCAACGAGAAAGGTTATGTGTATTATGCGATCCCGTTAAACCTTTGAGTAGATACATTTTATGAACTTACATATTAGTTACTATTTTTCATTTACCCTACGCATTTGCAAAGTGAACTTAGCCGGGCGCCAGGCTTCCATCCGGCTATCCTTACAAAACGGTTGCTTACAACTTGAATACGAGCGCATTATTAGGCAGATGCGCTAATGCGCAGCAATAGCAGATACATGTATTGACGGACGATCCGGCTTGGTCCGGATGTAGCGCGTAGGCTAGCTAAGTCAAAATACCAAGTGTGACAGGTCAAGCCGCAAAAGGATTCAACGTTGATGGAAAAGATGGACCTAGCAAGAGATGCCAGCAAACACGTAGAAATGCGAAGACATAGAGGCACTTTTGTTGTGATAAATAAGGCAGTTACCTTGCAATTCGTTCTTATTCTGTTTATTATGTGTTATCGAGGACTTCGCCTTACCGGTTCACAGCTTCTAATATAGAATTAGACCAAATACCTTGTGCTTTGAAAGCATTGGTAAGCGTTTCATTTCCCCTACATGGGTTAAATCTCTGATATAGCTAAAACTTATTGCCTGATATCGAGAAGAATATACCGCTAGTAGTCTAAGCGCCGCTGAAGCCTGTCTTTGTGTCTTGATGTAGGCTGTGGGTTGAAACTGACCAACTGCGATGGCCTCACGGTCAACTCTATCCAGTGAACGAAGAGAAGGAATATCAAGTTCCTTTATACATATGATCTCGACTGCATTATTTGATTCCGAATACTTATTCAAGCTTTTTACTACAATACTGAAAAAGAGGAGGCGGCCATGCGTGCCGCAGCTCGCCCAATGGGAGGGCCAACGGGGCCAGCGGTATTTATTTAGTTAATCAGTTCAATAACTTATTAATTTCTATTCCAACTTTCTATCAATGCCCTGAAAATGCTCAAACACTGTGAAAGGCAAGTTTATTCAGCAATGTTACTAAGTTATGCATGACATGGGGTCCAACTATGATAAAGTGTGCAGAACAGGCAATAATCATAGTTCTCAAATTGGATAATTCCTCCCTCTGTAACAAGACGGTCCGACAAATGGAATAATACCGTTTTCAAGCTTTATGCTGAAATGAATGGTAAAAAGGCACGTAAGTCTCGGTTCAATGAGATCTGTTTCAGGATAGAAGTGTCAGCGGCATAAGGGACTTGCCAACGCTCCGTTATGTCCATCACGTTGAAGATTCTCGAAAATAAAAGCTATTCCTATTATCGGTACCTAAATCAGGCTGCTTTAAAAAAAAAAAAGTGCAGCAAGCACTCCTGCTGTTAAGCCTTGCACCGTGAATCTTTCTTTGGGGGTGCCGCACATGCTTGATCTAATTGAGAGGATAACTCTGCCGACAGCGAGCTCGCAGTATCATGGTATTTTATATGTATGATCAGTTCAACGCTATTGTCAAGGCTGCATATTTCAACTTTTTGCCGTTCTTCTCTCAAACTCACGAGCAGCCATCGGCCCAAGGAATCACGCCCACTACAGCTGAGGGTACACAGAAGCAGAGGGCAATGGACTGTGATAATTCGGGCGGCGGCTATTACATGGAACAGCCTACAAGTGTACTCTCTATCCCGTGTCCTTCGCTAGTGTTAATGGTTTACTAACATCATTGCGGTTGCAGGTAAATACCGTGGGTCTCACTCTATACGACAACCCAGTTGGACAACTATATTGGATCATTGAAAAGTTCGTCATTTGTGGGTTTAGGCACAACTTTGCATAAAACCAACTATACTGACAGTGCAAAGGATATGATCCGCGACGAGGAACTGGACCTTCACTTGTTACTAACAAGGAGATCCTCAGGCGCCTATCTCTCTACTACCTCACCCAAACTTTTCACTCTGCCCCTTTCATCTATGCCTAGAACCCTACAGAAAAGGACTTCTTGTACACCTACCGGAGAGTCCGAAGCAACCAGCCTCTTTTTTATAGCAATTTCCAATGGAATATGTTATTCTACCCGCAGAAGCTAGCGGCGACTGTCGGCAACTTGGTGTATTATAATTGTGAGTTACGACACCTCTAGGGGGAGAAATGATACCATTGGCTGTTTTTGAACATATTGCTGACAGCTATATGTAGCAATTGAGTTTGCCGGATACTTTCCAGCGCTGGATAACCCGCCTACATTGGCCGATGACATTAGATTGATTGGAAAATACTTTGAATCGTAAGAAGAGTACTATTTACATTAGCTGCTCTGCTTGGGCATTTACTTGCCAAACGGGTATAAATAGTAACTGTCCTCGCTGTTCCCGTACGTATTAGTGTTTAATAAGAAGAAAAGAAGGGAATCATTATTCAACACCCCAGTTTATTATCCAGGACCCCAGCCATAACTTAATAAACAGGTCAGTCTACTCATACATATTGTTATGAGATATATAATAGTATTTAAAATAATAAAGGCAGAAGAGGCAGTAAAAGATTAAAATACATGTTATTGTAATTCACGACTTTAGCTACTCTTGGGGTGCTGAATAAAAAAATTGGAGCGTGGATAACAATTCTTAAAAAGAATTTTCATGACAAGTTGACTGACTGCCTGACCTGATGGTAGAGGTTCTTTGGTAACCACAAGGCTCTTCAATTTAATTAGCGCAGCCATTATCAATCGGCGAGGACTAGTTTTTGGGGACAAAGAGTCTTGTCTCCCTGTGCGTGAAGATGCAAAGTCGTAGTAGAAGTCCATAGTATATACCATGCGTCAGCCATCGAATAGCGAATGTGGCTTTGCACTTGATAGCAATAGACCTATTTAGGGTAATTTTTGAAGAGAAACACATCGGACGGTTACGGGTAGAAGGACCGGGCAACCCAGATCGGACAATGAGCATGCTGTTTTGCACTCGTTAGAAGACATGTATAAACGACAGCATGTATACTCTCGTGATATTCAAAGCAGGACTATATCCCCTCAATATTCGGCTCTCTTTATTTACAGTTGAGCCATAAAGTTCAACTATGCCCTACTCTTCTTACTTCTTAGCCCTTATTGGCAGAATGTCAGCATCGTCCAGTACATCAGTAACACAGAGGCTGCCCGCTTCAAGCCAAATATCACTCTGGTCCTCAACACATTCCTTCATGAACTGCAATTGAGGCTTTGTTCTGGTCTACAGCCTTTAGAAAAAAGTTTGCAAAGACAGCTCCGGGCAGCAAAACTAGTTACCATGTCTACCACTAGTATAAAAACCCTTTTTTTTTTCCTTTTCTTTTTTTTCTTTTTCTTTTTTTTCTTTTTCTTTTTTTTCTTTTTCTTTTTTTTCTTTTTCTTTTTTTTCTTTTTCTTTTTTTTCTTTTTCTTTTTTTTCTTTTTTTTCTTCCCTTTTTGCCGTCTCGGTTGCCTTTGGTCAAGATGTCAACCCTGCAACTCTGAGGAAGACGGCTGGCGTGAAGAATGCTTTCAGCGTCACGGTAGTGCCTCGCCTAGCCCCTAATCAACATCAGATGGCCTGCTATTGTCGAGAAAGAAACAGGATATCTTGCCAAATTACCGAGATAACAAGAAGTTCAACGAGCCGCTGATGATGGCAGGCGTGGACAAACTTCGTAACAAAGGAATCAAGGGCAAAGGAGTGCAGGCTGCAATCATCGATTCCGGCGTCGACTGTAACCACCCTTTGCTAGGTGGGGAACTCGGTCCAGAACAATAGTTCGCTCTGGAATACGACTTTGCGGGGGATGACTATAACAGCCTCGACTCTTCTGTGCTAGATTCTGAACCCCTGGCTACATGTGTTGGCGGTGAACATGGGGCTCACACAGTTGGAGAGTGTGAGCCTGACTCGTTTCGACCGCACGCTAGATTGGGTTTGAAACTAAGTAACATTATTCAGGAATTCTTGAAATGGAAGATCTCGAAGCAACTATTGCTGCTTACTGTGTCTTTGGGTACACTGGCGGCGCCACTCTGATATTATCATAGCAGTGATGCTGAGAGCCACACAAGATGGTACAGACATGATGCCCATGACTCTAGCAGGAGGTAACGGATGAGAATTAGACAACGGGTAATAACGACATCATCACCCAGTTGGCGAATAGTGGCGTGGCTGTATACTATTCACGACGATCAGCAAAATGCCTTTGGCTACAAACCAACGTTTCTTGCACCATCCTGGGCCGCCAGCAAATCTATACCCTCGGAGCAGGGCTGGGAGTGCCGCCCAATCCCACCATCTCAAATGGCTGCGACGCGTCTGTATGGGTCGCTTTGCAGCTAGCTACGTATCGAGGCATAAATTATTGGAGCAGCACCACCTTGCTGGTTTCAGTGACTGAATCGTGCACATATTTATTCAATAACTGGGGCGAAGCCGTAGCGATTGGCGTAAAAGACAATGAAGGTCTATCTTGCAGACGATGAGCAGTTGAACGTAAGCAAGCTTGAATTCGGCAAATATTGTGTTTGAACCATGAAAATTCGCAGAATATCAACATATTCGTCGAGCTTCCTGCTGATCAAACCTCTTACTATCCGGCATTTGATGGCAATAATGCCAAGGACGTGCTGAACAAGCTCGGGGGAACAGTGGACGCCGACGCCTTCTACAGCTATGATCTCATCAGTTGATATGACACTTGTGCCCAAGATTTCTGCTCTAGAAATAAACATCTTACCCACATGGCCCCTGGAGGGGAGTGGATATGCTCGTCCATCTAGCACTTCAATGGCAGCCCCTTTCATCACCACAACTTAGCGTTGCAGAGCTGTACACAAGACTGATGGTCACTGCTGCGCCACTAAGTGAGTGTGGCCTGATTCTCATTGCATCCACATGTCGATAGGGCGGTGGCCTAGTCGACGCTTATGCTGCTATTCATACTGTAACTTTTATTTCCTCCGTCAGCGATCGACCTGTGCGACTATGTTTCGCCGGCACCCCGAAGATCGCCATCATAAATCATTCCGAGTGTACATAAGAGGACATATCAGATAGAACATATCCTGGTGACTTTAAATGGAGCCTATCATGATTATCTGACTGGTGGCTTGGATATACCAAGGAATGGAAGCATCTACCCCTTAGAAAATAACGCCTCGGCTAAGGTCTCTTAGTCGTCTTGGGCTCACGAAGCCGGACAGTCAGCTACCTTCCAGGCTCAAATTACGCCACACGAAGACGAGTGGCCATATTCCATGCCTGTATACACCGGTTTTGTCGAGCCGTCTCCTGATAATGACACGTGCTCGATTCTGTATAGTGGTGTGCCCTCCAACCGAACTGAGGTTGGGCCAGTTATGCATCTCATAATAATGTCACCATCTACAGCTCCAGCCGTATACAAGTTTCAAATAATTAATTAATCCTGGTGCTCACATGGCAGAGCCAGACATTGACACGTACAAACTCTCTGACAACCCGGATAACACTCTCCCATTAATCAATTCGGCTACTGGGCTGCTCTCTCGCTTCGTTCGCTTACAACTCGCATCAGCTAGCACACATCCTTCATTCCGTCAAGATACGGCTTCGACCCTAGCGTCGCCATTCGCTATTAACTACTACTACTACTACTACTAGTATTCTAGCTACTACTCTAGCTACGTAGCCTGGCTTTCTTGGCGAGCCTAGCTACGGAATCATCTCTGCATCCACGATGGATCCTGTACCTAGTAATAGAAGTACCTAGTAATAGTACCTAGTAATAGTGCCATTTAGGCAGGTTTTACATTTAACTTCTTTGTATCTGGCATTAGTATTGAGTCCCACTCTAATAAAGCGATAACAACACCTCAGTCAACTTAGTTTCTGGAGATTAGCGGCCGCTTCTCCCCTTGTATTGCAACGGCGACGAGACAATCCTGCCAATTATATTACCAGTCGTGGGTCAACTCAGTTTCTTGAGATTATAGCGGCCGCTTTTCCGATCCTTGAGTTGGAAAGGCGACGAAACCATCCTGCCAATCACCGGCTGTGGCTCGGCTCTAAGACGATCCTGCCAATCACCAGTCGTGGCTCGGCTATATCCTGAGATTGAATGTCACAAGCTTTCAAGGGGCTTGGGCTTACTGGTGACAGCTGCGTGGAGAAAATCAAGCCATGTTATGACAATGTCTATGTCTGACGTTGTCTGTAGAAAATTTTTCCATCAACAAGAAGGGTTTCATATAGTAATAGTATATACTAGGCTCATCAAAGGCATAACATACAATGATAACTAGTATTTTCTGATTACATATTCGCTTTTTTGATTACCCACTAACGCGAAAAGTGCCCAATGCTGTCTAGCGCGATGAGATGCTAACAAGTCCCAGTTGTCAGACTGCGCCCGATCCCTGCTTCTCTTCATTTCTGTCTATCAATGAAGTTTATGGCACAGGAGTCATAGCGAGTCTCAAATTAAACTAGCCATGACTAGTGTATACTAGGAGGGAGGATAGTGACGCACAAGGTTATACTATAAGAGCCTCATGCAACGCAAGTATGACATTCGGTGTTTCCCGCTTATCCTTGCCCCCCCCGGTCATTTGTCGTTTGTCGTTTTGCTCATTCGCACGCATCGTAGAAATTATTGCTAACGCAAGGCTAGCCCCATCGCCAGGCATTCACCGGATTCATTTTGAATACTAATCAGGCAAGAATTAGAGATTCAAGGTTCTGAGTAGATCGGCTAGCCCTATGCTCGTACATCGTGCTTGATGTCCGAGCTGATTGGAGGAATTGTTCGGAAAGCCGATGCGGGTTCGTCAACAAGCTTTTAAGCTGCAAGACTGGGCTGACTGGGGCATCGGAGTTGAACAGGGATCTCCGAATAGAGAAGCCATCATGTCGCTAGGAGCTGCCCACGGCTGCCACACAGCCCTACGGTGTTTGAAACTGCCTCTCAGAGCCCCATCGAACCGACCGAATGGAGAAGTTAGGCGGCTGTCGTTGCCTCTCCACAAATGAGCCCGCCGCTAAAATCTCACACGCCGCCAAAGACCGCTACTGATATATACTGTAGAGAATTGTCAAACGATCAGCACACAGCTCTCAACTTTGCACACCATAATGCTGCTGGTACCCACGGTTCAAGTGGCAAATTAGTGTTTATATTTTCAGATTATATGTGTGTATTTTATTTTCCAGGTTATCTTTTGGCCAGCTCCTTTTAGAGCGCTGTCAACCAAACCCCTGGTATGCCGCGGGGCGTTGCTTGTAAGTTGAAGATCATTCTAGTCTATTAGCTCAACTTCGCTGCGTATGAGGATAGGCCGTGAAGCATAGTTCTGAATTGCTTCGTGTTATACTTAACGGTTTGGAATCAACGCTGCTCGCAAAGAATGGCCATCACAGACACTAAGCCTCGCTCTACAAGGGCGTCGGCGTGCTCTGCGTGCGTAGGTTGTCAATTTCTGATTTAGTAATGGCTCTCCTGTAAGACAGGGAGGAAGAAAATGTATATATAGACCTTTTTAGTTTCTCTCTCTTGGCAGGGTTTATATCAACTCATCCAAGTTGGTTGCCAAGAATAGTTCGGTGATCATCTCGATACAGAGGGAGAGGATAATCGGCGAATCCTAAATCTCGATCCAGCGTTGGGCCCTCTTCTCTTCGCAACTATGCGGTCCCCCTTGTCTCTTCTCATTAGTCCTATACGAGGCATCTTATTTCTTGCTCTTCTTAGCTTGCCTTGTTCTTCTATGGCTCTAGATTCGGCAACTAGAAGCGCTGACTCGGTTCTTACTCTAACGCCCATCCGATATGCAAATACTTCTACACTGTCCATTGCGTACTATGATTCGGCGCCAAGCGACTCAGCCGCACCGGTTGCCATCCTCATCCACGGGTTCCCTTACTCGATCGACACCTATGTGGATGTTGTGCCCAAGCTGGCCGCCAAGGGCTATCGCTTGATAGTGCCGTATCTGCGTGGCTATGGCACCACCTCGTTTCTCTCGCCTACAACCCCACGCAGTGCGGAACAGGCCGCGCTTGGCAAGGATATCATTGACCTGATGGATGCCCTGAGCATCGACAAGGCCATCTTTGCGGGCTACGACTGGGGGTCAGTCGCCGCAAATGTTGCCGCAGCCCTGTGGCCGGATCGCTGCACCGGCATGGTGGCCGCGAATTCGTACCTGATCCAGAGCCGTCGAGCGGCGTGGGCGATAGCGCCGCCGGCGTCTCTCGCCACGCGATGGTACTTCTACGTCTTTCTGACGCCGCAGGGATACAGCGCGCTGGCCAGCGATGCGCGAGGATGGGCTGCGACGCTGTGGTCCAAGAACAGCCCGCAGTGGAACTGGACTCAAGCTCAGCTCGACGCGGCGGCTCCGGCGTTTCGCAACCCAGACTATGTCGACATCGCGACGAACTTCTACAGAAACCGCTTACTGTACGCACCCGGCGACCCAGCTTATGCAGACTTGGCCGGCCAACTAGACTCGCTGCCCATCATCCAGGTCCCCTCCGTCACACTGGACCCGGACCAGGCTCCTGTGTTCCCCGCGACGAATGGCTCGTCAACTGCGCAGCACTTTGCAGGCCCGCGAGTGCATCATATCGTCCAAGACTGTGGCGAAAACATTCCTCTTCAGAAGCCTCAGGTCTTTGCGGAGGCGGTCCTGGAGGTGGCGGCTCTCGGGAAGCGCCCATATTAATAAGTCATGAACGCCAACATCCGACACCGAGAGCGAGCGCCGTGTGGCACTAACCATCCATTGGCTGCTGCCTCTATTTCGTTCTTCGTTCTTGAGATAGAGTATATCGTTTAATAGGTGCTTAGATGCAGCAATAGACAAGACACCCTCCCTGGCACGGAGTAACCCGACAGCTCGCAATGTGTTGCTCTTTGTCTGCTTCGGGAAGTAAGCTTCAAATGCATATGCTTAACTTGTATAGTGCCTTGGCCACCCCCCAGGTTCGGTAAACAGCCGATGCTTGCGCGCGCTTATGTTTCGTTAAAGGGCAGTGGACTGCTCTTCTTTCCTTTCTATTTTACTATTGCTATTCCAAGCACTTGAGAATACGAAGTACGAAATCCTGCGCTAAAGCTTGTCGAGAGAATAGGCCTAGCGGCACTTTGTTTTCGCCCAAGGTCCATCATTTGTCATGCCACAAGGGGGGGTCCAGGTGCTGAGCCCTATCCACACAGCTGGCCTAGATCTATTATAGATCCGCGGAGTTTCTTCCACTAGGTACGGAACGTTTTACGAAAGAGAGGAAGTCTCTCCTTGCGAGTCAACCTAACGCCGAAAAGTTGTGGCAACGCCGCCCCACAGTGCCGATTTGCCCTATCTTGAACCAAGAGAGAGCATTGGGATATTAGTTCTTAATGAATAGGAGAGAACCCATTTTGAAAGTCTAGCTGTCAACAAAAAACAAAAAGAGAAAAAAACACCAGCGGCTGGCATCATGACGACCGTCAAGCCAGTACTTCGGAGAAGCCACACGAAATCAAAATCTGGCTGCCAGGCTTGTAAGCAGCGGCATGTCAAATGTGACGAATTTCGACCAACATGGTTCGTAATCAACAACAATTGGATTTTTCTCGTTAAAGAGAAAGAAAATGCGTGCCTCGAGGAGAAATCACTAACAAATCCCATAGCCACAGATGTCTCTCTTCAAAAATACCGTGTAAATATCCGGATCAGCCTCCGGAGGAAGAGCCTGAGCAGGAGACCCCATCTCTCTGGTGGCCGGAAGACATTGAAACTGCGTGCGCAGAATGGAAAGAAACGGGGGAGCCACCATTCATATCTTTAGCTCCTTCACCGAGCTGGCATAATATGGATATGAAGGACTTGCGGTACATATACAAGATGGCTCTTGTTTCCAACATCCTCGAGCTCAGCAACACAAACGACATCTGCCTGTTATGGGGTGAGATGGGCGTGTAAGTACAGCCAGTGTGAAGCTATCATACTATTTTCGTTACTGCTTGGCATGAAAGGAAAAAAAGGCATTAATAATGGAGATTTAAGACTGACTTTTGCTGGGCGATTAGGCTGTTCCAACTCGCAACACAATTCGACTTCGTCGCACATACCTTGGCTGCAACATCAGCACAGCGACTTGCAGTAACTACAAAGTCACACGAGGCCTCCTTAGACGCGCACCAGTACCGGAAGCAAGCCCTCCATGGACTGTATCGGGCAATGGGGAGTTTTTCCAAAGATAATTCTGATGCAATCTTGGCGGCCTCCCTAGGGTGCTCATACATCATGTCGGACTCGTAAGTATTATATACTATTCCCGAGTGTTTGCCGAATGTTTTCCGTGTTTTTGGTCATAAGAAATCAAACGGAAGACGTCTTTGAAAAATTTGGGACCACGGTTGAGCTAACAGCTGCTGCAACAGGCGTTCTTTAATGACCCTTGCGGGAAACATTTCCACTGTAAGCCTCGAGCGCATCGTCCTGTCTACTACGCCGCTCACAATAGAGCAGGTGGCGAACCGAATGAGACCTTGGTTGAAGCGGTCAGCCTTCCATCGGATATTCACATATGAGCCTCCTTACCTCGACAACGAAGAACAGGCAGCGGCAACGCCACCCGAGACTGGCGACGTAGAGCACCGCTTCGCCCTTGTCAAGAAGTTGCTAGCGGAAGGCGTCAACTCGGTCAACGGATTAGCATTCTGTTTCCAAGGCGATCGAGATCTTTCCGCCGTCCTCCGACAGCTCAGAGACGTGATGCGTCTCGTCCATGAACGACTCGGCTCCGACATCACCACAGAAGACCAGTACCGATTAGTATACCCCTTCACGGCATGGTTTGTGAAAAGCCCAGCTGCTTCTTTCGTGTCTCTCAGCAAGAAGAACCCCTATATGCTGGTCTTCCTGCTGCACATGTATGCGGTGGTCGTCACGCTCACAACGGCACTGCCGAGGATCGACGTTCCTTTATTCGCAAAGTATCGTTTGAGAGCAATCCTCCAAATCTGCAACATTTTGAAAAACGACCCGGGGTTTTTGTGCCAGCGATGTAATGGCTTTCATGCATATCAAGAGATTATGTCTTTTCCCCTGAATAGCGTTTCTGCGTATCAGCAACTTGGGCGAGAGAAGGCGTTTCTTGGAGCATAATTAGCGAGCGTGTTGCCACTGTTTGGCTTTTTCCTTTTCCTTATTTCTATTTTTTCCCCTCAATTTCTTCTCCATCCTCCTCTTCTTCCCACTCCTTTGTATTAATATTTGCAAAGAGTTTGCAACAGCAAGCAAAGTCTCATGCAGTTTGTTTGGAATTACTTAGCGATAGCAAACATATGTTTATGATTTGAGCAAGGCAATGGCTGCTTTGGCGCCGTGAAGCGCAATCATACCCAACCGACCACGTTGTTGGTTCCCCTAGCCTAGCCATTAATTCATCTACCATACTTTTCGGCCAAAATCTAAGGGGATTACCTGATCCAATGTCAATAGAGTGACCTACTGCGTCTCACACTAAGTATTGCATCGTGGCATGCCAAATCTTTCTTTCTACCTTTATTTGCCTACGTATCTTTTAGCATAAAACAAAGTATCAAGGAGCAACTCTAAAGTTGCAGCGAGCTCTAAAGTAGATATATATGTAGAGTAGCGGATGGATTCCTTCATGAAGAAATATAATCCTGGTTGGGTGCAAATGCAATATCCTTGCTTGTCCGGCTTGCTCGGTAGTAAAACATAGCAGTTAGGATTGCGAAAGTACAAGGATCTGCAAGTGCCCCAGCTCCTTTCAAGGCTTGAGATGACTTTGACCATTTGGAATATTTCTAGAGGATGCAGATGCAGATGCTAAATCTAGGCAGCAGGCAACCTGTTCTCTCCAGAGACAACATGTGGCTAAATATCAGATAGCATTCCGAATGAGTGTAATGAGTCTCAAGTCCTCTAACTAGAACAGGTATCTATCGGCCGAGTCTCGACGTACCTGCAACGCTTATTCGGGCTTGCCTACGGAATTATTAATCTTGTTGTTCCTTTCCTTTTCTTTTGACAAGCGAGCAACTATGACAAGGCTAATTTCGAATCAAGTCTAGAATGGGTAATATACAAAGACTTTATATATCTATTGGCTACTCGGCTGTGGAGGCCTAATATTTCGTCGAAACTGTATCTCCGCTTCGTACGATCCAGTCCTCAACCTTGTCAATCCCCCACATAATTGTATAAAGATGCCTCATGAATTCATCCACTTCCTCTGCAGCAACACTATCTTTGAGTAAAGATAGACCGTGTAAACTGTAGACAAATAGAGGGTCTTTGGATTTTGCGATAGCGGCCCAGCGTGCCGGTGAATTCGCATCCCACAACTCAGCTCGCGCAGTTATACGTATATCCCCAGTACAACTGGTAGTCCAAATACCTCTGAGACTTTGATAAACGCCAGTGGCAAAGTTACTTAATATCCAAGTGCGACGGGTGGACTCATATAGCACGAAACTTTGGTACAAATCTGGCACTGGATCATCTATTAAAATGGATGCGACACCATTTACCGGAGGTATAGATTGAACTACAGTATGAAAATCTGCATCTTGGCTTGCTGATTGCCACAATTGATTTGTCCAATGGTGCAGCGTGGCTATTAAGCATTCAGCTTTAGCTCGGCGAGGGATTGATGACGAGAAGAGAGCTAATAGAAGGTGAATTAACAAAGCTTGTGTGCGTGCTACGTGATCCCTCGTTGATAGGAGTAAAAACGCCTCTGACCCTTCAATTGGCTGTTTCGTGACGAGGTCACTAACACGCGATGCAAATATGTCGTCAATGATGTGCTCGTTGCTTGCAGTTTCATTTTGATGAATTGATATTGACGAGAATGCATCTTGTATACATGGTGGCATGGTCGTATTGGAATAGAGGTGGCGATGGATGAAAGGGTTATGACCTTGGTGGAGGAAACGTTTAAGCCATGACTGTATGCCCCGGGTGAAATTTGATAGCACTTCGCTAGGAGGATAGCTGGATGGAGGTTCATAATGATAAGCGACTGTCCAAGCCGGGGGAACAATAAACCATTCAAGCCTGTCAGATAGAGGTAAAAGCCGGCTGGTAGAAGACAGATCGGTGCTTAGGGCAAGTCGTGAAGGAAAAATTGGCAAGGATGAAGCATGCGGCAGTAGATTTGCATCAGGAAACGCTGAACAGCTTTGTGAATTCTGGAGTTGTATGGTTGGGGTATGGCAACTTGTATGAAGAAATGTATCCCCATGCTCGTCAGCAGGTTGATGCGTGGTAATGACATGTTCCTCAGTCTGAGTGTCATCGTCAGTGAGGGCGGCTTTGTTTGATATCGGCAGTTGTTGTCTCCGCCGATGGCGTACGGGGGGGTACTCGCAGGTGAGTTCCCTCTCCTCACAGCGCGAGCAGATAGGCAACACCTTGTCGCAGCCTCGCTTCGATGCAACGCATGCAAAGCAAGACTTTTGCTTGGAACGTCGACGCATGGCGGAGATTTCTGGTTAATAGTGGAGGGCAGTGACGCGAAGGATAGGGAAAACGCCCTCAGTTGTAACCGTTGGCGTGGAGGTAGGCGGAGTTCGACTGTGGAAGCCAGGATTGCCTCATGAGTAAATGAGTGGCCAGTCAGTAATGCGCGGGTTTTAGATCAAGTGGTTCCGACCATGATCAGTTTAAAGCGGACTAGAAGTACGAATTACTCTTTTTAAAGCGAACGATGTTTCAAGATCAGGATAGAGATAGAGCGGAGGAACCGCGGAGTTGCTGCGGAGAATATTATAGGTCAAGCTATCTCTCTACGATTTTAACAGCGCTTGTTTTATAATCATACTATATTGAATATAGCGTGTTATTGTAATATATATTTTACTACGTTTTAGAGTATACAATACATAATATATATATTAAAATATTTAATATTAAATAATAAAAATTAGATTAAATTTAAGCCACGAAATATAACGAACGAACGATCGTTTGGATCTGACATTAACGCGTGGCGATCTCCGCGGCGGGTATTTGATCAGCCAAATCCCACGCAGGAGAGCATTCAGACAACGCCTGCAACAGATATTTATGTTCTTCGGGAATGCCCAACAACTTAATTGAACGAATCGCTCGAACCACAGCGTAAACTAGAGTCAGCGGTGCGTGACGCAGACCGTATGTATTACGGTAATGCCGTACGAGACATATGATTTCCTGGGAAGATGGTATGCAATATTGTCGGCATGTGTGCGCTACTGGGTCGTTTGCTGACGCGCCGCATTGGTCATGGTTGAGCGCAATTCGAGCGCTGTGGAAATAAAGACTATTCATAGAGTAGAGGAGATGATTAGTCGGTCAAAATCATCCATCAAACTTGAACTGATATGTGAAATGGGGAAACGTACTGCAGAGTAGCGACACCAGAGAATGGTACGTTGTCGTCCGTTGTCCACTTGTTCCACTTCGCTATTTCTGGTAACGAGTCATTCCACTCGCAGAACTCAATGTTCAAATTGTCGAGGCATGACCGACGAACAATTCCATCTAAGCTCGATCGTGGAGAAAATAAGTTCGTCATCATGCTCTCTACTATTCTAGAGAGACGAATTTGCTCTTTGATATATGGGAAATTCGACAGCCGCCCAGGCATATCAGGGCTAATACTGTCAAAGCCAACAGGGCACCAGAACTCCATTTCTGGGCCATCGCTTAAGGGTGTTAGCCGATATGCACAACTAAGATGATGGGTAGAGTACATGCCATACAGTATAGTCTCCAAAAGCTCAACCTCTGCGGCGTCATAGGCTAAATGTATTGGCCTCCCGCGTATAAGGCTGATGAGCTACCCTTGGTATCATAATGACACTTTAAGTAATATTGAAGACTTCAATATGCATATTGCCACTGCGATACTGCGATATGTGATTTTATAATCAGGGAGGGTCTAACTTTCCATCGAATACATCTCATTGTTTCACTATCGCAATTGGCATCATCAATTAACACCTCTAAGCCGACGGCTTCGCATGAGAAAGCTATAGTATTGAATTATGGCTAAACAAAGCAAGACTGAACATGAACACCGTATTTGTTCATACACACGTAGACCCGTACAACTATAGATCTACAAGTTCCCGCCATAGTGACATACTCCGTCTACCAAGGTAATTCTGAGCCGTCTGGTCCAAAGAACTTTCCATGCGTATTCTCAACAGTAGAGCGGTCAACCTATTAAGAACTGCGTCAGTTCTCATCAACTTATTTTGTCGTTCTCTCGCCCGCAAAATTTTGTCACCCACCATTTTCTTTATTGCTTGCGCGCTCTCTTCGACCGAGATTGCGTGCGCTGAGAGGTCAATCCCAATTTCTTTGGCAGCATCAAATCCCGCTTGCCCCATGTCTGAGGCCACCATACTACCCAACATCAAATAGATTAGAACTATGTCGGAGCAAATAGGAAAACAATATATAGATAGGTTATGCCTACCCAGGATGTTGTGCCCAAATCAGCACATTCTCATTCTCAAGTGCTAGCCACCTGAACAGAAAGTTTGCTAGAGCTTTGCTCGCTCCGTAGCCTGCTAGCGGAAGGATGGTATTCATTGTAGTGAGGCTACCACCTGCACTTGAAATGAGAACAAATTTTCCCTTGTCATATACTTGAGAGGAGCGTAAGAGAGGAGCCACAGCTTTGAAAAGTTCAAGCTGTCCGTACGCATTGACATCGATAAAGCTTTGGAGTTCTGAGACCGGAGTTAAGGACAAGGAGGCCGACATTCCAGCAATGCCAGCGTTTGCAATAACAACATCAAGAGTGTGGACATCATGAGTCGATACCAACGACTTTATGCCGCAGCCTATAGATTCTGTAGATGAGACATCGATTTTGATGACAACAAGCCTAGACCCAGCAGCTTTTGAAAGTGATTGAAGGGACTTTGCCGTGGAGTGAGAAGGGTCGCGGACGGTGGCTACCACTGTAGTATTAGGCACTGCGAGGTATGCAGTGACGAGCCCTCTGCCAATACCTGGAGGAGTTAGAATGGGCTATATACGTGATATGATAGACACCCTTTTTCTTACCGCGATTAGCGCCTGTTATGAGGATGTTGGTATTGGAAGACATGGTTAGTTCCGTTAGGTTGAGATATTGTAAGAGTAGAGAGTTTGAGAACTTCTCTATTATGAACGTATATTTTTACCTTGAATGATCTTGATAAATGATGGCGAAGTTGCCAAAACAAACCTATAATTATATATCTAATAACTAACATCTCTGTCGGTGGAGATTTCTTTTCTGCGGACATTATTTGTCAGCGGCTCGTTATGAATCCGATGAACGTTGATTCTATCACCTCTTGAAATGTTGATCCCGAGGCCATGATAGGGGTGTAGAGCCTCATGAAGTAGGGGGCACGTTTTTCTCCGCCACAATTCCGCCAGTCCTCCACCAATAGGCACCCCACCCCACACTCACCACAACAGAAATCCTGGTAGTTTCTGTGATTGCCAAAAGTTCTAAAGCCATAATATTAGGTGTGAGTATCTGTTGTGTTTTTTCCGTGCTTTCCCGGCGCCGGCAGCGAATACCAAGGTTGAGTCCCCGACCAGTACGAAAAAAAGTGTAACTGCCATCTCCGCCAAATTTATTTTTTGGAAATGGAGGTATTGCCATTAGCCAAACGTGGGACTATGGCATCACTTCTCGGTCGCGGTTTATAATACACTGGCATCTAGTGTATAGCAGTATATCGTTATTAGTATGTGCTGATTGCAAACTATGGGCACGATCAAGCCTCCAGAGAGGGGGGGTTCGGAACATATTTGTGAAACACATCTGAATTTACTGACGAACAACTTGGGCGTAATTATAACTCAATTCCGAGTCGGTGTAAGTGCGACCTCGTACAATAGCTGGAAATATTTTATTAATTGCATGTACAATTTACTCTGCCTTTCAAACAAAAATGAGGTGGAAGAGATGCTTTCGCTTTAAGAACATTCCTATCTGTTCAGTATAATGTTTCACAGGCACAATCATTCTCAGCGGTAGATTACTGCTCCCTTAGTTCGACATATAAAACCATTTATCACGCTTATTAAATAGAAGCCTAAATAGTTAGTCGTTAATATAGCATTTAGACAATAACTAAGATTAAACTCTTATCTAAAGCTATCAGCTATGTAACTAAGATCGCTTATAAGATTCCTTGTATCTCTCTGCCAACATAAACCAGCTGCTTGGTTTATAGATTAGGAACCTACCTTATACCTATTATACGGATAGTATAGGCCAGGACGTCATAAATCTCCTTAATTTATTTATTAATATAAACCTAAAAAAACTTATTTTAGGGTTTATCCCTTAGGAATCTACCCTATACTAACTATCTAGTGTACCGTTCGTCACACTTCTCCTGAGCTCTTGTAAACGACGATTGTAATTATCAATCGCCGCATTAAAATTGGTATTGATTGCGCGGTCGAAGCGTCCAATATAACAAGAATCAAGACATTTTCATCAGCTGCCACCGACGGGAACTAGCATTAACGGCAATAAGATTTGGGGCAGACCGCGGATGGCCGCTATTACGTCTCCAACATTACGTCAAGGCCGGCTCCAGCACTTGACTCACCAAAACGCTGCGGTCACTTCAGAGGCGGCTCTTTGTCTAATAGCTACTATAAGATGATTCCCGAAACAGGATTCGACCTGGATGCTGCGTAGGATAATATCATCATAAACTCAAAGCCATAGTCTCGTCGGTCTTCCTTTACCAGCAGACGACGCTGAGTGTAAACTTACTTTGACCAAGATCAAGGTGAGAGAAAGCTAGGGGGGTGCTGCAGCTGCTGCAGCTGCTGCTTGAGACTGCAAAATGTCTAGCGAGGGGACCTGACTCACGACTTAATGGTCACATGCAACATCTTTGCGTCTCTTCAGCCATAGGTAGTGGAAATGCAAAACCATTTGAACCTTCATGAAACGCCTGAACGCGGGGGAGCTGCCACCAAGTGGCGTATGGCGTGTTACCGGCACAGCGGAAAGAATGAGGGCAGGCTTGGGCAGGGCTTATCCCGAGTGTAAGTAAGCTGATGGGCTGTTTTTACTCAGCCCTACCTGATGAATAATAGCTATAACAGCCATGTGGCGAAGAGTTGACTGGACTCTTGGGACGAAAGGTAGTGGGAAGTAGACAAAAGTCACTACTGTTTTGTGTTGCTTGGCTTGCAGAAGGATTGCCTTTGGAGGCTTAGACATGCAGGATTGGACGAATTGCGATACGCTTGTTTTATTATTCTTCACTGCAGGCCTGGGATCTATCATCTGACATGAGATACGCTTAAGCAGTAAGCAATATAAACTGCGGCTCAAATCTGCATTCCCTTGCTTAAACTGGAGAAAGGGAGCACACTATTAGATAGACACGTCAAACTGATAGGAAGCAAGCCAGCCACCATGCCCTGTATACGTGTCCCAGTAACCGAGCAAGCGAAAAAAAAGCCAAGGGCCAGTAAATCGAGCGCTTGCACACGTGTAGCTGCTGCTAATAAAAAATGAGGCGTCGACCAGGCATCACGTTACCAATATCTAGCCGCCTCATTCGTCGATTCGCCGCTTGGCATTTTTTTGGAGTACGGAAGAGTCGGGCGTGGCTTGCCCTTGGACGAGCATCAGCCTCTCGGGGACCCTACATCTAGGCCACATACGTCGACGTTTGGGGCGGGATTTCAGGGTTCAAAGGGGTCGTTGGATATGCAGCCTGACGTCTGCCGAAAAGCTGAAGAGGCGATTGTTGGTTAAAACGGCTCGATCGGAACGCTCGTCCCGATCGGGATGGCCTTTCGAGCAGTTTGAAATTGTCAGGGCCGTTGGGCATCCGAGCGATCCATATGCGAGGGGGCTTCTGGCGGTTTGAGAAGAAGAAACGCGCCCTGGAAACGAGAAACGAACGGGTTCTCCTTTGCTCAGGGCGGAGAGGAGGCCGCTGCATAGTACTGCCTCCTCGGATGTGTCATGACTGTTTCGCTTCAACTTGGTTATGAAGTAATAGGTATGTAGCCGTCTTGGCAGTTCAACAGCGGCAGCAACAAGAGACTAAGGCATCAACTAAGCTTGACAGACTCAATTAAACTGGAGAATTTGCTACGCGATCCCAGGCATCCAAGCTCGGATCCCGACGCGAAAGAGCCCACTTGGAAAGCTTCAATGGCCCCTCCCGCGTGCATCCGGGCCCTCACATGATTGTTTCTCCTCTTGAGCCAATGACCCAGTAGGGCAAGGAGCGGCCATGATTCGAAGCTTCAAAAAGCTTGGCCAGCGCTCAGCTCAGCGACTCGAACTTGACTCGAATGGGCTTACTTAAGCTGGGTGTTCCGACGCCGGCCTCGCTTTCAATTCGAAGTTGCATTGCGCCCATACAGAATGTCAACTTCCTGAACAAGGAAATCCGCTGTGGTTGGTACATAGATGGAGGTGATGCATTCGGCAAAAGATCAGCAGTGACTTGTCCCCCCGCTCCGGCTATTCAGGCTTCTTATTTTGTCGCTTGATGCCTTTTAAAGTGTGTGAACGCAATCTCAGTCCGGGCAGCAGGGGTCTGCGATTGGCCTAGATTAGAGAGCGAATGTCTCAGTCAGCTGTTTAGACGTCTCCACGGCATTGCTCGGATTGGCAGAGCATGCGTATGTACAAGGAGATGCGGTTCTCGGGAAGCTGGGAGATGCAAGATGCGCAAAGTATGCATGAGCCCGTCGCGTTATGAGACAAATACCTGCATTGTGAGTACGGCTGCCTGTCGGTATCTACAACGAAGATGATCATGTGGCGGCACAAGGAGGAGCGTTTCTCCTCGGTTATTTCTCGTGCGTTTCTCAAATCGAGCCTACGACGGCTTCACCGCGTCGGATCTGACTTGTGGCCGGTTGATGCGGCAAAGCAGGGAGGCATGTTTGGCGCTCATCGAGGTCGTATGATTGCCTTGCCTCCCGCTAGGGCTATGGAATATTCCTCGTCTTATCACGACCGAGTCACACACGCTCTCTCTCTCTTTGAAAGGGACTCGTGAAAAACTTTTCATGGTGGGAGAACTTATCGTGAAAGCTACGCAAAGACGTCAACTATTCCCGCGATGCTTCAAGGATCCACGGGAATCAGCCCGGGTCACGTCGTCCTAGCCACGGGCCCTCACCTCATCCTTGCACCAATGTCGACAGATCGAGCTTCTCTTCTGAGTGCTGGCGATGATGGTGTGGTGGCCCCATTCGGCGACCGCTTTTTTGAGCCGTCGTGTCGTCTCTTGTATCTTCGATGCTACTGTACCTGTACTCTAATACGACTTTTACTATGCATCATCCTTGCCCAGCAAATGCCGTCCGGTCTGAAACGGCGTCGGCACTTGGGGGTCACATCTGGCGCTTGCAAGCTCTCGAATGAGTCGAAACCCTTGCTTGGTCTGGCGTTGGGCGCTGGTGACTCGACGGAGCATCCATTTTTAGTCACGCATTCGTCACGCATTCTTCACTTGTGTAAATTAAATCCCTGGACACCGAGCCAATTGGCGTTTTTTGCTCGTGCCTGTGCCGCCTCTGCAGAATTTTTCTTTGCCATTCTTTTGTTCTTTTCCTCTTCTCTTTGGCCACTGTCTCGTATTAGTCTCTGCCTCGTTGCCTCTCTGGGCGAGGCATGCAATGCGAAGCGAGCCCTACGAAACAAGGCGGGCCAGGGATCCCGGAATAGGGCATCTGTAGAATAAAACGGGCAGCAGTTGAGTTTTGTGTGCTGTGCCTTGAAATGGCTTGCGATGCTAGTCAAGGGGCACAGGAACGTGAAAGACGCAAGTAGTCAAGTGTGGTGGAATTCACACGCAGCAGCTGAAGCCATGGGCTCCAGTTTGCAAACTTTTCCTGCCAGAATCTCTTTGTTGGCGATGACTCCTTTTTTTAGAATTTTTTCCTCATTCGTAGCCATGTCCAGCGCGTACAAGAATGCCCAATACGAAGGCAGCTTTGCTGCAAGCCAATTAACGGAGGGTACATGCGGCTACTCTGTGGCTACAAGGTCTTAGTCGATGCCCGCGTTGCCAATCTGAGGTTGGCATGGCTGTGGCCAGCCACGTATTCAAACTTCAAGCCAGCCCAGCTGCGCGCAGTTCCGGCATCGACATCGGGCCCCACCGCGGTGGTGAACTGAGACAGCCATTCTGGATCGACGTCAGGCAAGCCAGGGCGGATCATGCTGAGCTCTTGTGCTTCGTCCCTTTTTGGCAGGGCGAACGCTGCTGCGGATGCGTATAAGTCGAGGGTCCGGCCCCTCACCACCTCCCGCCTGGTCCTGTCGTCGCTGCTACTCTGCTCTGCGTGATCCATTCAACCCGTCTAAGTGGTCTGATGCTAGACTATAATAATCTGCCTTGATCCGAATTCTCAGAGTTGGCACTTCTTCTTCTTCTCTCTTCTCTACACTCTTGCTGTTGCTGGTGTTGCTACCGCGTAACTGGGCAACTTGAACACCGATCCAAAAGCCATCACACGCCGGATTCTGCAAATAAGCCTGCCGATCCGCCACACACACCGCGCATCTTTCAAGCATACAATGCGCCGAAGCTCTTCGTCTTCATCAATCAGCTCTCAGTGGTCCACCTTCAGCGACGACCTTGAAATCGGCCAGCTAAACTCCATCATCCCGGTGAACACCACCACAACCGCTGCCACCACAATCACCACAGCTACTGCCACAACCGCCAGCAACTCTTCCATCATCTCTACTTCATCTGCTGCTATTTCCGCTACAGCAATTTCAGCCCAAGACATGAACATGTCAGAGAGCCGCCCTTCTTCCTCCGGGTATGAGCGGAGCCGCCAGGGAAGCACAAGCTCTATTCGCAGCTGCGGCGGGATGAGCCCCGACGCAACCAAAGAGCTGTGGAAGACCATGTTGGAGCTACAAGATCGATATGGATGCTATACTTCAGCGAGAATGGATTTGGCTGTTGCAGCTGGCGATATTGCTCTCTCTCTAATGCGTAAGTTATCACAGTTGTTCCTAGTGGTCAAAATTCAGTAACTAACATTCGAAACTTTGCAGCAAATCCGTTCATTCTTGACACACTCAACGACTCTGTTGTCGATCTGCCCGATGAGGGCTGGGAGATGCTCAATCGCTGCCTCCAACAAAGACATTAAATTCTCTGCTTGATCCGACACACACCACAAAAATTGACATCATCACACTATCGCATTTTCTTCTCATCGGACGATCGCGGTGGATGAGGACGATACGACGGGGTAATCTTTTTTTTTCTCCTTCTTCTATTTAAACGAGAGGCGTTTTGGGATGGATAAAAATACTACTGGACGAAGCGCTGGCTATTTGTTTCTTCTCATTCTTATTACCACGATTTTATTCTTTTTATTCTTTGTTTTTAAACATTTCAAGATTTCAAGATACCCTGTCCTCATTTACATATAGTATGTACTGCAGCTCAGATTGAGGCCTCTGCTCTTACATAGCTCACGACGTACATTTTGCTTCAACATTTACAATACAACCCAGAGATGATTAAAAAAACATATCATGAATGATTAACATACGTGTCTCTAATCAGGTGATGAATGATATCTCTGATGCTAGTGTTACAATGCATACGTGTGTTACATTTGGCCAAGTAATGCCCATCATATCACAGCGTCTCATTCAAAAGTGGATGCGCCGTGTAGCCCATTGCCCTAGTCTGGAACTTCATGCTCTCCAGCACTTTCGCTTTCACCGCTTCATCCTCAATGTCGATGCCCTCAAAAATGCTATGTGTTGCTCTAAAGTTGTAGTTCTTGAGAATCACCCACATCTTGTGTATCACATCTGCACTCAGCGGGATGTAATTCGGGATGCTCCACAAGAACGAAAACGAAGTCAACCCAGGAGGCTTCTCTCGTTTGGCTCCCAAGGCGTCTATATCCCACTTTCCTAAGCCTGCCGCAGTTGTCATGAGCGTATCTGCAATGAACAGCCGTCCATCAAACAGCAGCACTGAGGAGCCCGGGAAATGTCCGCCCAGCTTAATGGCCTTGACGCCAGGTATGATTTCTGTCTCCGTTTCCGTGAGAGCCCTGCGATGTGCTGACGGCGTGGTTGTCCAGCGCAAGTCTTCAGATGAAATATACACTGGGCACTGAAACGCTCTCGCCCATTGAATGTGCGAGCTATAGAAATGAGGATGGCTGACGACGATGGCTTTAATGCCTCCCAGCTTGTTCACCTTGTCTATCGTCTCGGCGTCTATGTACGAGACGCAGTCCCATAGAACATTCCCCTCGGGTGTGCGAATCAACATGGCGCGCTGGCCGATGGCGAACTTTGGGCACGTGTGGATTGAAATGATGCGCTCGTCGTGCTCATAGGGCTTGAAGTCATTGTGATGATTCGAATCACGGAGCTCGGCCATGGTCGTGAAGGATTGGCCCGAGGGGGGGACATATTGGCGAGGATCGTCACAGACATGGCACGTCTTGACGACGGCGCGGTCCGCGGTTGGAAACTGCGTGCCGCAGGTATGGCAGATGAGCCACGAGGAGGACTCGGCCTCGTTGTAGGCCTCGGGCGCGAAATCCATGCTGCTGACGGTGATGCTGGTGTCGATGCTGGCTGTTGGTGATGGTGAAGCTAGTGGCAATGCGGATTCCCGCTGGCTCTGGAGCTGTTGCTTCTCCAAGGGCGCGCGGGGTTGGCGAATAGACTTTGCCGGGCTGGAGGTGGTTTTGGGCCGCTGCTATCCTTGGCTCTGAGCCCGTTTTGGTTTCATTTCATTACACATTGCAATAAGCTTTGCGGGTTGGTTTGTGGTTGAACGCGGCCAAAACGAGACAAGTGAAGCTGCCGTATAGCTCGCGTTGCTGCAGTCCTAATAGGGTGCTCGGCTGCCTGTCTGTTTTCTCGCTAGATTGGCCGTCTGTGACTCAACGGTGGATTAATCAGCGTCTTTGCACTATTGCGTGACTCAACATGTCCATTTTCACGGATCAAGTGAAGGTTGAAGGGTTGATTCTTGTCGCGGAGTATCGCCATCGCTGACGTCATTGACGAAGACGACAGACCTGCTGCTCTCGGATATTGTGAGCAATTCCGAGGTTAAGAGAAGCGCCCAAGAGATGCAGGTCTAGTTGATGTTGAATGAAGCGCATGAAAATCATCAAATATATGACAAGTAAAGATTTGATTCTTCATCTCGCCTACAGCAGATCGCCGCAGCTGTTTGGGAGGAGATTCGGAGGCCAGCTTCAGCGGTAACGCTTACATGTGATGAGCTGCATGTACGCAGAGCCGTCACTCGAGTTGGAGAAGCCGCAATAAAGATTCATCTCGATCGGACAAGATCTCAACCAACAGCAAGCAGCATTTATTTTTGACCTTGTACCAACTCTCAATTGAAACGAGTGGCTTTCGGCATGGAGATGCGTGCACATGGCTCTCCGCCAGACGAAACTTGAGAGCTCGCATCGGCATTTTGGAACACAGTAACCAGCGCCAAGCTCTACGTCGCGGCTCTATGTTTACAATACTATTATTTACTGGTGCTTTAAGTCCGCAAAGTCCATATCTCCGCTTTGCATCCTGGGATTCAGATGGAGGCTCTCGCGTAAGTTGAAGCGGATGAGCTGCTAATTAGTGCGAACAGAGACGTTCGTCCGCGGACCAAATTGTCGGCTCTCAACTCTATGCGTAGCTGCGTAGACTATGGTTACCGTGCATAACACTCGACTCCCACGGGCAATTCGTCCGTAATACCTCGTAAATCAGTAGAGATACTCGTTTCAGCAGCGAGGGTAAACTTCAGGTTCACTAAACATCTATTATGTAGAGTATCCCGAATAATCACAAGAATATAAATAAAGTCTCTTCGCATCATTCCCAGTTAGCACCGCATCTACGTTTCTCGGCCATCATAAATCACCTATTTAACTCTAAACTAGACGTCTCCTCAAATAAACACATGCCTCAAACCGTCTGGCTCGTCACCGGCACTACTTCCGGCATAGGCGCTGCCTTGGTTAACTGCATAATCGCTCGCGGGGACAAAATCATTGCCTCTGGGAGAAATGTCGAAAATAAGCTCGGCCACCTCAAGTCCGACAACGTTGCTTTGCTAGAACTCGATGTCGGGGCTGGAAAGTCAGTTGTGGAAGCCCAGGTGAAGAAGGCGTGGGAGATTTTCGGCCACATTGATGTTTTGATCAACAATGCCGGTATATCTGCATTCAAAACCGCTGAAGATGCCGAGTAAGCGCTTTGGACTATACATCTCACCTATTTTATATCATATTTCTAATTAAACTACCCTCAAAGCGACAACTTTGTCAACCATCTATTCCAGGTCAACGTCTTCGGCCAACTTCACACATCTCAAGCCATCCTGCCTCTCTTCCGCGCTCAAGGCCACGGCACCATCTCATTCACTTCTTCGGGCTGTGCTTGGGCGGGCCTCCCTTTCCTGGGCCACTACTGCATGACTAAAGCTGCTCTGAGCTCGTTTGCCGAGAGCTTGCACAGGGAAGTTTCTCATCTGGGCATCAATTGCGTTGCTTTCGATATTGGCGGCTTTCCAACTCGTCTGGCACAACCCCGTGAGGAAGATGAGGGTGCTGCTTCTGTCAAAGCAGAATCTGACTCTGCTCTTGCATTGGCTGTATCTGAGCCATATGAAGGCATCTTTGGGCAGTACACTGGACTCTTCGTCCCGGATCATTCGTGGGTTACCCCCGGCGATCCTAACAAAGCAGCATCCGCAATGGTGGACGTTATCCAGCGTCAGGGTGTTGCAGCGGGCCGTTCTTGGGCGACGCGGGTTGTTTTGGGATCAGACTGCTTAACTTATGCAACGAAAAGACGAGGGGAGGAACTCCAGCTTTTGGAGAAATGGAAAGATGTTAGCGTCAGCACTGATGCGAAGGAGTTTGTCCTCAAGCCCGAGTACGAAAAGTATATTGTCGTTACCGGAGTAGAAGAGTGATTCAACAAGTTTCGCTGGGCAAACAATGGTTATGAATAGCTTTGACAACGTAGTAAAAAAAAATTGTTTTTCTATCTAGAATAATGCATATATGCTATTTGCTTTTACATCATAAAATACGCTAGATTCAACTCTACTCAGCCATTGCCGCCTTGATTTCCTCCTCGAACCCCTTCTCCCAATCTGCCTCTCCCTTCACTGGCTTCCATCCCAACACTTCTGTTGCCAGAACGGCATTTGTAACCGATCTTGAAGCAAATCCCAACTCCAAGAACTGGTAGTTTCCATTTGGAGTATCATCTGTGATCTCTTGCAGTCCAATCGGTCGTGCCTTGTCTTCCTTTAGCACTCCGGCAGCAAATCCTGCCTTGGCGAGTCCGTCAGAAAGGTCCTTCCACGCATGGCGTCCGTTGCCAGCGAAGTAAATGCCCTTTCTACCATAAGGAATGTTCTCTCCTGCAAAGAGCTTCTCCAGCACCAGTTCATACACCTTTGCTGTGTCGTCGATGTGAGCGTGGTCCCAAATTCCTGCGCCTTCGCCAATGTACTCGGCGTATCCCTTCTTGACTGCTCGTCGAGCCAAGAAGGGTACCTGGATTGAACGCTTGTTGAATGCACCAGTGCCATTGCCATAAATAGTAGGAGACATGAGGATATATGTCGGCACGTCGAATTCCTCGCCAGCCTGGACAGTGGCCACATCGCCTGTACGCTGAGAGTAAGGATCGTGTGCCTCGCGCTTCAGTTCGTACTCGTGGATGTCCTGAGTCTTGTCGTTGAATTCAAAGGGAGCATCTTCTTGAGTGTAGACTTTGCTAACGGGGCGGTTGCCAATGCTTGAAGTTCCGGATGTCTATAGACGAAAATTAGTACATGTATGTACAGCGCATGCAGAATCGGACATCAACATAATCACTTACGTGGATGAACCAGACTGGTCCGCCGGTGGCCTTCTTCCTCTCCGCCAGTCCTTCAATAAGAGACCTCGCGCCAATCGCTCTGGCAGCACTGGCTGTGTTGATGATGATGTCATGCTCGCTGGCCGCCTTCTTCAAAAGCTCTGAGTCCTCGTCGAGATTCTTGAAGATGATTGGCGTCATGCCTTGAGACTTGTAGTACTCTGCATGCTCGGGCTTGCGAACGAGGACGGTGTAGGAAAGGTCTTTAATGTCGGGATGGGTTGAGTTTTGGAGGAGGGAGAGAACAGAGCCACCACTGCCACATGTTGTTAGTACTGCTTGTAATTCAGTCGTTGGAGGGCTGACAAGTCTTACATGTAGCCTGTTGCGCCGGTGAAGAGGACCTTCTTGGGAGCCATTGTTTTTGATGTGTTAATTATTGTCAAGATATGATTGAACAACTGTTAACAACTGCAAATTGCTTGGATTGATAGCACGAAGCAGAATCCTATTCCATCGCTCCATGACCCTCTATTTATACAAGTAGTTGCACAGCGTAACACTCCCATTATTAAAGCATCCCTAGTCTGAAACACCTCGCCCAATTATTATTAATTCATGATCTCATTCATGATCTCATTCATGATCTCAGCTCGATTCCACTTGCCATTAAGCTTAGTCGCCAATGGCAAATAACCTCCCGCAGACAGCCAAAGCGCGGACAAACCTGCCGTGAGATGGCCCTCCTGGTGGAGCAAGCCACTTCGATTGAGCCTTTGATTGGATCCGCCGCAAGTGACGGCTGCGGCAGACCAGCCCCAATCGAGGCTCTGTCTAACGTGCTTTTGCTGAGTAATAGCGTATTGAGGCGTATGTGGGCGTGTCAAGGGCGGCCAAAGTTGCTTCACCTGCATCTCGACCCTGTACTTGCCGATTTAGAACCGATTCCGGGGTTCGTTTTCTCCCACAGCTTGGGCATTTTTCGCTGCGCCCAATTGGAAAAGGGAAGCAATAGATAATGGTATTATTAATAGGATGCAGTCATTACAAATGCTGTTAGTAGAGAAATGAAGGATATGAGAAGAAATTGCAAAAGAAAATTAGAGCCAGCAAAAAATGAGAAGGCTAAAATCAGAGTGGTCTTCTAACGTATAGATTATAGCTCATATACAGAAAACTTCATGTAGTATTTACCCAACGCTACTATCTAGTTTACATACTTGAGGTGAATACCGAGGAATATATAGCAAATATATAATGAAAGCTAATGTTTAATAAATCGTCCATCTTTTTGCCCCCCATCTAGCTGTCACAACATCAACTCTATCCAAAGCAGCATCAACACGCCTCCCACATCTGATGGCCCATAGCAATCAGCCGGTTGAACAGCTCGTCGCGAACCATGACCGCTGTCAAGTGATATTCCTTTCCGTCCTTTGTTCTCACAACCAGTCCATCCACAACTTCTCTCTGTGTCGCCCACCCGACAACAATCTTGCTCTTCCATCCCAAGCCTCCAACCTTCTTCAGCTGGCTGATATCTTCAATGGCAACTGTCCACGCCGGGTTGACGTCCTCAATCTTGGAAGTCCAACTTAGCGCAGGGCTCGTAGCGGTTGCTGTGATATATGCATGGCCCTTTTTGCCGCCACATCGAGCGGGGAAACAGACTGGGCCGGATGGAAGGTCGTCAACTGGTCGTTTGTTCACGACGCCCAATCGATTTCGTGCGTGAGCAGCGCCAACAGCGGCTTTGGCTTTGTCGGCGGTGAGGGCCGTTTCAACGCCTCCCTTTGCGGTGCCTTTCAGAAAGTTGACAATACGATGCGAACGTTTGGGCTTTCGCTGTTGACTGTCGTCTTTGACGTCTTTCGCGTGATCCAAGTCGGGATGTAGCGCTTCTCTCGCTTCTTCATCAGTGACACCTATTTATGGGTGAATTATTATTAGCATGTTCTTGGTACAGAAATACACCCAAAGCGAAAATTAATACCTAGATAATCGACCTGTTCCGCAGCTTCTGGATCAATCTTGACTGGAGGTGGCGCATCAGAAGACGGTGGCGGAGGGATTGGCACCTTGTTCCTCTCCCCGATACGTAGCAGGGTAACGGCAAGCTGCGCGTTGGTTGGTATGCCTCGTAGAACCGTATTTCGCAGCTCGATGAATTTCTGCCATCGTGGATATCTGCGATTGACATACTGTAGCGCTGGTGTAATGACGGGGTCGCCAAAGAAGAGAAACCCAACACCAAATGCGATGCCTTTGAGCAACATATACGAGGATACAAAGAAGGACAGCAGCAACGGAGGCAAAAGACACGCCGCCAAGGCCATTCTCGGCTGCTCAACCGGGAATGGAGGCGTTGGACTGAGGGCATTGCCAAACCGCTCCCAGGTATCAACAACTTCCGAAATCATGTGCATGATGGGCCCCGTTCTGGTCCAGACAATGTTGGAAACAGGCGTCTTTGTCCTGTCCTGTTCCGTATTGGTCTCTTTCCCATCTGCAGCGTCCTTGGCATTTGATATGTCTGCTGCGATGTTTGTGGGGTCTGGAGCCGTATTGTCGTCGTGGGGGTCGCCTTGCGGGTGCTTTCCTGCACTCGTGCTGATGACTACCTATACGCGAATTCGAGCGTCAACAATCATTTCTGTCATTGTATAATACTAGAAGGCAAACTGCAAAAAACTCTTACGCCAGCACATACCGATGCGATGCTGTTGACAAAGCTATGCGCCTCCTGTTCGACGCCTTCGCCTTGGTGCTTTTCAGGAGCGCCGGTGATGGAGTTGTCCGATGCGAGGACTCCTGACGGCGGCTTCTGCACGCCTCCTGTTTTGGAGTCGACAATTGATGGCGGCACAGGAGGAAAGCAGATGGTTCGCGCCGGTGGATAGGCAATCAAGGCCATGAGGAAAACGACTCCGACGGGAATAAGCAGGTCAAACAGCCACGCAATGCTATACACGGCCAGGAAGACTGCCGTTCTCTTTGTTTCTCGCCACGACCGAAGGCGCACAATGTGCTTCCACAGACAAATCACAGACACGATGACGGTCATGTAGAGACGTTCCAGTTGCGCGCGCAGCTTCTCCGGAGAAAACACCTCGTCCTCCGCAATGTTCATGTCCAGATCGGCCAGCGGCGCCGTCTCGATGCTCCTGACATCGAAAATCTGCTTGTTGAAGCGTCGTATCAAAACCCACAGCTCTTCGTTTCTCAGCCCGCCAACCACCGGCTGCGGAACATGGTGCAGCTCCTTGTTCCATCCGATATTCCTCACCTCGATCTCATCGTGCTCGGTTTGGCTGGCGCCCTTGTGCTCGGCATCAGCCTGGATGCTTTCTTCGGCAAGGGCATGGCTGGCGGTTGGTACTTCTTCTTCATAACTTTCGATTATATCAGGCTCGCTGCTGAGGGCAGAGACGGATGAGCCGCTGTTTTGGTCGGACGCTGCCATTGCAGAATATAGCAATCATGAATTCGTGTTGGAGGCAGCTGCAGAAAACACAACACAGGCTCAGAGCAGCTCCCATCAGCTTGATTGTAGCTACATATTTAGTTAATCTGCGCCCGTATCTGTCTTTATTAGACTTGCCGCCGACGTCAGATCTTTAGATTTGTTCCATCACCAGCTATTGGTTTGTTTTGGTTGACGTCACTGAAGGCTGATGTGGGACTGGAACTGGTAATGGATCTGCGGCTCTAACTGGGAAATCCAGGCACATCTCTTCAAGCTTCATACACAGCGGCTGCCATTGCACGGGCTTTGATGACACTGATAAAGATAAAAAGATAAAATAATATATAATAGAGTAAAATGCTCTCAAAGATAGATTTCCATTGCTTCTGCTGCTTCTATTGCTTCCCAACTTTGGTGTTTCTGCTCTATGCTGCGCGTGTGTTTGTTTGGCGGAGTAGGCAGCTTCGCAAAAGCGCACAGTGCAGCGCATTAGGAATCTGCTGTGCAATGTGTAAAATATCTCAAAAATCAATGCCGAGGTTATTGGCGAATTTGGTTTAATTTTAGCATCCTGACTACTCAATAATGGGCACGATTAGAGTTGGCCAACATTCCAGCCCTCCTACGAGAACGGCGTTTTACGCGTCAAGACTAATGTATCGTATCGCCTTTAAATAGATATACAAATACTCAAGACAAATTCATTGCCAAGACTCAAGGTCTTCTCACGAATAAAGCGTCACATTTGATATGCATCCTATCTACGTTTTAAATAAGAGCAGACGGCGTGAGAGATGCCAACGTTAGAGGACAGACAAACGATGTGCAGAACAGCTGGAGCTGGTCGATACACGGGAGAATCGCCAGTTTGTCCACTGCGTGCGAGGCTTTTCCTAACCGTTGGAGGTACCAAAGCTTGTGTAGTCTTCAATAGAGAAAAAAAAAAAACCACAGCAAATTTTTGCAATAAGAACTGTGATACCCTCTACAAACACAGCGATCCAGCGCATATTGCTATAGCATTTCCCTGCTCATAGTATTTAGGCAGCGCTCCCCTCGCAACAGGTGTGGCAGATCTCGTGAGACACGGCCAGGATCATAGCGTCAACAAATCACCCTGTACGGATATGAAGCCTTGAGATTCACTGTAAGCGAGCGTGATGCTGCTTCAGCCGTAGATATAATTCTGTGAGCCATACGCCATTTCCTTTCTTTTTCCTCTTGGATGATTGCGGTCATGGTACGGTCGGTCAAAGCCGATGTTTCGACCACAGCCAGGTACCCAGACCTTGTCAGCAAGACTGTGGATCGTAGCGGGCTCTGACATCAATCACATGGGCGTTGGTAAGGCTAGAAAGCAACGCTGCTACGGTGCCGGTATATGAAGCTGTCATTGCCGGCATTGGATCAGTCTCACCAGATCTGATCGGTTAAATCCGTAAGATCAATAGATCTGATTGCTCGTTTCTGGGGAGGGGCTGCCGGAGCCGGAAAATCGGTTAAAGTGAAACAGGATCTGGCACGAGTGGAGTGAAGCTCTGACAGCGACTGAGGAGAAGCAGAAAACAAGGCTCTGAGAGGTCACGGATTGCCATTGTCGCTTAATTCTGGATTACAATCTGCTACTTCAGAGATGTTCAAACAGCAATTACTTGTCCAAGTGCCTTGATGGGAGAGTAGCCAGCGCCGCCAGCCTTGCCAGCCACTTCACAGGCAGGGGATCTGCTCCTATTACGCACCAAGGTGAGGCATCTAAGACACATCTATGGAAGGAAAGAGAAGACGAAAGAATAACAAAACGTGAACTTGTGTAGAAAAAAGCAGATCTGCTTTAGAGTTATGCTCAGTGAGTGAATCATTGTGAACATAAATCTATCGTGTGGTAGGGCTGGATCTGGACAAGAAGTGGAGGCCGGCAATTGCTTCCACGACCGGCCACACCCTTTGTAAGTAGAAAATAGAGCCCTGAATTGCGCAATTACTCGCCTTATGAATATTCAGATATTTTACATCTTATATTATGCATTATTTACCTCTTTCGACATCGTTGTCGGTCGCAAATGTGCCGTACGCTTGGCGCGCCGGCTTAGGCATCAAGTGACATGCGTGTTGGGCAGCAGGGCCACTTGAGCGAAAACAAGAAGAAATAACAAGTAGATAGGATGCTGTAGTAGATTTTTTAAGGGATGAATTGTCTTGTAAGATCAGTAAGACAATAATTCAAATAGCGCAGCCGAATGGATGGTGAGGAGATGCGTACGCCTGCTCTCTAATGGACAAACCGGAACCCTTCCGCGACACAAGTTATGGTAGTGGAGAGTATTCCTAAGTAGGTAGTATGGAGTATGCATGCATGTAGAAGTCAACGAGAAGGATACTCTGATCGATTAGTAGCTTTGCGTTGCCTGAACACATTGTATCTGTTAAGCATATGTGCCAAGCTCTTGTTTCGCGAGGTCAATATATTGCCTCATCCAGGTATAGCGCACCGATACTCCGAATTATACTTTTGTCTATTGCATTCTCTGGTGTAGTATTTGCCCAAGACATTACAAAACAGCATGCATATTTAGCGGCTAAAAACTATAGGTATCGTTTATGTGAATGTGCTCCACAGACAAGACGACCAAAGGCCTCTTTGAGACAAGAATTCACGGATGCTACGCCCTCGAGAGAGATAAATTCAATTTTTTCAGTGATAAATATGCTTTCTCGACTTTCTTTCCTTTTTTTGTGGGATTTTTGCATTAGAATCTCAGACATGCGCTGCCTGCACCAGTAACAGCGATTTCTCGACGAGCGGCGTACGCCTGTTGTCGAGAGGGACCACTTTGTGGGCGGCGTACGCCTCTCGTCGAGAATTGCACTTCATTCGACTCTCGACGGGCAGCGTGCGATGTGAGACAAGGAAGAAAAAATGCTTTTTCAGAGACTATTCCCAGGGATGGCTGTGCTGGTGACTCGTAGATGTTTGTTGTGCATGTTGTGTAATCAAAGATGGAGAATCAATATCAAGTGTTTTACCCATTCAGTAGAGAACCCGAGGTTCAGCAGGAATTTAGGAACTACCTCCAAAAGAAGAAGATCAAGAAGCACATATCCACAGAGAGAAAGCATAATTTAATTCGATGGCTTACTGACAACGACGCCAAGCCCCAGTCGCAGAAGGATTACTCTCTACGAAACTACGCATCCAAGACGTATAAATGGGATGGTGACAAGCGTATCCTCTGGGGTATTGGAAAGAGTGAAAATGGAGGAAAGAGTGGGAAGACCAAGAAGACCAAGAAGGGTTGGAAGGGTAGCAAGGGTAGCAAGGGTGGGAAGTGCCAAGACAGGGTGGTTGTCACTGAGGATGAGATCTTGGATGTGGTAGAAAAAATCCACATGTCGAATGATCATGGGGGGTGGGATGCCACCTGGGATGAAGTCAGCAGCAAATACTGTGGGATTGTGAGGTCAGATGTCATCTTCCTTCTGAAGAGGTGCTACATCTGCCAGTTAAACCCGCGCAAACATTCCAGGAGGAATGCGGCCCTTGATGAGGCCCCTGCATCAAGTTCATCTCTCGCAACGCCATCGTCAGAGCAGCAAGCCTCGGAAGAACAGCAACCGTCATACGGGCAGCAAGCCCCTGAGCAGCAAGATTTTGATCAAATTCTTGACCAGATCTCTCAGCAGACCTTCGATTACAACTTCGGCAACGACAACTACCAATGTGGTAGCTTTGAAGGACTGGATCAGCTTTGGAACGAAGAGGTGCCAGACATTGAGATGGCCGATATGGATCCTTCATTGTTCAACAATGACTTCCAGGATCTCATGATGTATTCCTACCCGCCTCCCGAGGAGGCTTCGGGCAGCCACACTTACCCCTACGACTTTAATTTCATGCAAGACTCGGTGTAACCGATTGCAGAGCTGCCCTAATACGTCAATGAAGGGGGGCTTCCGGGGTGAATATGGTGTTGTGGAGGAAGTCAAGCATTTTTGGGGCGTTTTGGCCAGAGGTTTGGCTTCAGGGAGCATCTGATAAGTCAATGCATCCATATCCCAGAATTTCTTTCTGGTTGATTTGGGGGAGTGGTGGGAAACAAGGTTGCGACTGTTTTTGTGCATTTTGTGTGCATTTTTGTTCTTTTTTTTTTGTGTGTGTTTGAGTGTTAGCATAACTAGGGTTACCAGACTGCCAGACTGTTACTGAATTGAACTTTTGTTTTTCTCACGATACTCCCGTGCTTGCTGTTTGTGATGAACTTTTTTTTTTTTTTTTTTTTTGGCTCAGAGCCAATGCTAAGACTGCAGTTTTTTCTCGTCAATTTGCGGCACCTTACCTCGCACCCACGGACGACATAATGTATAAAGGTTACAAATACTCGGGATGATGCATGCTGTTCAAGAGCCAAGTGCTTGTGAAGATGAAAGGCGGAAGTAAAAGATAATGGAGAAGAAAAGAGGGAAAAAAAAAAGAGGAAAGAAGAGAGCTTGGGGTCCTCCAAGCAATAAATACCCTGCTGACTACAATCTAAAGTGGCGGTGTCCCCGAGCAACTTTACGACAGGCGTACGCCTGTCGTCAAGTGTGTCTGTGTTATTTCACTCCCTCGTGTCATCAGTAACCATTGGATGAAAAGAGGGTGACTGGAATGTAGTAGTAGCAAATAATGGGTGGAGTGAGCAGGGATTCTATCAAGGAATGGGTAGAAGATATCAAGAGCGGAACAGATGCTAAAGAAAGAAGGCCCACGAGGATCTTTTTGGCAGAGGAACGAGGCCATTTTATATCCCTCTCGCGATTCTCCCGCCCTTAGCTAAAACTGTGACTCAAGGGCGAGCAGGTGGCCTCGGACACCATAACATGTATCGTTGGTGCTCTTTCGATGCCATTGGTGAGGGCTTTGAATAGTTACACAAGCCCTTGGTTGTGTGTAACTTGACATCTCACAAGAACGTGTCGTGATTTAGGCTATGAGTGTGGGCCACCAGTCACCCCTCCACGGAGTTTACGGGAACGAAATTCTAGCAGATGTTTTACGGACACGTTCCGGAAACAGCTGTCTGCTGTTTCTACTCGGTATCTACTACGTCTTCGAGATGGCAATGGTTGGTTAGCTTTGTGGTCTTTTCAAGATCTTGTGTTCCAAAAAGATGGATGAAATAATCAATGGTTTGGGAATTTATAAACAATCCATAGCGTCATATGCGTTAGATGTATCCCTAGGTGATGCCTTTTGTTGTGGATATCATGTTGATATCGTGTTGTAGAATTGCTTTGGTTTCTATTGGCCTAGAGGTTTGTTGACAATATCATTTTAACCAATCAGAGCCTGGTCTGAGACTACTACATGATTGTGCCCATGCCCTTCAATCTTGGCATCACTCAGCCCGAGAGGTCAACGTGCCACTAACTGCCCAAGGATTCATATAGCACTTCACAGCTGGGTGAATTTGCAGTCATATTCTTTATTAAACATTTGAGTTTATCTATCACTCTTTTCATTCCGAAATGAATGCGTCAGTTATTCTAAGGCTAGCTCCTCGTCGAAAGATGGCCAGCCTGTCTTGGCAGTTGTGCTGAGCATGACCACACTCCACTTTGACTAGTCGATAAATCTTAATGAAATACTAGTGGTTATTAGCTTGACATTACAGTGACTGAAAAAAAAAATCACCTCTTTTAGCTAAATGGCTTTGGAGAATGGGCTCTAGGTAACGCTGAAAATTGAGAGACGTGGCTACAACTGAGAATATAACAATTATAGAGGCGAGATGACACGAGTTGAAGCTCAAATTTTCAGCAAAAGAGATAGATGACTAAGCCAAACACTTAAGAGAAATCCAACTGCACACGAGTGTCTGCCAGTGGCAGCACTTCTCTCCCGTTATATTTTCTTCAACTTCTCTCTCATTATATCTTCTTCCGTATCTCATCTCGAATCTTCTCTCTCTCTCTCCAACTTTCATTCTTCTTGAACTTTTTCCCCACCAAAGCTAACAAATGCCGCAGCCATGGCTGATACATACATCAATATCGATCCAGATGGCGATACGCTAATAATCCTGCCACTCGTCCAGCCAGCTAGTGAGACTGACGATGCAGCATGGGAAAGATCGTCTCTTTTTAATGATAACAATGATATGGACGGTCGCTCTTCTCATTCCGATGAAGATGAAATGCGCGGCAATTCTTCTCTTAGTAGCGATGATGGTATGGAAGATGAGCCTTCTTTTCCCGAATATATGCCTCCAGAGACGCTTTCATGTTACGGTATGAAAGAAACAAATTTGTACAAGCCATCTTTGGACAATAATTCTGAATGTTATAGGCCAAGAATCATCGGAGATAGCATCAGTGATAGCATCAGTGAGCCAAGTTTTCCAAGATAACACCAAATCTAAAGATACATACTACTTTAAAGTCTCCATGAAGCAACTCTCGCTGGCTTCTCCTCGTGCGAAACCTATATTGCTAGGGCCATATAGAGAGTCTATACCGACAGCCGATGGCCTCCGCCACTGGGAGTTTGAGCCCATATTCGATCCAGAAGCTTTCAAGATTGTGATGAGCATCCTCCATGCACAGTTTCACAACGTCCTTGATGAGGTATCTTTAGAGATGCTATCAAAAATTGCTGTTATTGTTGATGATTTAAGTTGTCGAGATTCTGTCCATCATTTCGCTAAACTTTGGCTTAAAGAGCTCGATAGCGCAGCAGCTTCATCTCACGATGGTATTTATTATGCCCGCAAAATTTTTACGCTATGGGTGTTCAGCCTGGAGGAAAGATTTAGAATTGAGACACACCATGCGATCATGCACTCTCCTGATATTTTATCGTCTTTCGGGTTACCAATTCCGGTTCAAATTTTGGGTTAGCAATCACTCAAGTTCATTAACGGATTCAGAGCTGACAAAGCGTAGAATCATTAAGCCAAAACCGCCTATCTATGCTACAGGAAAAACTAGAAAAGATCCAGGTCCTTATCAAGGGAGTCATTAGCCATGATAGTCAATGTTTGCTCTGCGCATCAGCGGCAATGGGGGCGCTCACCATGAACATGCACAGGCACAGGCTCACTTCAGAAGATATAGTGGCTCGGTCGGATAACATGTCTTCGACGATTTTTCGCGATACGTTAATGAGTTTCACATATCCAAAAGCGGCTGCATGTAAGGGCAAAGTAAAACCGCATGTTAATTTGGAGTACATGGTATCGTCCTGCACTCTCGAATCTGAATTTTGGGGACTGGATTTGAAACAATTACTTTATCAAAACATTAGTCGGAGATTTTAAGCATAAAATCTCTACACGGGTTAGTACTGGCGGATGGCTTTTGGTACAGCAGCAGCAGCAACGCGGAACTATGACAATAAGAATAGCAAATTGGAAGTAAGAAGGCACACGATTTAACAGTTTACTCTTCTCTGGCGCTCTGCAGTCAACTGCACCTTTTAAGAATAGTCAGTTGCGTTCTAGTAATTCGAAATGTGAAATTATACGTTCCTTGATGTTCGAACCTCTAAAGGAGACTGTGGTTTATTTTCATGAGGAGTAGCTAGTCTCTCTACTCGTTTGCCACCGCAGTCGTGTACGAGAGTTAATTGTAACGCAGCATGCCATCAAATTAGGGGAAACAAAGTGCATTTTTAAGAAAAGTTATCATTTTGAACCAGAATTTAACTTGAGACATGTAAAACTAGATTCATAGCTAAGATTTGCCATCTAGAGATGCCAAAAAGCGAAGAAGCCAGAGTGATGAGATATGGATGTAGATATTATAACTCTCCCTTGGAGCTGGCAACAATTCAAGGCTTGCATGTCATCATAGCGCATAGAAAGAAATTTTGCAACGTTGGCACAATGTTGATATCTCACACGAATGTCTGTTCATTCAGCCAGCATACATTGGCCACCAACTCTTGCATATTCAGTCACCAGTTGCCCAACCCATAAGAGGAAGAAGTAATCCGCGAATATCAATCTAATTACATCTATTCTCCTCTCTCATTGAAACTAGTCGGATCATACGTTAGAAGCATCCACCACTCGATATCGCACCCCATCGACGCAGTCACACAAGCCCGTCTAATCCTCCAACCATTGACTCCCCTCGGCAATATGCATTTCCCCCTCCTATCAAACAAATTTACCGACGCAATTCCATTTCCGACGCATCTACCCGGACACAAACATGCGCCTGTACCGCCTCCATCAGTAGCCATCACTGCATATCCAATCATGCACTTCTGAAGCGAAAAACATGCCGCTGTGGTGAAGCCACAGTAGTAAGAGGAGACTACATGGTGCCACGAGCTGATTGGGCTGGAAGAGTAACGCGTGTTTTTCTTGCTTTATATTGTTGAGGCGTCATTGGTATTACTCAGGGCAGACGAGAGGTATTGATACTCCCCAAGGTATGGATCATATACTTCAAACGCCTCTCACTTTCTCCGACTTACAAATGTACAGAATATTTCGTAGGCAGACGGACAAAGAATAAATAAAATAACCGTATCTAGCCATAAGAAACACCGCCAATGTATAAACCATCTCTATCACATTCCTTAATGCCCGTTTTTCCCATGCCAAGTCAGTCCCTTCTTAGAGCTGTCATCCACAGTAGATAGTCATTCATTAGACTTGGCAGCACAGTCAGCTTCACTACCCAGCAAAGAAAACGCAGGCGTATCATATCAGATATACTATACACAAAAGACTTCATGCAAACAAAATACGGGACATGTCACCGCCACGTGGCCATCCTTTGTCCTCTCACCCGTGCCGCAACAACGAATCATCTTACACCTAGATACAGGTAACGTCCCCATTCAAGCACGCACCGACCCGTGTTGAATAAGAAGAAGAACAAAAGTAACAAAGGGAAGAACAAGAAAGCAGGAAATATTTTAATATATTCACGACAGGCGACACCAGTGTAAATGGAGATTGGGGGGAGGTTGTATACACGAAACGACGCTGCGGCGGGCACCCGCTTCCGACGTGGTGCATAGACTCGCTGATCATGTCGTTTGAGTTTGATGTGCTCGTTGTGCGTACATGTATTCTACCTGTGGCTACTGCGACAGCGTTTTGCATGCAAGTAGGTAAGTATCGTGCGGAGTGTACAAGTAGTATCCGGTGACAGCGTATACACACTTCAACCAAGATACCGATTTATCTCCCCGCCACTCGCTCAACTCTTTCAAGCATCAAGCTCGAGCTCTTCACTCATGCTGGAGCAAAAGAGCCACATGTCCATCGACCAACGCGCTGTCACTGCAGACTCCACATTTGTCTGTGGATATTGCTTGTGGAGAGACAGGCAGCGGGCAGAATAGACAAGGCCGCAGAGATGATATCCTCCGGATCTGCTGGATTCCAAAGAAAAGCTGGTATATAATAGGTAAAGGCATATAATATGACTAGGAGTAGAAATTCGCCAACTGAGGGAATAGAACTATTAATGAAAATCTCAAGACATTCATTCTTTCTGCTACCGTCTGCCTACCCGGCTGCCTGTCTATCAACCCATCATACCGCCCATCTTGTCCACCGCCAGACCCTTGGGCACGCATCACCATCGCCACTTGGGTACACACAAAAGCATCTCACTCTCCATCAATCCCACAAAAAAAATCACAACAAGAGTCATCCATCCAAAATACCTAGTACCTACCACATTCCTTTCCGGAAATATCGACAACACAGACTCCATCCATCGCATTTCCAAAGCATTGTCGGCCCAATCCGCCATCAAACACCAAATGCCTTTATTTCCCCGCAATGCGACAATCTCACCGCGCGCGGGAGGGGCTCATACATAACATGCCACATACATACATACAAGCGAATAGTAGCTGCCTACCCACCTCTTACTTACATACCGCATCATCACTTATCGCTCTATGCAAAAATAGCTGCCTACCTAGAAACCTATGTATGTATAGCCATGTCCTTAATACATACATCCCTATCCATATCCATTAAGCAAAGTAAGCAACAAAAAAAAAAAAAAAACACCACGTTAACCCATCATCTCCATCCGTGTATCCGCCCATCCGCCCATCCGCCCAACCAACAAGAATGCAGCATCAAGAACCCCCCCAGACCAGCAGAAATTTCAAAAAAAATCCAGCCCAGTAAGCACCAACCGTTGGATAAAACCAAGGCCAGCAATGAATAAGGTAGGTAACATGCCATGCCATGCCATGCCACACGCACCACCACTAAAAAAAATCCCGGTCTAAAGAAAAAACTCTCAAGACCCCATCTCCACCACATAGTTACTACTTGTACATACAAACCACCATTGCACTTGTAGCATCTACTAGGTAGCAAAGGTACTAATGCCGTCACCCAAGTATGACCAACACCGCGCCCCAAAAAACGATGCAGCTAATCGAGCTTCTCACCTGCTACAACGTCGACTAGCTCATGTAGCAGCTCAGCAAGCTCATCGTAGCTCATGCAACTTGTGCAGCTAGAGCTCCATAGCAGCATCTCCTCGACCAACCCCAGCTTTTCCTTCGTCCCTCCAGTCATACCACCCCCGGCTTGCTGTAGCGTGGCATCACATCACTGCTACCTCGACCTCTACATGGCCATCACAAATCATCACCAAAAGAGCACAGGCAGAAACTCAAAAGTTGGTAGAAAAATCCCCTTGTCCGTTATATTCATAGTACAAGATAAAATAAAAATAAATACTAAAAAGCCATCGCTCGCTGTCCAATGCCATTTTCTTCCTTCTATTTCTTTCCTCATCAATTAGGCTCCCTTCCTGTTTCGGCCCTATCCTTCAAAAACGAAATTTCTTCAAATGACATCTTTTTGAGTTGATGCATCATCTCTCTACTTTTTTTGTTGAAAACCAATTTCTAGTGCGTGCTCGTCATGCAAAATCTCCGACGGCTCCCAGCTAAGCAAAGCTACTCGAGCAGGCTGACGTACGGCGTTGGGCCATATGACTAGCTAGAACAAAAAGGGCTTCTCCCAAAAATTGGGGAAGAAAAGTAGAGCAAAGCAAAGCAAAGCAAAGCAAAGCAAAGCAAAGCAATAAAAAAAATTAAACTCCAGAGGTGCTATGCATGTCGCATTTCCCCGCCCAGATCGGGGTGTGTGCGTGTTGTGTGTGTTTTTTTGTGTGTAGTGTATAATGTAGCGCAGCGTATAATGGTTGGTGTCCATTGTGTCATGTCGTGTCGTGTCGTTGTCGTGTCTAATAAGAAGTGGAAAATGAATAAGAAATATTATGGACGCTTTTCTTCGCCAATCATGGTTCCCTGATCAAACGCCGACCCCGCTTATATACAGGTGGGTGTGTGGTCTATGTAACATGATGAAAAGAGCATGTAGAGAAAACAAGGGTTGAGAGATGGTTGCAGTCGAACCGTCGCTCGCTTGCCCAGCCAGACAATTTTTGTGGAAATTGCTGTTGTTACCATCATGGCTGGACTAGAGGGAAAGACAAGCTTGCCCAGAGAGCGAGAGATGAAAGCAAGGGAGATCCAAGCATCTCATGGTGATGTTGCTGCTGCTGCTGCTGCCGCGGTGATGGTAGTGTGATGGCAGTGATGGCGGTATTGTTGGTGGTTGATGGGTATCAAAATGAGTGACTAGAGTCGGGTATCATATCGTATTAAATAATAAGGCGTTAATAAAAAAAAAAATGATATAGTTTTTTTCGCGTGAGACAATATTCATGGGTGTTTTGCCAGCGCTGCATGTCTATGGTTTCGGTTTTGGTCGTCAAGTCGTGGAAAGAGGTAGTAAAAAAAAAGAAAAAAAAATTCTCCGCAAACATTAAAACGGAAAAGAACAAGAAAAAAAGAATCAGAGGCGAAGCTTCTCAGCCAGGTTCTTCCAGAACCGTGGCGTCTTCTCCTCGCTTCGGGCCCGCTTCATGTAGGGAACCCGATGCATCGGCCCGACGATGTCCTCATCGCCACGGCCAGGAAACTTGCCATCAGCGTCCAAGGCCTCCAGCATCTGAGGCACAGCGCTAGGCAAGCAGCCCTTCCTGCCCCGCCACTGCATGGCCACAAGGAGGTCTTCGTTGTCCTGGCGGCTCCTGCTTTTGCCCACGGGGTTGGCGCTCTCAGAGCGTCCTCGTCCGCGGCCTCGGCTGCGGCTGCGAGACAGCACCGAGGAAGAGTAGTTGACATTGACCTGCATCTCGCGTGCAATGTCAGAGTAGTAGCCCTTCCATTTGCGCTCTGTCTCGGCCCACTTAGCCTCCGTCAGGGCGTAGATCTTGCTCGTCTGGCCGTAGTGCTCGCCGGTGCGAACCAGGTGCTTGGTGTAGGCCACACGCGCGGCGTCCCAGTCGTCGCAGAACTTGTTGACCGTGCCTGCGTTGATCTCGCTGATGCCGTAAGGCGCGGGGCTGATGGTGAAGTTGGCGTGGCCCAGGCGGTCGGACCACTCGTCCTGGTCCAGCAGGATGGACGGCGGCAGCGGCAGCGGCAGGTCCGTCATCATGGAGGTCTGGCGCAGCGACGACATGGACGGCTTGGAGCCGATGGACTGCCTCGGGGTCGGGATGATGCGAGGCGAGTGGACCTCCGTGACGGCCGACGATGGCGCCACGCTGGGCGACTCGAGGGGAGACAATGGCAGCGGAGGCTTTCCGAGCGGGTCGGTCATGAGCGGAGGCAGCAGGGGGGTCGTGGCCATGGCCCTGTCACGCTCAATGCCTGACCGCTCCTCACGGCTGAATTCGCCCGCGTGCATATCCAGGCTGTCGGTGCTTTCGTAGAAGGGCATGGCCGGGGGAGGCATGGGGGAGGAGTCGTCCAGCAAGACGGGGAATTGGCGGGCGGGGGACGACATGGACGACGAGCGGCTGCTCTCGGCGCCAGAGAGCACGTTCTCGAGGCTGCGCTCGGTGGTGGGCGAGGCCATCAGGCCCGTGATGCTGTTTGCCTTGCGCTGAGACGTCCATCGGGCAATGCTGGGGAAGCGGCTGCCAATGCGCGAGGAGAGGGCCGCCAAGGCCTCGCCGCTGATGTGACGCTTCTTCCTGGAGAACTGTGGATCGCCAGAGAAATCGCTGTCGCTGAGGAAGCCAATGTCGTAGTCGATGTCATACTCGCCCGTGATTTCGTTTCGCAGAAGCTCTCGAGAGGCATCTTGGTGCTCACATGCTTGGTCACCTGCAACAAAAAAAGAAAAAAAAGAGGAATTTGGTCAGCCAGCCAGCCTCGTCGCCGTTGCGATTGCTTCTCCAACTTACATAAACAGTACATGCCAAAAGTGTCGCTCAAGTTATCGTCATATTCCTCATCATCGTCGTATTCCTCCTCATCATAGTCCTGCTCTGGTTCCAGCGGCTCCTCCTGCACATCCGGCAGCGGGCGGATGCTCGACTTGGACGCAGTGGAATGCTGGGCGATGGGCGAAGTAGGGCCTTCCTGCTGCAGCGAGGGCAGCTCGAGAGAAGACGTCGAGCTCGAGTAGCGCAGGGGAACTCCTCCTCGGTTGGAAAAGGTCGGCGTCAGGGGCGAGGCAATGTCTGACGAGGACGAGTCGGTGGTGTAGTAGACGTATGAGAGATCACATGCTTCCAGGCCAGCGGCGGCCTCGTCCATGGCACTGCTCTTGCGGTCCTGCACAAACTGCGGCACAAGCAGTTCCTTTAGCTGGGGCGACATGCCTCCCTCCCACGGCGGCGAGGACGTCGGTCTGTCGTTGTCGACGGCGCAGCTCCAAGACGGGATCGACACAGGTGGGAGCGGTAGATGTTTTGTATGCGTGGGATGTAGGCGGGTACTTTGTCGTCTGCGGTAAGCAGCAAGTAGTGTTGGCTTGCGCGCGTAGCTGGTACCGTAGTCGTAGGGGGGACGTGCGAGACAATTCGTGAACACTCGTCTACCGCAGAAAACAGACGCGACACAGCACGAACAAAGAGGCAATGGTTCTATTCTATCAGTGTTCAATACCACGATCCAGCATCGGAGGGGGGAGACGAGAGTTGGAGTCGAGGCGGGCGGGAGCAAAGAAGTTAAAAAAAAAAAAAAACAGTCACGGAATGGCAGCGACGCTGGTGGAGCCGCCATGTCTCCCCAGCAAGGCTAAAAGTGCTCCGGCCGTGTGGTCGCAGTCGCTGCTGTGGTGGCAGCCCAGCGCCAGCGACAGTGGAGCGCGCAGGGTTGGAGCGCCATTGCAAGCGCCTGGGCTCGGGCTCTTGTAGCGCGTTAGCGTGGGTGGGTAGTACCGATTTTGGGACCCAACGGTACGTACTGTACAAGTCTGTATGTATGGGCGCCGGGGCCAGCAGGGATCCCCTTAGCGGCCCTTGGGTACCGATACCTGCCCGGGGGTCCTGTCTCGCTCCCTTCTGCTTCTGCCAGCTTCTCTCGCGGCCAGTGGGGTCGGATGGCCGCTGCTGGGAGAAAAGGGTGGCGTGTCTGCGCTCGCCGCCTGCCTCCGAACAATGGACCACGGCCAGCAGAAAGCATGTTGTATGTATGTACAGACAGCAGAGCAGGCGGCGCAGGTAGCGGTACAAGCACAAGCACAAGTAACATGCTGTACTCATACCCTCATACAGGAGCGAGCCGACCTGTACTGCACGGCCCCTCTCAAGCGGTGCCCTGTCCACAGCACCGCATCCGCATCTGCGTCTCCTCTCACCTGAGACTGCATCAAAAGCTTGCATTCATTCCACACGCTATCTGTCTGTCTGTCTGCTCCCCCCTCCATCCAGTGCGCTGTACATGCAAAAATGCCAATGCGTCCTCCTGTCTACAGCGACCGGCGGTCTGCGTGCAAGTACCAGAGGTACCACGGACCCGGAAGCACTGCCAGCAAAGCCGCGGCGGGGCTGGTATCGGATACCCCCATTTCATTGCCATTGCGCGCACAGGCCGGCACCAGCCATGACTTGGGAAGCTGGGAGACGATGGAGGGGCGCTTTTTCAGCGGAGGGGCGGTGCGCTGCTTCTTTGCCCTTCTTTTTTGGTGCATCAGTCAGCCGCTGATTTTGGGGTCTTTTTTCGGTGGCGGCGAAAAAAAAAGAAAAATTTCGCTGCTGGCTCGGCTACAGGGGAGGGCAAGTAAGTACGAGGTAGAGCTACATACATGCCGACGTTAGTAAGCATTTAGGCCTGGCATCAGCGGTTAGTTGGACAGCGGAAGGCAAAAAACCACATCAAATGAGTGCGAAAAATTGTCACAAGAGGGAGGCGAATGCTGTGAGTTGGTCGGGCGCTAGAGCCAGCAGACAGCACGAGACCTCGTCAACTGGTCTAAGAAAAGAAGCAGAATTCTATCACAGCGGCACGACGGGATGCTGAAGATGATCGACGGCGTTTCTCGAGCGCTTCGGCCTTGTGGCGCCAGCATCTGAAGTGGTCCCGAGGCTGCAGCGGCGGAGATGTAAAAAAAAAAAAAAAAAAAAATAACATCAAAGCGCCAATGGATGGTGTGTTGCTACGGCTGTTACGTTGGCGTTGACTGTTGACTGTTATCGCCATATGCGCGTTGGAGAGGGAGAGCAAAAGGCGTCGGTCTGTGTGTGTGGACTGCGTGGGTGATGCCATATCAGGCATTGTACCGGTTTTGCAAGTGACATTGGACGCCACCTGCTGCGGTGCGGCTCCAGCAGCAGCTTCAGTGCGTGCACGGCCAGATCGGGCTC